CTTTTCGTTTACGAGGCTGGCCCAGACGGCAGGCAGCTCAACTTTTTTTTGAACACTCAAATTTATTGTATAGAAGATGTTCATTCATACGCAATGAACAAAAAGTTCATCAAAAGTTTATTTTACTAATTTTTAACTAGTCAAGCAAACTAAATAAATAAATTCGTATACTCTAAATCACACGCTTTTTGATAAATATCGCCCTCCAATTTTGTTAATATTTTTCAACACTCTCATATGTATAGTCTAGAAGATGCTTGTCCATAATGAGTGACGGAATAGTTCATGAATATACATAGTCTAACGAGAAACGAGGGTTGTACGAATTTTACCCGCTTTTAAAGAAGCCCTTTCAGTTCGTAATAGTTCTTAAAGCAACAACCAATGTATAACCACCTGAGAAGCAGAGTATTTATCATGATATAGGCTTCTTTTAATTTTAAATAAAGCTACACATGTTATATTATGTTTTAGATTTTCTGCATTGTAATAAAGTTAGCATTTTATTATGTCAGACATGGAAACTGTGATGAAAAAAAAGGTATATGCAGCAGCGGTTGTGACTCAATCAGTTCATTGTTTAATGAAATAAACAACATTGGATTCTGCATCACTGTTAGCCCCACTTACCTTATATATCAATCGGCCAAATTACGGCCAACCCCCTACGGTAAGGCCAAATTACGAAAAACCCCCTCAACTATGTATTGTCTTACACGTCTCCCCTTCCGATGTCAAATTTACCTACTAAATGAGTGGTTTTTTTTGGTAAGAAAATACATAGTTGAGGGTGTGGTTGTAATTATCCAAACAATAAGGGTTTTTTTGTAATTTGACTATACCTCAGGGGTTGGCCGTAATTTTCCCTATATATTTATATAACTGAGAGTACATATACACAGTAAGGGCAAGTACCCCCACAATTATTGTAGTTATATAAGCACAACTGAGAGTACAAACTACATAGACACAGTAAGGTTAAGTACCCCACATAATTATGAAGATGAATATGTGGTTATTTTAAAATATATACATATTAATTGTTTAGTAACCACCCAAACCTAATGTTCACACAGCATGCTAACTAGGCTTTAATGAATTTCTACAGTTGTAATTTGGAACACAGATATATGTAAATAAAAATTCCGATATGTATTTACGTATTTAGTTCCACAAAGAAACGGATGTGCTCAAAATTTAATATCAGAGTGCAGATAATAATCCAATTCCTATGTCAAATGAATAGTTCAGGAAATAATCGCAAGAATCTGATTCTTCATTCTAATATACGAAACTTTTATAAACAAACTCACCTCATTTTTGTTGGGTAGAAGTTTCGGACGAAAACTTTGCTTCGGACATTTCGACTTCACAGGCACTACTATTGTTGGAGACAGTTTCATTTCCCATCCTCATCTGTTCTAGTTTGGCTAGACGCACAGCACGTAGCTCATATCTGATAATTATATTACGAAGAATAAATTAATTACTTACATGCCTCCACTAATTTAAAAAAAAACATTATTTTATTCAGAAACCGCCTAAACTTTCTTTAGAACCCAAAAAAAAAACACACAATTTCTTATCTATTTCCTGCACGAAAATCTAAAACTCAAACATAGCACGGGCAACTTCAGAATAACGTTAACGAGGCTCATACCTTCTTATGCCAAGATCATAAATATGTACTTCACTAATGTATACAATGATTTCACGGTTGTACCATTCTCCATTCCAGAAAACAAGAGTACAATTCATAAGACAAAAATTGCTAATGCATAAAATGAAATTAGATAACTCACTCAATCACGTAACTCCTAACAAGCGAAAAATATATTCTCCAGAATTCCCTTTCCTTCAAATAGCGGGGGCATAACCGAAACCTGAGTTGTGCAAGCTCCTGGAGAAGCAGAACAACAGTGTTCCAATAGTAAGGAAGAATTACCAAAACTGACGAAAATCTGATAATTCAGTAATTTGATTAATTCTCAATGTGTAATAAACAAAAATATGCACTGAACAAATAGAAACAGTGACTAGCTTCTATTCAATAAATCGCTTGCAATCTACGACATGTTCAGATAACTTACACTATCGAGATTACGTCCAGAACGATTTTTTTAAACAAATTGAATCTACATCATCAATGGCTACTTGCAACAGAACAATAACCTAGAAAACATTTTGCAAATCAAAGTCATAGTATATCTCCTTAAACATGGTCTGCCTCTTGCTCCACCTTTGGAATTATGTAATTTTAAATTCAAAATGAATTGAGCATCATAAGATGTTGCTTCAAAATTCGCCCTAGTTTTTCAATTTCGAAATCAATCTGCTAATAAATCCTGCTATTTCTGATCAAGGCAAAAAAAATCTAGCAGAAAAGGAGACGAAGAATCGGAGAGGGAGAAATGAGACCTTGATTCTGGAAAGAACAAGCATGGCGTGTTTCTCTTGCCAATCGGAAAGATCCTTACTCAAATTTCCGGAATCTTCACCATCAACGCTGCTTCTCTCTTCATCTGCAACAAAAAAAAAATCCCCAAAGTGAAACAATAGCGCATACGTATATCTATGTAGATGATTTATAGAGAAATGGCAGTAAGAGTAAATACCGATGAGAGAGAAGTTTGTGAAGGTTTCTAGAGAGAAGGATTTGATGAATTCCGCCAATTGCTCAGTGACTCCATACAATTGTTCATCTTCTTCTTCTTCTTTTGTTTTGATTTTCGAGCTCTTGGCGGCAGAAGCAGCGGCGGCGGCGGTGGTGGTGGTGGTGGTGGAGGGCAAGGAGGTCTTTTTCAGTTTGGAAATGCTGCGTCGAAGCCATGAATATGCATCCATGTTCCTTCGGTTTCTTCCAGCAACTGGTGCGAGAGAGAAAAATTGGCCCAAATTGTTTGATCTGGATATCTTGAGCCCATTTCTAATACGGGCCGGGCCAGTCTTGTGCTGTAGCCCGTCAAATACAGCCCAACTGTAAGTGGACTACCAGGAATCAGTTAGACCCATTACATTTAATTAAAATACAAAATATACATTTTACCTAAAAAAAAGAATTGAATTCTATTTTAATCTTTTTTTTATTAATTAAACAAATTAGTCTTCAATTTAAGTTTTAAAGTAAAAAATACTGGTCCGGAAGTATATGTTATTTTCATCAGGAAAAAAAAAAATTGCTTACAACTTGTGTTACACTTGAATTACATATGTTTTTACAATGAATAAATGCTAAAATACAAGGCCCAGAAATTTGGGCAACAGTATTTGGTACAACAACAGTCGAAGCTATCCTGCCTCTTGTCTATATCGATTATCGAATATATATATCGAAGCTCAATCCTTCACCTGCGCCACTGAATGGGTATGAATAGATACAAGTATCAGAAAGGATTAAAACCCAAAAGCACTAAAATCTCGTTGTCGAATGAGAGTGTGGGAGTTACCTGAAAAATATACTTAACACTTGCAAAATTCCCATTCTTCCTCCGATAAGTCGACGAACTCGGAATTTCCATCTTCAAACATGATCTTGTCGATGAAAAATAGAAGAAAGCTATAAGTAGAACTCGTCTCAAATTGGAAAAAGAAAACGTATCGAAAATACATTGCTGACTCACCAAATGTTTTCTTGTGGTATTATCGAACCGTCTTATTATGCCAAAGGATCTGATAGAGATTAAGCATGGAAAGGCTACAGTCAGCGCGTAGAAGAGAAGGTGCAAGAAAAAGCTCGATTGAACACATGGAATATTTAGCAAGTCTAACAATTTTAGATAGATCTTAATAATGTCTTCAAAAGTATAGCACATTAGCGAATCTATTTAACAATAACGAAACCAGAGAAAAATATAATCAGCTCACCTTTTATCAGTAAAGCGACAAATTCTTATTACTGAACCAATGCAACAATGGCGACTCTTAGTTCTCGGAGCAGGGTCATTCCTTAAACCTCCTAAAAGTCAAAGACAAGCAACAGCATCGAGTGATGCCCTCGGAACAAACTAAGTACGTGATAGGCCAAATATGGTAAAAAAAAAAAAAAAAAAAAAAAAAACAAGTTGGAGCAGCTCACCTAAACAAGAAATTCCATTCGAATAGACCTTCAAGAAGGACAATACACCAAGTTAGAATCCATCTAATAAAGTATTCAAGGACATAAAAATAAGCATTAAGGAACATAGCCTTTGAAGCAACAAGATTCCGGGTCCACTCTGCATGAAATTCAAGTTTCGAAGTTTCGAAACAACCCCGTTAGAAGATTTGATTTATGGTGTTATCTCTGTTTCTTATATCTTTCTTCCATTTTCAGCCAACTCTTAAGCATATGTGATTTGAGAGAAGCTTCTTTTCTAAATGACATAATTCCAGATTCTTCTCGCTAAATTAAAGTATTATGATTACTAGTGGTGAAAAACAAGCAAATGAAAACAAAACTTTTCGAGTTAATTCAGCCAAAGATGTTTCAAAAATCTGCATATTAAACAAAAATAAATGGAACTAACATGTTTATTCGAGACCAGTCCTTTCACTTTGGGAGAATTTGCTGCCACTTGGCGTGCTATTATTTGCAATGCAGCATCTGAAGAAGCTGTTTTTGGTTTATTTGGTTTCACCCCCAGCTTCTGCCGGCAGCCTACAGCACCACAGTGACAATCTTGATCTGCACCAAATTGAACAAACCTGCTATGCTGTGTTAGACCGAACAATAACGATTCTCTTTCAGAGCAAACAACTTATGATTAAAGAAGCTCCAAACATAGTGAGTGCAACGGCCATACTTATAATCATAGGTCAGATGCTCGCCCTTTTTAATATCGCGTGTTGCAAAAATAGCAATTCTTGTCTCGCCATCAATCATCCTGAAATGTAGAGTCGCACAAGAAATTAAAACATAGAAGTTAGTTAGAAGTTGAAATAAAAAAAGTTAAACTAACCATTTCTGCATCTCGGTATTTGGGCAGCAACTGTGATTTATGTATCTTGACTTGTTTCCCTTGTACGTGGCATCAATCACCATGTCCCGGTTGATTTCACATAGGTAAAAGTTAGTTTCTCCGCGGTGTTTCATTTTCCAAAGTCTTTCCTCGCATGTTTTATCATCTATAACTGGAAAAAGTAAAGCATGTTTCTACATTCTGCTATATCAACTCTATAAAAGAAAAAAAGAAAAAAACAGAACTAAAGAATCTGTACCTTCTCCAACATATTCTATGACAAACTCTCCTTGATTAATATCTTCTTCTGCCACAACGCCCATTCCGCATTTCTCAGTCTGAAACAATCACTTCAATTAACTCAAATGCGACTTGAATACATCAAAAGATTTATAGTTTTTTAAAACCCAAAAATGTAATCCGACACTAAAAACAACTGCTTGTATGCAATTGCCAATTCAACTAGGATATGTATGTCATAAAAATGGATACAAAAAATAAAACATACAAGCAGCAGCGGCAGGTGGTCTACCCAGAGTAGTTAATCTGAAGTAACGGGAATATCGTGAATGCACACTGAGTCTAAAAAGTCAACATTCTTAGAAGAATTATCATACCTATGTCCCAGGTCTATGCTATTACCAAAATACTTCAATTAAACAAATTTACTGGAGATAGTGAGGTGAGAAAACATAGCCAACCTAATGAAGTAGGAATCTTAAATTTCTCTAGATGCTTATTTACCTTATAAATAACCAAAAAGGAGTTTTACCTGCACAGTTTTAATCTTCTTTACAGGTCTTTGATGAAATGGCTTATTCAGACATGATATCCCACATTTACAGCCCGAAGAGCAGCTAGACATTAGCATGCTGTGGAAAAAACAAAGAGAAAAATCAAGCTAATGTACTCCTTGATCATAGTTCAGAGTTGAAAATGTATAAGACATCAATCGATATAGAGATGATTATTATTTTATTTTTTTGGTAATGCTGATTATATCTTCTTGGAACAAGAAAATGCATGTACTAGGAAAGGGGGTCAAAGCTTCAAAGTATTGAAACTTGCAAGAAGCAGTCCTACATTTATGCTTTGAAAAACTCCTACCACAGGAAATGAAACAAAAATGATAAGATATTGGATCCTTCCACTGTGGTACTTCAAACCTTTTACATTAATGAAGAAAAATCTTGCTATGTTTTTCATATAATATATTTAAGAGGGGAATGAGTAACTGTAGTTATAAGAGGTAGTAGAAGATCAACTATAGATCGACAATTTGTGAAGTATAGAGATTATAAATTCAAGGTCCCTGGACCAAATCAACCCATCAAATAATCCAATAGTACACCACAATTCATTAGTAAAGCAGAAAGCTACAGATTGCATCAAACTAGAATCTGCTATGTTAATTTCTAAGCTACCACCATAGCGAAATATACCCATTACAGTCTCAACTCTCAAGTTGCAACAAAAGTAATTCTAGTAATCCTTACCCGCAGAGACAATCTTTGCCACAAACACCAGAAGATTCAGCTGATGAACAGCACGAACAAAAGATACCATCGTCCTCCAAACGCCTTTTTACTTTCTTAGTCAAATATACATCTTCATGAAGTTAAGGCTGAAAAAGTTGAACGAGGAAGAGACCATTTCATGGGGGAAGGGGTGTGGGCGGTTATAACAAACAGTAAAAATTCAACTGAAGTTATATGGGGAGTGAATTAAGTACAAGAAAATGCACACAGAACAAGCATTGATGCAAAACATAAACTAAAACATAAAGCTGATGGATACTGCGTCGTATTTTGGTGTAGGATGTTGAGTTCCATTTATTTAAAGAGTCAGGAAGTTCGAAATCAACTGGACTTCCAATGTCGCTCACCAATTGATTGAATACTTGTGCAATCCCAATGCATTCAGCATTCTGGTTACATTACAGTAGAAACAAAAACATTACAATTAACAACGCAATCATTTTAGAGACTGTGAGGGCATAAGAAAATCCAGACGATGATAATAAAAGATCAACCAATTAGGGAGCCACCCATAGAACATATAAATAAAAGTTTCCACAGTCCTCATGATAGTGATCAATGGCATAACAAGGTAAATTTTCAAGGAGCTTCCCTCCAGAGGAGCCAGGATACAATTAAAATTCTCTCTAATCAAAATTTCATTTATGTCATCTTCCTTCAATCTATTTACTCTATGCTACATAGACCTCACTGTTGAAGTGTAAAGAAGCAATATATGATACCATAATAGACACATCAAGCAAGCTGGAACTACATTTTCTGTCATTTTTTAACATTTTCGCATGCTAATTCGATGTACCTGTTCTCAACCTATAGATTACAGTGTTTTGCTTTTCGTGCTGGATACTTAAAAACACCAGGACCATAGAAGGTATTTTAACAACACAATCTCTTTCCATTTCACGAATCAAACAACAAGACAAAATAAAATTAAACTCCAATGCCTAGCTCAAGTCAAAGAGTCCTCTATTTGAGAGTATCGACTACCATTCTAATCTCTCACTCGAGAACTACCCTCTTGCCTGGCTTCTCCAGGCATCAACACTATTGTCAACATATAGATGACAATGTTGCAAGAAAAAAAACACTCATATCGATTTTCCTAATACAGTTTAGGGAAACATGAAGTTATGCCTGATTATAAGTTACTCTTTTTATATAGAAACCTTCAATCTCCACAAAGTTTGTAAAAGACAGGTCATGAATTAAGTATAAAATAAAGTTATACCGACCAAGGAAGAATTAAATGCAAGAGCTAGTCTTCAAACAAACCTTCTTCATAGCAGGCATGGCCTTGATAAGCGGCTGCTTACTACTAAGAGGCGATTATTTCTGCAAAAGCAACACAAGAAGTCAATGATAAAGGGACAAACCACATAGCTGATTAAGAGGCAAAAAGTACCAAAATAGCCTATAAACATTGTTCCCTGAACAGATTTACAACAATATCTGAAGTTGCATACCTCCACCATTACACTTTTTAATCTGGAGCAAGGAATTAAGTGTTATCTGATGATTCCTCAAAATTAATAACAATACATCCGTTAAATATAGAAAATTGAGGAAAATAATCATTCAAATTCCTTCGTTTTTCCTGCAGAAAAGAAACAGTAAAAGACGTCAACTAACATAATCAACTAACTAAACTCACATTCTTCTATCAGTAACACAAAAGAAGAAATCAAATTAAAACAGGAGGAAAAGAAATAACAGAATCTTTTTCTACACATCGCATTTCAAATGAATTAGCTACCAAAAGTGTGAAAATCTCTGTGTACAGTAGCCGGAGAATAAACGGAAAGAGATAGATGCTACAAGGCTCGCGTAAACCATTGCAGCTAGGGTTCAAACACAGTCAAAAAGAAAATGTGGCAGGAAAAACGAAAAAAACATAAACAAAAAAATCGGACTAAAACACACAAATTAAACTTACATACCGCCGGGCCGGGAGAATCGAATAGACGGCAGCAAGTTGTCTGCACTGTGTGAGTGAGTGTGTGTGTGTGAGAGAGCAGGGGATGAGAGAGAGAGGAAAGAGAGGGAGAGACTAGGGGATAAAAGGGTAATTTTTCTTGCCAAATTGGGATTTACAAAATAACGGTTACGACAAAGTAACGTTTTTAATACATCGCTACTTTTAATTCTGGGGTGAAAACCCGACTTTGATGGTTTTCTAGGCCCAATCCTTTTCCCTTTTTTTATACCTGTATTATAACAAATAAGATTGTTTGTAAACATTCAACAAAAAGGGGATGTAGCTCAGATGGTAGAGCGCTCGCTTAGCATGCGAGAGGTACGGGGATCGATACCCCGCATCTCCATTTTTTTCTTTTTTTTTTTAAATTTTTTTAATTTTTCAACCCCTAAGAATATCCAGAGATGCCATGAATCAGTGCCACCTGTCAAGCCTACAAACACCATCCACCACCAATCGTCAAAAAAATAATCTGAAACCCCCCAAGAATCACTCCTTTTTCTCACGCTCAGTGCACGTTTCCTGTGTCTGCGACTGCATGCAATATGGCAACGCTGGAGGCTGCTGCTGCTATTCCGGGCCTCCGATTCCGGCCACAACAATCCACTTTAAACCCACCGAGGACAAGACTCTCGAGTGCCGCCGTCGGTCGGAAAATCCACCGGCTATCGCTCAAGTGTTGTTCGCTCGTCGAAGAACAAGTTTCTAAAGCAGCAGCAGCTTTTACAGAGGACGAAACTTCACTCATCGATGCTTTGATCGGAATCCAAGGCCGCGGCCGCTCCGCCTCCTCGCCGCAGCTACAGGTCATCTTAACCATATTAACAAAGTTAATAAATATATATATACTTGATTTTAGCAAATTTTATTTTTAATTTTTTTTAATTAAAAAACTAATTTGAATCTCCATAGAGATAAATCAATATTTCACAACAGTGTGGTATTCTGGTAATTTCCATGTATTTGCCCTAATCTGAATTCTTGAATGTAGTAGTTAAAAATTGGTTCAATTTGTAATGCAGGAAGTTGAAAGGGCAGTTCAGAAATTAGAAGGTTTAAAGGGTGTACCTGATCCAGTAAGTCAATTATTAAATTATTTAAATGTGTAACTTTCTATGTATATTTAAAAAAAAAAAATTATTTTATTTTATTCAGATTTGGTGTAATAATTTGTAATTAACAGACGAGTTCCAGCTTAATCGAAGGCCGTTGGCAGTTAATGTTCACGACAAGACCTGGAACAGCTTCCCCGATTCAGGTTCGATTTTATATATATATTTTGTTTTTTAAACTCTTACATTTAGGCTTTTAAAATGAAAAAAAATAAAGAAGAAAACATTGCTAAGTATTAATATTATTACCGGTTGTCATTTTAGCTGTTTTACCTTTTTTTGCTGATGCAGAGAACATTCGTTGGGGTCGACTCTTTCAATGTATTTCAAGAGGTGTTTCTTCGAACCGACGATCCACGTGTTTCCAATATTGTAAAATTCTCCGATTTTATCGGTGAATTGAAAGTAGAGGTATATATATAACTTATATTCTGATATATACTTCTACTTATAGTACAGTATAATTTTCATTTCTATACCGTTTCGGATATATTTAAATTCGATAAATGATTAAATGATTTTTTTTGTCTGGATTTTTTTTTTTTTTTTAATTTTCCACCTTTTTAATTTAGTTTTTATGTTATATTTGAAAACGTGTATATAGGCAGTGGCATCAGTTAAAGATGAAAAACGAATCCTATTCCAATTCGATAGAGCTGCTTTCTCGTTTAAATTTCTTCCTTTCAAAGTACCATACCCTGTACCGTTTAAACTTCTTGGAGACGAAGCAAAGGGCTGGTTGGACACTACTTATTTGTCTCAATCGGGCAATATCCGTATATCTAGAGGAAACAAGGTAACATTTATTAGCTCCTTAATTAATTAATTTCTATCATTACGTAATTATCTTCGATGCACCTTAATTAGCATTATTAAAAGAAATAAAAATTAATTACGGACCATCATCTGCTAATTATTAAGGACCCTCAGTTCGAATGTTGTAGTGCAGGGGACCACGTTTGTACTGCAAAAGAAAACCGAGCCTCGACAGAAATTGCTATCGGCTATTTCGAGTGGTGCACAAGTGAAAGAGGTTTAGTTATTATAAAAATGGTGGATTTTATTTATTTATTTTGTTAATTAATAATCTTGAAAACATCATCTGGCAGGCGATTGACGAGTTTATTACTACCTTAAATCGAAGTACGGTTACTAAAAGTGAAATTGAACTTATTGAAGGGGAGTGGCTCATGATATGGAGTTCACAGGTAGTATTTTTTCTCCATAAGTAAAACTAATCTTGAAATTTTGAATTTTACCACTATTTATGGAGAAATATTTTACGGTAATTCACTGTTTTGTTCGTAAAATAAAGCTAAGTTGCTACGATTATTTTTCACTGCAGGAAGAGACGGAGAGTTGGATAGAGAATGCTGCAAAGGGTTTAATGGGAAAGCAGGTGCATTCAAGAATATATATATATATATATATATATATATATATATATATATATATATATATATATATTTCCTCTAACTATTTACTCAATCTTATGATATTACTATAGATTATCAGGCCGAACGGTAACATTAAATTTCTAGTCGATATCTTATTTGGTCTCAAATTCTCAATGACCGGGAAATACGAGTAAGTTGACTCCCTTTAGATATCATTTATATTCTAACTTTTCATTACCAAAAAAAATAAAAAAATAAAAATTATTTTCGTTACAAGAATTCGATGATTTGATGCCTCGTAATTAATTAGTTATGGTACGTACATATGAAGGAAATCCGGGTTCAACACGTATGACGTGGCGATGGATGACGCAGCAATAGTGGCTGGTCCGTATGGGATTCCTGCAGAAATGGAAACCGGCTTCGCAATAGAACTGCTGTAAGAAAATCGAATAGTAGTTATTTATTTATTGCAATTGGCTTTTAAGGATTTATCGCAGATAGGCAGATAGATTTTTTCGTAAAAAGATGAATTTTTTACTGAATTCGTTTTTTCGTTTTGTATGTGTTGGTGCAGATATAGTGATGAAAAGATGAGAATTAGCCGAGGCTATAAAGAGATTCTTTTCGTTCACGTTCGGTCTTGAGAGACGAGTACTTTGCATATATTAATGTTGGAAAATACTCGATTGTTGTTTGATTTTTGAAACATTAAAAGTCAATAAGAAATTCATTTGTATATATTTATAAGTGCATACATCAATCATAAAAGTGTAGTTGTAAAAACTAAAAATCGAAATTTTCCGAGATTCAAAATGAAGATCATTGTTTCGAAATCGGATCGATTTAGGTGAATTTTTAGAAATTCAGATTTTGTTACTGAAACTTGTAACATAATTACTAGTATTTCATCTTCATAATTAATGATAATAATAATTCGAAAATTTATTTAAAACAAAAAAAGAAAAAAAAAGTGATGACTCGAAAAACAAAATAGGGTAAATAACACTTAACCCCTTGTGGTTTGAACTTTGTGAACATGACCCCTTTATAGTTTCAATATAACACATGACTACATGTATTTTTAAAAAGTATAATTATTTAGCAAGTGAAATACTATAGGGCTTATGTGCTTATATTTAACGTACAAGGGGTCACGTGCACACAATTTCAAATTATAGGGGTCATGTGATTATATTGAGAAAGTACAAGGTCATGTGCACAAATCTCAGAATTGCAAACCCTGGCGCCGATTTTATAGACGAGGAAACAAATTTCGTAATTTGTGCTTTCGTCTTCTTCGATTCAGCTCGCGCCTTCCAATTACTGGTTTCTGGATACTGCAATTTTCTCGTCTCATCGGAATATGCGGGAGGCGTTTCGACCCATGTGAAGAGTTCAATGGCTACTGATGAAAATCAAGCCCTAGGTAAAATTTAATTCAAACTCTTCGTGAATAATTTATCAGTATTCCCTGAAATTCGAACAACGGAGGAATAGAGATTGGTATTATCTTTTGTTTTCATTTGAACAGTCACCATAAAAGGGAAATTGTTCAGATTTTGGGGTTTGAACATTAGTTTAATTTTACGCAATTTGTAATGTTCAATTTGATTTCTGATCAATCCTTTCTGGTTGCACGGTAGTGTAAGACATGTTTATTCAATTTGAATTTTTATCAACCTTCAAAGTTGTGTTTTCGCTTGGTTTGATAACTAATCAACATGAACACGAATCGAACTCGAGCCGAACTTTCATAGCTTATCGAGCAAAAGATATGTGTTCGAACAAGATTTTAAGGAGCGATTTAATGGAGTATAAAGTAGCTTGCTTTGATTTCCAGCCCTATATATATATATATATATATATATATATATATATATATATATATATATATATATATATCTGTGTGTGTGTGTGTGTTATTTGATTACCTTTTCTAATTGTTTCAACCCTATTGGAAGATATTTGTGGAACTACTTTGATTACCTTTTAACTTCTGATGCAGAGTCTGATGTGAAAGAAAAATGTTGGGATCAACGAGAAGCTTTGCCCGGAGAACCTGTGTGTGCTGTATGTGGCCGCTACGGTGAATACATATGCGATGAGACTGACGATGACATTTGCAGTCTCGAGTGTAAGACCACTCTTCTCATTCGTTTAGCAAAATCACAGACTTCATCTGCTCAACCACCTTCTGTAAAACTACCAGCAAGAGATGAGTGCTACTATGTTCGTGATGGTAATAATAAAACCGAACTTCAAATTCTGACCAACACCCGGACAGAGCAGCTCAGGGCAAAACTCGAAATATCTGTGCAGGGCGATAATGTTCCTGAACCTGTTTTGTCTTTCGGTTCTTGCAATCTTCCGCAGAAGCTCCTCCAAAATCTAGAAGCTGCGGGGTACGAGATGCCGACACCTGTCCAAATGCAGGCGATCCCGTCTGCATTGATCGGGCGGAGCATGCTTGTCTCGGCCGAGACAGGGTCCGGAAAAACATGTTCTTTTCTTGTTCCGGTAGTTGATTACTGTACGAAATTCAAGAACAACCCACAAACACCGCTGGCAATGGTTCTTGCTCCTACTAGAGAGCTGTGTATACAGGTGGAGGAGCAAGCGAAGCTGCTCGGTAAAGGTCTGCCATTCAAGACCGCCCTAGTGGTCGGCGGTGATGCCATGGCGGGACAAGTACATCGTATCAAGCAAGGAGTTTCAATGATTGTGGGGACCCCCGGAAGGCTCATTGATCTTCTTACAAAACACGATTTTGAGATGGATACGATAAAGATTCTTGTCCTTGATGAGGTGGACTGCATGATCCAAAGAGGGTTCCGAGAGCAAGTCATGCAGATTTTCCAAGCTTTATCGCAGCCACAAGTGTTGATGTACTCTGCGACAGTTTCGAAGGAAGTAGAGAAGGTGGCTGGATCAATGGCAAAGGATCTTACTATTGTATCGGTTGGGCGGCCCAACAAACCTAGCGGGGCAGTTAGGCAGCTGGCGATATGGGTGGAGTCCAACAAGAAGAAGCAAAAGCTCTTCGACATATTGACGAGCAAGCAGCATTTTAAGCCGCCGGTTGTGGTGTTTGTGGGTTCGAGAATCGGGGCGGATCTTCTTTCCGAGGCAATAACAATGAAAACAGGGGTGAGAGCTTTATCCATCCATGGTGAGAAAAAAATGAAGGAGAGGAGAGATGTAGTGAGGTCGTTTTTGGTTGGGGAAGTTAGTGTGATTGTGGCTACGGGAGTGTTGGGCAGAGGAGTTGATCTTTTGTCTGTGAGGCAGGTTATTGTGTTTGACATGCCGAATTCGACGAAAGAGTATGTGCACATGATTGGAAGGGCCTCGAGAATGGGAGAAGATGGTGCGGCGATTGTGTTTGTGAACGAGGAGAATAAGAAAATATTTCCAGAGTTGGTTGATATTCTAGAATCTTCCGGTGCTGCGATTCCTCGCGAGCTTGCTAATTCACGACGTGCAGTGAATTCTTTCTCGGTGGGAAGGGCTCAGAAGAAAAGGAAGCATGGCTACTGAATGTACCTTAGCCTTTTCTTCCGCTTCTGTAGTTTGTCTGAGAATGTCTGAAACGACATCTCTTTAGATGTAACTAGTGACGATAACTTCTTGTCCTGAATGAGCGGTCGTGATTAGTGTCGGTTGAAGGGAACGTGAACTAATCTTAAGAAGGCTACAGAATTGTTCTCAAAACGTGCAAGATCTTGTCGGAGTAAAGTGCTTTGCTCTTCAGGTACCCTAGATGTGAACTTTTGAAGTATCACTTGGTTTTGTTTGTCTCTCATATCTTGATAATGTTTTGGTATTTTCATCTAAACAAGAATTATGCTTTTTTTTTCCAGGTTAATAAGAGTACTTGTGTTGTCTTCCAATCGACCGTATTATTATTTTTTTCTACGGACATGAATCAGTTCATCTGCCTCGGTATTTTTCCAATGCGCATTTTACATTATGTATACTAGGATGATATTGTAGTTTACCGAGTATATATAACTTGTATACGATCATCATATTCGAAAAGATAAGGTTACTCGGTTATGCTGGTGGTGCATTAAAGTTATTCTATGTCATCTTCTTACGGCACCATATTCTCCATCGTCTGCTTTTCCCCATCTCTTCATTGATGCCATTTTTAAGGTTCTAATCACTCTTTAATTTAAAGTCGAAACGTGTAACTAATAAGGTAAATGAAAAGATTAATGGTACAAGTAGATAAAGATTAAATATACATACTCAGATTAAAAGCGGCTAAACCTGTACAGAAAAAGATGGAAAAAAAGAAGAATAAATATCCTTTGGGGTTTAGCAAAAAGAGTGACACCAACTTGCGAAGAAAACAACGAAATATATGGGAAAGCGTGCCCCCACATGCTCTGGCATTTGATAACCACAATAACCGTTCCCCACGAATAATTTATGGCTTTCATTTCTGGTTTTTGTTTTCGTAGAATGCTTTCGTATCATGGCCTTGGTCGACTCATCTCCAACACAACTTTCCGCCAGCCGAGCAATCGTTCATCCTCAGACCAAGCGGAAGAGAAAACGGACTCGCATTAGCTGAGAAAATGACCCGCGGACAAATTGAAAGCAATTAAAAGTAACAGTACAATATTGTTAAATCCACCTCACCACACTACTACACTAATTCAACAATAGGGGTTAAGTTGTAATCAACTCATCGAACCTTCAGGTGAAAATCATGCTGTATGAATTCGTACCGAATACTGTTGAGTGCTGCTTCTGGTAAACCCGGAGGAGTAAGAGGGATCAACTCGTACCAAAAAAATCTTCTGCAGCAAGATGCTTCCGGCTTCAACACTCGGAACTCAACTACACCAAATGAAGCATTAAATATCAGGCTCAATATGCGGATCTCAACTACCACCAAATGAACCATAAGAGAAGGAGCAAGGATAAAAACAAAAAGGTACTGAATCAACACGCACAAAACAGGCACAAATTTAGCAAGAGTATTGAGGGGATTATTCAAGATTCACAGGTTCATTAACAAAAACAACGGATTACATTACATGGTCAAGCCTCGAGAGAAAGAAACCCTATCAGCAACCGTCTAAAAGCAGAAGACTGATGATTCATCATATCCCTCCACTAAACATGAAAAAAAAAAAAAAAACACAACAAAAAAAAATTAAAAGGAGAGAAGCACAGAACATTAAGTGACAGGAGCTACGCATCGAGTTTTTTAACAGTCCAATGACAAAAAAACACCACTAAACCAGCTTTCTCTCTCTTCGCTCGAACTTGAGGGATATTTAACTAGATACCTACACACCCAGATTCAACATTACCAAGTTCAAATCACACAAGTTGACAAGGGACAACTTTCTTTCAGCTTTCATTAACCTCTGTAACACTTGAATTTGCAACATCTCTTCGTGAAACCGTTTCGTCTTTTGCTACACCAACATCTTCCATGCAAACATCTCTTCCTACCACCACAGTTTCACACGACTCAGTACCACTATTATCCGTAGCCTTCACCATATCCACACACTCGTCCTCACCCCCACAATTACCATTCTCTTCTCTATCTTTCTTCGTTTCCTCATCCTTACTTTCCTCAATAAACCCTCCCTTCTTGTCTTCTTGTTCAAAATCTGTAACATCAACATTCTTATCAGATTCAGCAGGAGCATCATCGTTATTATGCGCTTTCTTCTCCGAACCAGACACATCACTTTTATCTTCAGAATCTTGACCATCGACACGAACTTCATTATCTCCACTGAAGCCGTCATTATTGTCCTCCATTGAATGAGCTCCCTCTTCTCCACGACTCCCACTCTCGTTTTCCGAGTCATTCTCCACCACCTCCTCGTTAATCTCCTCCCCCCCTCGATTGCCCCTCCTCTCCAAAAGCTGCATCCTCCTCCTCAAATCCCCCAACTCCCTCTCCATCAAGAACAACCTTTCTTTCAAGATCAAGTTCTCGTCCTCCAGCTGCGCAATATGAGTGTCCTGATCATCCACTCGATTTTCAAGCACGTTGTGGTACTCCATCCCACTCACGTTGATATTATTCGGATTGTAAATCATTTCGAAACGGCTCAAATCGTGGTCCAACCTCCTCTCCACTTCCACATGCTCCTCCACATCGCTCTCACTCGAACCTCCTTCATCTTCGTCTTCATCCTCGTGACCTTCCATGTCATGACCGGGCGACCTCAGCCTAATCAACCCCTTCATGGAACCATATCCATCAACACCCCATTCTTCTTTCGCCATGTCCACCAAAACCTCCCTAGATGGAGAGAAAATGGGAGTCGGCAAAACAGCAGGTGTCATCGGAGAAGGAGAAACCAACGATGCAATACCGCCACTCTTTTTCGCCCTAATTAGGAAGGAAGTCGTATTCCTTGGAGCAAAGGGGGCCGACCTGCTATTATTGTAATTGTTGTTGTTGTTATTATTATTATTATTATTGGCACCCATATTCATATTCATGTTCATGCCCATATTTATGTTCTTATTGTTGAACTTCTTTTTCGGAAAGAACTTCCGGGTCTTCAATCGGTTCTGCTGCTGCAAATCGACCAGAGTTGGAGGCTGGTAGTTATTAAAATTCAGATTCCCAACACCGCCGAGGCCGCCGACTATGTTGACACTTCCGGCAATTCCACCGCCGCTAGGGCCAGGGTTCAGGGGCTTCTGCTGCTCATTCCTCCTCTTGTCATTGGGTTTATTTACCCTCTTGCCCTTCCAATTACTCCTCGGACCAAGAGGCTTTTTAAAAGCAGAAGACGGTGGCTTCATAGCACCGGGGTTAGGGTTTGGGTTCTGAAACTGCGGCGGTGGTGGCCAAATTCCGAAGCTCCGATTCATTGGAAGCATCTGCGGAGAATAATTAATCAGATTAATCATTGGAATCAAAAGAGGGGAGTTTAAAAATAAATAAATAAAAGTTATTCCGGTTAACTGAAATTACCTGCGGCTGCTGCTGCTGCTGCGGATTCATTTGACTCATACTCATCATATTCGGATTCAAGTTCATCTGATGTTGTTGGTTCATCATTTTCGGTTGCTCGTTCATCTCAATTATATCCAAACACTGATCCACAACACAAAAAAAATCAAAAAAATTAAAAATCAAACAAGGTGAAAATCATAAACCACTGAAAAATAGAGATTGAATTTGAGAATTCACCTATTCCAAAAATTCAAACGCACCCGACCGTTGGGCGTTCGAATTCCTCTCTCTTAATTCAAAGCAAAAGAGAAAAAGGAACCAAAAAATAAATAAAAAAAACACGGAAAATAGATTTTGGACAGATTTTACTCCGGCAAGGCCGTAAATCCAAGATCCAGAAGAAATTAAGACAGAAGAAATACAGAGAAAGTAATTTAGATCTTGTATTCTTTGTTACTGTTATTAAAGTTTCTCTCTCAAAAAGTCTCGAGTTTCACGTATTCTCTAATCCTCTTTGTAAATTTTATGTATTTTTTTTTTTTTTTTTTCAGGTCCTTCTGTTGTAACGCGTGGGACAAATGGGACGACGAAATGTTTATATAGAGGGGAAGAGAGAGAACCGACGGTCTTGATCTACATCTGAGTTTGAACGGCCAGGATTAAGATGGAACAAAGTATGGTTAGGAGAGGAGTAGGGGTCGGGGTTCAAGCTTCGTAGGGAAAAAGCCTTAGATTCGTCAATATTTACGTGAGATGCCATTTGATGGTACGACGTCGTATCATAGTGCTTTTGAAAGACACGGGCTTTTTGTGATGCTCAAGACACGGTAATTGTGTGTTACTACTTTTTATTTGTTTACAATAGCAACCGAAGATGTTTGGCTAAACTTATAAGTTGATAAATTTTTTTTATAAAATGTTTAAAAGTTTTTAAGTCCTTAAAAATTGGTTGGTAAATTTTTAAATAAAAAATCTTAATAATTTTAAAAATTAAATTTATTGGAGAACAATAATTTTTTTTTTAAATACATTTACCTCATTTTTTTAAATCTTACAAGGAGTAAAAATTATTTATAAACTCATTATCTAAATAATTCAAAAAATTGATTCAAAAAATAAGAAATAACAGTTTATCAGTATTATCTTATCAACTTAAAATAAGTTTAATTATCAAAAAAAAAAACTTAAAATAAGTTTAGCATCATGCTTTATTTCATTTTTTATATATATATATGTGTATGACTAATGTGATTTTGAGCCTCCATTATTATATATTCATGTGCAAATTGTTTATTTAGCAATTAACGTTTTAATAATTGTAAATAATTATCCATACAACTCTGGCAACTCCTAAATCAGTTACTGGTCAAAATAGATGCTTTTGGACAGTTCATTTTGGTACACCAACAAAGAATTCAGGCAGCTTCCTAATTATGCAGTTGCTACAAATAACTACTTTTTATTTGTCATTAAAAATTAAAGAAAAGAAAAAGCCCACTTTTAACTCAACTAAATATTATCAATAGAAAGGATTGACCTAAATACATCTAGTAAGAATAATTGACAATGTAATAATAACATCAACTTCCTAGTAGACTGAGTTTGATGGTTATAATTACAACACCTAATAAAAGCTCAAAAATGCAGCTTAAATAATTAAACAGTTAAATTAAAATAGAACGGAAGACAATAAAAACATGATTAATTACCAGTGGAACAGAGGAGCTATCACAACTACTCCTTGTTCCTAGAGGACCTGTCTTTCCTGTGGCCGCCAAGAATACGAGAAATCTGAAGACCTCTACTGAATGCTTGGTTGAACAACATTCGTGTCTGAAATTCCGACACGAAAGGGAACCATGCAAGAAATGCAACAGGTGTGAACAGGAGTAACCCCATCAATATTTCGTACCCACGTGCTAGTGTTCGAACGGACCCCCAGAATCCAAATTTTTGAACCACGGGCTTGCATGCTTGTGCAATCTTGAAAAAAAAATAACATTTTTTTTTTATTTTATATAAAAATATAAATAGATAATAAGATTTTTGTTTGAACTTAGAGAGAGTCGAGATGGGAGGAAATGTTGACTAACCAGAAGCAAACCCCAACCAGTAGGCATGAAGGCGAGTATGCAAACGATGATATCTCGTGGTGTCATGTGTGGGAGAGCGATTAATATAGCGATGATAGAGATGAATGTCACGAAGATCAAACCCTTTATGAGCCGGAAAACGAGTTGAAAATTTGCGCTGAATTTCCTCCGTCCGACAGAAATTGTCTAGATGAGAAAACAAAAGGAATCATTAAATTTGAATCCAAGCACAAAAAGAACTTTAATCAACTCCAAATGAAAGGTTCTGAAATAAGTAAGAAAAAAAAATATACCTTCATCACAAAAAGAATCAGAACAATCACCAGCCACGATACACCGTATACCTGTTCAAGCATTCATCAACAAAAAAACAGAAATTACTTTAATCAACTCCAAATGAAAGGTTTTGAGAGAAGGAAAAGAAAAAAATCAAGACGACATACCAAAATACTTTTGGTATTCCTTGTAATGTGCAAGTGATATACGAGCCCATACTGATAAATGAAAAACCTCAACGCCAATACTATCTCAGCAATGATTCCCCGCTTCCCAGAGTGGCGGAGATGGTCTTGCTCCTCCTCCCACCACGATTCCCAACTCTTCTCCGGCGGAACACCAATACCTCCTCTGTTGCTGATCCACTTATTCCAATCAGTCCAGTCATCAACTATTTTTTGCCACTCAAAACCAGAAGGATTGAAGAGGAAGGGAGCAAAAAGCCACGTGCCGACCATAAACCACATCGATACAGTGATTATGATATACGCAACAGCGCCTCTGTAAGATTGGCCAAATATTTGATAAACAAGAAGCAGTATCATCAGCTCGAGTCCCTTGACAAAGTGGCTACGAGAGTAGAGCCGGTAGTTCTCGGCAAATTTGGCGTGGAACACAACGAAACCACGGCCCGTGGGCCTGTACTTTGCACCTCCATGGAGTAATGTCCTCCCATAATAGTGGGTCTTGGTTCCGAGCGAAAAGGTGAAAAATACTGGTGCGAGTTGCAGCTGCATTAATATGAATTCACTTAGTGCAGTTCGGAAACCCTTTTCTAGTCCGATTTCCATCATCATAGGGAGAGCCATCAGAAATCCAATTTGCACAAAGGACTGAGAAGCAAGAGCGATTTCGAGAGCCTTGTTATCCCGAATTCCTGGTTGCGTACTTAATCCATGTTCGAGACCACTAAGCACAAGATAAAGGCGACCGTAGAGAAATATATACACTGTGAGTACAGTAATCTGCCGGGAAGAACACAATAAAGTTAATAAAGTCTGAAAAAGAAATTCAAAAAATCAACTTAGAAAACTGTTTCGCATACCAAAGTACTGAAGTAGAAACCAATGGTGGTGAAATAACATGATAGCATTCGGAAGAAGTCAAAGCGATGGCCCAGCCTATATAAATCACGACTCAAGGTTTGTTCTCCATTTCCATTCGCGATTTTTGCCTCGAATAGAGAAATCTGGTTAAGACCCACATCCCTCCCTTTACCAACTTGTATGTATTCATGATGGGTCACATTGCCCTCACGAAGTGTAGAATTGAATCCTGCACGTGTTAAATCAGTAAGTCAAGTATCTGTATTATCAACTATAGAAATTACAAAGTGAATTTTACGAGTTTAGACAACAAAATTCTTAGCATACCAGCAAAGATATCCTCACTCAGGTTGATAATCTTTGATGCTTTGCTCACCCCGCCTCTTGTAAGATGAAACAATCTATCAAAAACATCTGGATGACCATAGTGAAACCGAACCCTGTACCAAAAGATGGAATCATATCATGAGATACTTATCTAATTTAACTTGAATCTATGTGGTGGTAAAAAAAAAAACTAAATTAACAGGATTGCTAGTGAAAAAACAGAAAAAATGATGCATAGAACTGTGACTTCAGCAAACATGCAAGCCGTCAGTCGGCTCAATCCACACTTCAAACTATAACACCCTTAATTAGACAATTAAATATAACACCCTTGTCAAACATGAGAAAACTTACTTAAGAGGGTTGGCAAGCAGCCTCTGACCAATAGTGACGAAACTCGTCTCTTGATTAGACATAAACCAAGCGAGTGAAGAAACACTGCAGCCGGAGTAAAAGAATGAGGGGGGTTACATAATGGCAAGGCCAAATAGATAAATTTTCAGCCAGGTTATGCTTATAAAGAAAGAGTGGATAACCTTCCAGTGAATATATGTTCCCTCAGACCAAGAATTGATGGGTGCCTCAGATCATGCTTTTTAAGAAATTCTTGAAGCAAGTTTCTCATTTTGAAAGCCTCTTCCATGTAGTTATCCTACATTTGGATTGTCATGTCAGAACTAAGAAAAAGAGAGAATTCAAATACAAACGAGCAAACAATACACACCTGATTCATATCAATTGTCTGTAAGCCTTCTCCACGAGTGAAAATAATGGCATGATTCTGATTTTCAGGTTTTCCTTCACCGAGGATAGCAGGGCCAGGAAGTTTTATACGATAGATAATCTACATATGGAAATCGACATTAGAATCAAAACACACTAATTGCTGCATGTAATATTGTATAGAAGATCTTCCTTTTGCAAGAGCAGCAGACAAACAATTTAAGAACTAATAAAAGAAAATAATCTGTAAAACTGAAACATGGTTGTTATTACTCTATGAATATCAGGGGAGATTACATGGCAACTCAAACCTACCTACTAGTTCATATGCCAACTTCAATAATATGGTTTCTGAAATTTAGTATATCCACTAATTGGACTAGTGACTTCCACGTAATCTCGGTTACCTGATCAAGATTCTGTCCTGGGTCTGAGGAATTTGACTTTGGCAAGGCAGCTTTCACAAGAGTGGAGTAGTACACCTTATCATTAACCTTCTTGGTTCTGTCTTTACTAGGCTCTTCAACTTCATCAATATATGCCACCCGAAGAGATGGATATCTGATCACAGTAATCCAAGATTAGGTGATGACAGTTGCAACACAATAATAGCCTTACACAGTTATATGGCTCTTACGTTGTCATAAGTCTTAATATATCTTGCGCTCGCTGATCTCCAGAACGTTTTTGAATACCGTACAATTGACAGGAGACCACATATGTGAACTTCATATCAGCCACTGCTTGACATTGAGTCCAAAGCGATCTCTCTCCTTTCATCTGATCCTCATTCAATTCAATCGCCTTATAGCCTTCCATTAAATCTGTTTTAAGTTTCAAACAAAAACAGCTTATAATACGATAATTTGTACTAAAATCTGAAAGTGGTTGCAATGTGTAAATAACTGCCGACATGCACATTTAAATAAGTGAAGAAGATACAGTACCATCGTCCTTGGCCATATCAAGGAATGCCTGAAGTTCCAGAGCTTTGCGATAATACATCATTCCTCTGACTGTTACAATGTAGAAAAGGCATCAGTCCAGAAAAATAAACTTTTTGAACAAACTGAAAGGAACACCAACTCAAGCGTAGCAGTGGCACTTCTAACATGAGAGACCATTGAATCTGATCCATATGTGCATCAAACAACATGTACTTTGACCAACAAACGTTATCCGGTTTTATTCATGCAACTGAAACATTTATAATGGGCTATTGAAACTACAAGTGTAGAAGGGATGAGAGGTTCATTTGGTATTCAGGCTATAACATGACGACAGTAGGTTGTATTACCACCAAGGACACTTAGCACCACTACATGTTCACTGCAGGAGCAAACCAATCCCCAACCCAATTCCCAGCAGGAAAAATAAAATAAAAATCACAGATTGCTGATTATTCAGATCAAATGCATACCAGTTTTAGTCAATGTTTGGCCCCTATATGATGCCCAAAGGCGTAGCTGTTCTTCTAGTTCATCGGACCCCCTAAGTTCTTCTTCACTGAGACAGTTGACACGCTCCAAAAAATTGTTCCATTCATCTGTGTAAATTTCAGTTCCAAGGTTAGTACAGAAGGAGAATTATGATACAGCAGATAGCATCCAAAGCACATACCTGGGTAAATTTTCTGCAAGTAAAAGAGAATTGAAACACCATCTTCATTCGGCACTTCTAGCACAGGCAATGAGAAGAGAACCTCTTCCGTGTAATATGGAGTCAAAACACTGCATTTAGAAATAATGTAGGAAGTTATATTCACAAACAAAATAAATTGGATTAATACTTTCAGATTAAGCAAACAGATGAAACAGAAGGCCCAGGCACAAAACGACTCACGAGAAAGAAAGCATATTGCGGACTTTAGGAGCTAATGGCATGTCCATAAATAAGGAATTAGAGAAGAAGGACATGCGTCTTCTGGCTTCTAAGTTCGATGGTACATCCATAGCAGATTCCTTCACTGTCAGCAACAAGTACAACCTCTTGATCTGTATGAAAGAAAAAATCAAAATTTCACAGGTATAGATGCTATTATAAGTTAATTTGCAGAAACAATTCAACTTTTTATTTACCTTCTCTTTCCAAGCTTCCGATTCAGGAGCTGGGAACTTGATGGCACCAGCTGATGCAAATAGCTGATATTGTTGATCAAGAGGGACCATTCCTTCATGTCCTGATCCACCGTGGATTGAATCTAACAAGCTATTCAAAGAAAATGCACAAGAATGAGAACACTTCGGCTTATCTCAAAAGTCAACACTTGCATGGTGAAATAAACATTACTTGGATACATGATCTTCCATCATTATGTCTCGGGTCACAACTTCAAGCATGTCTTGGAAAAGAATGACAACTTGGTCCCTGTCCTCCGGCTTATTCTCTAGCTGCAAATAGGCCAATTTCAGCATGAAGCTTATGCATCACCAAATCATAGTAACATCAGACTGTAATAGCAGATACAAGAGAAAAATACCTACCAAGTATTTCACAAGCTTGACGAAGAGATCATACAGACTAGGAAGAGCATTCAGCTTGTATTCACTTAATAGATCATCCTCCTCGATATGCTTGTCCACTTCAGAAAATATATACTCAATAACCCTGAAAAAATAAAAAAATATGTAACAAAGTGAAGAACAAGTGGTCATGCTCAAACTGCTAACTACGAATACTTACTCTTTCTCTTGTTTTCCACGAACTAATAATTTAATGATGTTCCGAAATGAAGCATAGCACTCGCAAACAGCAGAATACATATAGTCATCAGACTTGATCCGCTTTTTCAGTTCGCCGTCCTTGCCATTACTGCTGTCCTTGGCCATATCCACTGCTATCGGGATCTATTTTATCCAACAAAACCAGTTAAGCCAAAAAATACTTTTGTGAAGTGTCAACTAATCTCTTTGAATGTTACCAATAATTATACATCTACTTCTCATATCAAACTTGTATTCTTATTCAGAATGACATACTCAAATAAGAAAATTTAGAATTTACACCTAAAATTATAAAGGAGTCTTCTCAAAGGTAATTCTAATATTGCAATAAAGGCCAATCCATGTGCTCATAATTTGTGATCTTAAACACTGGGGAATCATAAGTATTGTCCCTTGCCTGAGTATCTTAGGGATAAGTTATTTTTTCACCTATAGAGTCCAAAATAGAGATGAAAAAGAAAAACATGATTTATTGGGGAGTCCTAAAAGATATAAAGGAAACAACCAGTATCTACATGCAGGGGAAATATCTCATTTAGAAGTGAAACAAAGGTCAAAATGAAACCTTGCTGGCGAGCAAAAAAGGAGGCCATTGCATCAGCTCCAATTCACGATCGGCCCAATATGGAACGAGCAATAGATCCATTTCCCTAATCACAGAATCAAGTTCAGCAAAGAATGAACAAATACAGATATGTCAGATTTTTATTTTTGTTTTCCTTTTGGTACCCATAATATAAGAAAGAAAGAACAAATCAACAATTAACTTTTTTGACAGAACTAGACTGAAGATCACCTATTACTTATAATATCCTCCTCTCTGAAACTTGTAATTATTTTGTTCCACAACTGAGCAAACCTCGCAGCTTCTTTTTCCTTACTGGACGGGATCTGTTACAAAGATATTTTACACGCATAAAAGTCAACTCCAATCATTTTGCATTAGTTAGAAAATTAGTAAAAATGAAAAGTAACAAAAAAATATGATACCACTTCAAACTTGCGGGAAAAGGTGGCCTTCAGTCCCTTCTTTTTCACTGGCTCAGTTCTCTCCTCTGGGATTAAACAACCATTGAAAGCACCAGGTAACGACTGAAATCGGGATCTAAGCATTCCTAATGTCCGAATCTGGAAACATAAGGACAGGGGTCAAAGCCCAAAAGAGAAAAATGCAGTATTCCACATCAAACTACAAGCCATGTCGAAAAATGCTTTAATTGTTGTGGGAATATATATTATCAAATTCTTGCATGAACGGCATCACAAGAACTGAACCTGGTTCAAATATTTGTTATCCAGGAAAACCAATAAGAACAAACAGTCCCAAATCCTTGTACTTACGAGCAAGTTTCAACAAGCTTGTCGCCCTTTTTTTCATTTTTTTAGCATAAACTTGATATCATTAAAAAATATTGACAAATGCTCATTTTATAGCAATTTAAGTTACTGCTAGCGAGTCATTCATATAATGCTATTCTTTTTTTTCTTCAACTTCTAAGCAAAGAACTAGCTACTGAGCTTGCAAGTTCTTGCAATACCATAAGACAATATCTGTAATTCAACACTGCTCAAACAACTACAGAAGACAAATTATGACAGTTTATATCAAGGTTTATGGAAGGAAAGTTCTCCTGACCTCTCCAAGGCGACGGAATGCACCATATATACCTCCAAACAGTGTGGAAAATATAGCATACCAGATCTGGGAATCCATGAAATAAACCTGAAAAGGCAGAATCCATAAGCTGCTGTTTCCAAACAGAGGGAAAATGAAAAGGAAATGGCATATAGAATAAGAACATATAGAATTGAAAAATAAAATTTAAAACAAAAAATTAAATCACGATGCATACAAGAATAACTGGTGCCCAGAGTGCAATCACGACACCTATATTGTTCTTGGCTGCAAAACAAGAGACAGTGGGAATTGAGTAATGGACAAGCAGTTTGGTGTCAATAAAGCTATCAAGTATCTGTCATTATAGCATGTGCACATGAAATAATTAGCTCCACATCACAGTCCAGTTAACTAACCTTGGGGGAAAAACTCATGCCACTGGTAAGTTGATATACGAACCTGCATGATAGCTTTTGTTGGACCTACCAGAGGCTTTATCTGCAATGAAAAGATTCACTCCGTGAAATCAGTACTAATGGCATCATCAAGATGGGTTACCAAAAATAAATGGCACAGTTCACATATTTTGATTTTTACTTCCTTGGATGCCTTTGAAATTGACACCACGTCGCTTAGACAATTAGATGTGGTTCAAGCCTAATCATAAATGCAATAAAACCCACACCAAAATATTTCAGCATCAACAGTGCGATGCAATAGGCATCAGCAATGCTGAAAAACTATGGTTACCCATGTGCACAAGAAGACACATAAAATCAGCATGATAGAAATTTCGGATAAGATAAGCACCTCAACATAAAAACTGAAAGCCAATTTTGTAATGATAAGCAGCATCCAGAATAATGTGTACCTGGGAATTCAGAAAGGTAAGAAAAAACACACAAGATAAATTTGTACAATCACATAGATTTGTCTTTGATGCCTTACTTGAAGAGGGAAAATGTGCTTTCATGCATTCCCCTTCCAACATAGAGTCGAGGCTGAAAGATATAATAGGATGGAGTTACTATCTAAATCCTATTGATGCATAAACATATCCAAAAACCTGTTGCATACCTGTGACCACCACATCGCTAGCATCACAATTTTGTAATTCGAACTTTCAAGGAACCGGCGAATGAACGGGAAAAGGAACAGCAAGACACCGAGCATATTTGGGGACAAGTAGAGAACAATAGCCAAGATAAATAATGAAGGAGAACTTGAGCTGTTGCCAAACCATGATTTGATAGTCTGGGCAAATCCAGGAGGATTCTCCCATGTATAAGCATAAGTAACAGGGAGAACAACCACCCACCCAGCAGCAGCCACCACTTTCAGAACGTATCGTAGTTTGACATGGAATGACATACTCTGTCTAGCTTTCCAACTCAGAATTACATCAAGAACAGCTGTAGTAAAAAGCATACAATTTATGGTATAAGAAATCGGAACATGAGTAGAACAAATATAGTTAACCATTGATGCATAGCAGCATTAAGAACCTGGCTAAAACCTTTACTGATATCCTGCTCAAATCTGTACATTTTCTAAAGCTGTAGTTTATTTATGATCTCGAGTAAAGAATATAATGGCAATGTGTTAACCAAGGCCCATGGGCATGTTCCGTACACCGTTGTTCCAAAGAAATCCACTTCTACATTGAAATAATTTTCAGCCTTTGTACAGTACAAAAATCTCCAATAATATTTTTTTGATAATATTGTTTATCATGCAATACTGTTTTTCTTTAATTCTTTTCAGTATCTTTTAGTTATCAACAGGTGCTAAAAGATAATTTAATCAGTATCAAGCACGTTTAAGATAGAACTAACTTAATACTATGAAAAGCCTTCACAAGCCAGAAAGAGATAATATGTGCTACATTGCCCAAAAATGAAGGTTTCACATACCTTGACCGAGCTTCAGTATTGCAGCAGTTATAAAGATGCTTAACACTTTCTTGAAAACATTAGAATTAAAAGCTGAACTTGGCTGTCCACCATTCCAAGCAATAATGATCATTGCCTGATAAACAACAGTGGTTCTCAAGTCAACATTACAGAACTGAAATGTGTGAAGGGTTATGACTGCATGCATAACATGAGAAGTTCAAGGAAACAAACCTGCAGACACAGTATGAAGAAACTCCACATTCTGTCAAAACTTCTAAAGATATGCCAATATGATCGGATCTCAACAAAATCAACTTTCCCAACCCATCGATCTCTTCTAGGCCTATTATCCTAGATCCACAAAAAATCACATTCGGTTATATTTAATATAGCAAAGATAAATAGACAGGAAGATTCCAAAGACATTGTGAAAGTGTAGAAGTACTTGGGTGGAGGATTAGCTTAGAGCGAGCAGTTAATGAAAAGAAAAATAGATTTGCAGAAAACACATATTTAACTAGTGATTATCGTGTTCAAAGTCAAAATGGAAATTTTGCAAATGAAATTGAATGTTTTCTTTCGGAACAACTACTTGCTTTCTTTCTAGGTGATCCTCAAGCAAGTGTTGAATCAATATATCCTATCATCATCAACTTCCTTCGTCATCCTCCATCATCCACGCTTCATATTCACATTTTGCCTCCCCAATCTCCAGTATTCCATGTCTCCTCACATTCTGTGACCAACACTCTACTTGTTTTAAAACAGGGAGATCTAAAAACCATTTTCGCTCAAAGGGAATAAAGAAACCCGTGAATCTCAGGCCAACCCAACATTGTCGAAGTAAAATATTGCAACACAATTCTATAGTAAGATGAAAACCCCAATGACATGCTTACCCCGTTCCTTTCACCTGGAAGTGGATCAGCAGGCCTACAGAAAAAGTCAGCATCGGCACGCATCGGCCATCCTAAACGAAAACAATCAACAGACCTACAATTTTAAAATAAATTAGTCAAAAGTTCAAATGATAAGCATATTTATAAAAAAAAATATATAAATAACTAATTACCAAAAGTATTCGTTCAAATCATCGTAATTTCTCCACTGGGAATGTTTTGATTTTGCTGTTTTGCTTCTCGCCGCTTCCTGAAATAGAAAAGGATAATTTGAGTTAAGGAGAGAAGTAGAAAATTATCTTCAGAACAATAGGAATCTGGTAAGAAAATAATTGAATTCTAAGAGACTCTGTACCTGAGCAATCACTTCATAAATTGGCTTGACAACTTTTTTTAAGAAAGCCTCTTCCTCCCCTCCATAGGCTGGTTTCACATTTTCACCAGTCATTGGACTAACATTTCCAGCGAGCATGCCATAAAGTTCAAAAGCCATCTGACAGACAAAACTCAAATGATTACCAAAATCCTGATAAGATGTGAAGTGTTATCCTTCATGATTTAGATATTACAAAATATTCAGCAACATAAGCTAAGAATGCCATATTTAATAATTGCACGACAAGCAAGGTCTTCTTTTCTTAAGCATCAATTCCACTCTGGTGGTTTCATTGTGATTCGACCTACATGACATACAGGCTGTGTGCTTTTCAAATCTTGATACTAAGGAATTTTCTTCTAAGTGCAGCAACCATATTTATTTGGAAAAAGTTTTGGATGGCAATTCATAAGTACATCTTTGAGAAAATCCATGTCACAGTGGAAAACTACTTCCTAGAAGAATAACACTTTGATTGATGTAGCTGACAAGTTGCTGTTACAAATATCATTTTATGAAATGTTGCAACACTTTTATTCTACTATCTCATTGAAACCAAAAATCCCTGTCTTACATGCCTGAAATAATAGAAATATATTTTGAATATTTCACAGCAATCAAAGGAATCAAGCAGAACTGTTAGCATTCATATAATAACAACACAATAAAATGGAAAAGGTAAAATGATTCATGTGTACAAAACTGTCAGCATTTTTATCTCTCTAAATTAGCAATAAAAAAGGCACAAAAAGGTGAAACAGCAAAAATATCACGTTATTTCAAAAATAATATTAGACTCAAAGCTAAGAAATCATTTATCTCAGCTTTAAGCATGTCTAGTTGTTTTAGGTACATAAATATCTAAAAGCATACATGATGATAGATGTAGCATAGGCACTCTGGCATGAATCTCAAATTGGCAGCCTCTCCCCATATAAGAAGATACAGCCCCATATATAACAATTTACGCTGTTGCACTTCTTGTTGAATAGTCGGTAACCTGCAATAGATAATAGAAGCGACAAAGATCACAAATCTACCAGTGCAGGACTAACCCTTCGTGGTTGACTCAAAAAGTTTCTTTCAAAGATATCTAAATAAGAAACCGAAACCACATGCAACGATAAGAACTTCCCAGAGGCAATTAATATAAATGATAGATACTGCTACTCCTAATTTGAACAGCAAGCAGCTAGTGGTGCACTACACTATACGGCCAAACTTTCATGATGTGACCTCAACGATACAAATATTTAAAATTCAGCTGACTGGATATAGGATTAGATGTAGATGAAAAGTTAAATATCATATCTAAATGGCTGCATTAGAGTGAGAAAGATACCAGAGGCTACTTTTGCGGTCCAAATACTTGCACCACTTTTTGTAGTTCTTGAAAAGCTTCTTCATCACTTCATCTAGTGCACGCTCATCCAACTAAAATTACATAAATTGCTTGATAAGTTATTTTGACACAAGAAATTGAGAGAAGCTGATTGTCCTGCCCCTTCCCCACCCATCAAGTGAAAAGCAGAAAAATAACAACAGACAAGATGGACTATATGTTAAACCATAAACGAAACAAAAGGCTTCAGGCTAGTTATTAATTACATGGTGTTTCAATGTCTCAAGCCGTATTTACATTTTCAATACGTTTGTTTCACGAGCCATCTTTGCAGATATCTGGGTCAGATTCTCGCATTTTCCATCAGCATCCAAAAATGTAAATGCATCATACGATTTGTATTCATGAAGAAAATATTGTTATATAACAAGCAGAACCATATCTTCCTATCGAGAGTCTTAAAAGAACTAATCATATTGCTCAACAGCTTCTGAGATACAGAAGAGAGAAAATTTTAATCTATATAACACTTAAGTTCTAGTAAGGCCACCAAAAAACATTGAGAAAGACGGGAGTTAAAGAAGGCAAACCTTCGGTTGTTGATCAGGCTTTGGAAATTGTCGTATGTGTACATTTGCAAGTAGCAAAATCAAATGCTCCCTTTGATTTGCCACACTATCTTTCTGCAAATTAATTTACAGTCAACAGCAATGGGATTCAGTGGGACACTCAGCTTTGCATGCCACTAGCAACATTTGTGACGTTTAAATTTGATGCACGAAATATGTGATAGCAACACATTATCACTTTATGATCAGAATTTGAGCTACTTAACCTGAAAACCAAACATGGCTTGAAGCCAGTCAAGGATATCTTCATCCTTTTTCTTCTTGTAATCCTTCGGCCAAGGAAGACCTCTGGTAATTCGAAGCGCGTGTACAGCGGCTTGTACCTTCAGAATCGAGGTAAGGTGAGGTAACATTATAGAAGTAAAATCATCGAAAGTAGAAACACAAGCAACATATAATCAAAATAAAGTAGATAAGTTAACTTCAGAGCAGACCTCTGGATATTTCATGATTGCCTGATTTGCACTATCAGGATCCAGAGGTAAAATATTATAAGGAACGTAGATTTCTGTCTTCTCTGCAACTTTATCGTGAGTTTCCAATACCTGTAAAAATAGAAGTCGGTGAAAAAAGAATGTTCAAAACAAGCGCAATGCAGGAAATATTACTTTAACTTGTTGCTCATGTCTACCGGAAATTACAGGGAACAAAATGCAAATAACAACCCAAAAAAAAGTTCATTTTACCTCACGATCAACTTCCACAGACTGCGTCTGATTAACTGCCTTCAAAACCTCAAAGAGAACATTAGCCGTTTGGTATGCTTTTGTCAGCTGTGCACTGAATGTTTTCATAATAAAGAATAACAAAGGTTACCTTCCATAATACAAGAAATAAATTATTTTACAAAATTTCCACCTACGTCTGAACAACTGATTAAAACTCACCGATCAGCTTTGTCGGCAGCATTTTGCAAAGCTTGAATATATTTTTTGTAATAATGCTGATAAAAGCTCTGCATTTCTCGAGCATCACTTTTTTTTACTCTCCCCATTAAGGTAGGATCATTTTCCTGAAAAAGATCAGGAATAAACAAATAGAAATAATTGGAATATACTACATGCAAGAAATAGTTCCAAGAATGCCAACAGAACATGAGGTTTGTGCGTAATCTCCTTGTGTCATAAATAAAACCAGTTCAGTTATGAGATAAACTGTTATGCATAAAACTCAGCCAAACTACTGCATATATAAAGACCTTCAATAGTGCAGAAACCAAGGAGCTATGAGCAGAGTAGCAGTCAGTCATTTCCTAAAACCATTAACAGTTCCAGAATGTGTTGTCCAAGCAAGTCCAATAACAAATTACCTAAACTTATGACGTTCTAACTGAAGAGTCTTAATTACACTAATTCAAATTGAAGAGGTTATCTGGCATAACAGCTTAATCAACTCAAGGTTAATCTAAATATCCTTTCCAGGAACATTTGAAAGTTCTCTAAATAAAGGATTGCAGAAATCAGCATAACCACTTTTGCGCTCTATTTTCACGTGTCTTGTAGATGCACTTCGAAATAAAATGAAGAAGTCCAATATATCAAGTACCAACTGTTGGCTTTATTCGCAGAGCACCAACTTAATAGAGGATTCACACTTGTAAACAACTAGAGGATAAGTCACCATTACATTACCACTGCACCAAGAAATTCATCGAAGCCAAAAACACAAAATTTCATACTTACCCTTTCAAGACGTTGCAGAAGCGCTGTTTTAAATTGACGAACACCACGTCCACTAGAAGTGGGATCCAACCTATGAGCTTTCTCGAAAGCATAAAACCTACCTACATAGGTTAAGCATTGCTGAATAAGAATCTTTCAATCACATGACAAAGGAATACTCATGCAAGAATTTCATAATTTACTAGCAATCTAGTTACTGGCATGAACAGAAAGAAAATGCACCTACATGGCACATTGTGATTTTTTTTTCAATCGGACACTCGCTTAAAAGAATGCTAAGTAGACACTACAATCACTCGTCCAATCTATGCAAGCAAAAATAATTTGCATAAATCACACAGAGAGTGTGAAGCATAGAGTTGTTCAAGACTTACAGAGGTAGGCAACACGAGGGTTGCTAGGCTCGACTTCATTCGCAACACGGAGAATGGGTGCAATTTCGACCAGTGATGAAGGCACTACTTCACTGTCAAAAATAGACTCCCCTAGATTCCCCACAGTCTGAGTACGTGTGATTCGTCTTTGCAGCTGCGGATTCTGCTGCGAGGGAACACCTCGCGACGACATCTTACTTTGTACCCCCTTTCCTCACCCAAGTATGTAGTCAAAATGCCACTGCTACCAAAAATGAACTTATTATAAATATAGTCATCATTCAACTCCCTATAATATCACAACTACGAAAAAAATAAATGTACGAAGATTCCGTCATAAGACGCATCAGTCATTAAACCACACTGAAATACTCAGAATCTTGAAATGACAGTAGATGTGCGTGTAATTTCACTAAATATATGTCAAATTCAATTCACTGAAAAATATACAACATATGCCTATTTAAACATTTTTCAGCAACCCGTAAGTGGAAATTTTCCAAAATTGGTGAGTTTTTTAAGCAGATTAATGCACGAACATTCGAACATTACTTAGAAAAAGGAAACTATACAAGCTTATTCACTTGAACACCATTTTTATGTCATTACACCATAAAAGATGAAGAAAAAAAGAGATCCACGAATTCCAGACAGAAAGATGAAAGCGTAGCAGATAATTACCAGCACATACGAGATAACTACTTGAAGAAATCAACTCGCGCACGCCCACTCTGTTAAGCAAGACCAGATCAAGCGAGCATCAGCAAAAAAGCCAGTAATTCCAAGCACAGTAGATAAATAGCAAGCGAAAAGTTACAGAAAAACATACCGAAGTTGGATAATTTTTTTCTCTCTCTGCATTAGTTGCTTACTAAGAAATATGAATCTCGAGTTGGAGAGGAGTCTGCATTGTAGAATCTGCGCTGAAAATACCAATGCAGCAACCCTAGGAGAGAGAAAGGGGGGAAGAAAGGCAGTACGGTGTGGGGGTGCTATGGCTTAAAGCAGCAACAAAGTTAGAGAGAGAGAGAGAGAGAGAGAGAGGATGGTGGGAGGCAACGGAAAGTTAAATTAAAATTTTGGACTATGTGTGTGTGTGTGAGGGTGCTCTGTAGTATTGAAATACGTGCTCCAACTTAGCCTCTTTACTTCTCTTATATTACGAAACTGCCACTGTGCGTTAATAAATTGGTAAATGTACTTTTTAAAACACACAGATATTAAAGAAAATCAAAAGAATTGCCTTTTTTACAGTTTTTTTACTGCTTTGAATGAAGAAAGAATCTAGGAATAAATATCTCTTTCCATCGATATTTTTGTTTCAAACACTTGATAATTGTAAATTGATATTTTAGTAATTTGCAACATTATTATGTTTCATATTTATTTGAAGAAAAATTTGTTTAAGATTGAAAATAAAATAAACCAATCAATGTTCTTCTCAACTATATTTGTAACATAGCAAATTAAACTTTGGCACATGTTCTCTTAATGATATAATGTATAACTACTCTAGTTCAGTAAATAAGATACGACTTTATTAATTTTGTGAAATATTAAATTATCAAACTAATATTTAATATATTTTTACCGAGCTCGGATCAAAATAAATTATCATTTAAGAGCGATTGTTAATTTATCGAAATTCTAGTGAATATTATTTTTATTATCTTAGAAAACGAAAGGTAGTAAAAAGCAAGTAAACCTTAGTGGCACTGGGGTAAATAAAGGCAACAATAAGGGCGTTTTTCATGCAATCTTTTTAAAATTCAAAAAGGTAAAATATTCTTTTTAATTCGACGTGACGGAAACATGTCAAAAAGCAGTAGCCGTTTAAAGTAATACACGTACCATAATTGCCCTTCACAAAACCTGCCTAATGTGGGTCCCACTGTATGAAACGTAAGGGCAAATATCGGATTTTACATCAAAGACAATCTCTGCTTCATTTTAATTTGTGATTAGAGTATGAACTTTTAACTTTGTTGGCCAAGGAGTGGTAATTAATTTAATTTTCTCGTATTAATAACCACTTAAGTCTAATCATCGGATGTTTTGTCGGTTTATTTTTCTAAATATGCTTGTATTCCTTTTTTTGTGAAAGTGGGCCCCACCAAACTTTGAATATATCTGAAATATTTAATACTTCAAAATTAAATAAAAATCTGGTACTATGTAGCCACGTGCGGTTGCAGTAGAGCCAAACAAGTCACTAGGCCAACAATTCTGAATTTCATTTCCATGGTTCTAATTAAAAGTTTTATTCCCCTATATTTTTTATCAAATATAAATATCAGGCGAAATTACGACCACTTCTGTCGTAATTTCAAATTACAAAAAAAATCCATCATGTATCGTAACAAAATACATAATTGAGGAAGAAATTGTAATTATCCAAGCATGAAAAGTTTTTCTTTGTAGTTTGCCCTTGCCTTAATTTGCCAACAAATTTTCTTTTTTACAAAAATAAAATAAAAAATAAAAAGCACAAGTTTTCAATTGGGAAAAAATATTGTGAACTATGAGGCTTTAGGTATTGGGCCCATTAGGGATTTTGGCTAGTTTGGATAAATAAATTGGATTTTAATTGGACTTGGCCCATTAAAGGGAAAATCGAACATCTTTGGTGGGCTATGATGTTTTGTACCCATAAAATATAATTTACTAATTATTGTAAAAATAATTAATATACTAAATAAATAAATTATACTAATTAAAATAAATTAAACAATCATGTGGTACTTGAAAATTATTTAATGTTTGGAATAATTTAAAAAATTACCTCAACAGATATATGTGGTTGAAAATAACATAACTCACCAATGATCTTAGAAAATAACAATGAAAATCGTTAACGATCGAACTATGTTCGCTGGTGTGATGACATCAGCCTGGCTTTGCTTATGTCAGTCTCTAGCTTTCGCCGGAACCTCGATCGGACACCATTCATGTAACATCGGGAAGGGTTTACCGGCGTATATGCTATCACATAGTTGACCATATCAAATGCTAATTTCCGGTTTTTTTTTTTTTTTTTTTTTTTGTGATAAAATGTAAAAAAGAAATAGAAAACATTAGAATAATGTCTCCACTACACAACAGAAAACAAGGGCTGCCGGCAGTTTGAGACAGTTAATTTAAAACCCTTCCTATGGGCCTGCAAAGCAAAGTGATGAACAAATATATACAAAATAAATATGGCAAATTACAGCCAGCCCATGAGGTATAACCAAATTCCAAAAAAATCTCTATTGTTTTGGTAATTACAACCACCCCCTTTTAAATATTTTTACATAAAATTTACGTAATTCGATTATTCACCGAACCAAATCGTATATTCAGTTCGGTAAACGGTATGAAATGTCGGCGTACCGAAATTTCGGTTCGGTTTCACCGATTTAACATCCTTAAATTTACTTCTAGAGGGGTATTTTCATAAGATAATACATAGTTGAGAGAATGACTATAATTACCCAAACAGAAGGGGTGTTTTCGTAATTTGACCATAACTAAGGGGTGTGGCCGTAATTTGCCCATATATATATAAAAATAAAATAAAATATAATTGAGCTGATACATTTGTCACTTCTCCACTCAACCCGTCCTTGAACTCACTGTCTCCCTCCACCATTGTTCTATATTGTAACATTCTTGCATCACTCGTTGTCCTTTTCTCCATTTTTTATTTTATTATTTATTTATTTATTTCCATTTGTTTAATATTCAAGTTTCTACCAAAATGGCTTCCATTTGTTCATTCTTCTGCGACTCAGTCGTTCTTATTTTTTTCTCAACAAGATTTCAAACTTCTGTACTGGGTTTTCGAGATCATGCTCTAATTTCAACCTTAATCACTTGTTATGCAATAATCTTGAACAAAAGGGGCTGTCTCTTTGCCACGTGGCTTCTGTTGGTTCAGTTCAGTTTTGCGAGTCCTGATGAACAAGAAGCTGAGTAGAAAGGTACTTGGTGTTTTTTTGTTGTTACTGAAACATATCAAAGTAATTTTTTTTTTCTTCTTGAATTGGGTTTTCGAGTAATTTTACTAATATCGTTTTGACTTAGAATGCGATTGTGACCATTTTCTAGTCCGATTTTGATAAAATACCATACACGGAAATTGTAGCTCTTTGTTTTAGCTTTTCCATTCAACTTGAGTCGGTTAATTTGGGTGTCGGATGACAAAGTTACGCGTGAATGCCTTACGTTTTGAATTTTAGATAACTCAGATTATCAAATTTTGTGGGAAGTGTTCATTAATTCGTGAATAACTTTCTCACCTGATATCCAATATTGGTTATTCAAGTTGGATTAGAAATTTAACTAGAAGAACTACAAATTTTGTATTTTGAGTTTTGCCTAATTCAGACTAAAAAATGTCAAAATTACGTTTGAAGACGAAACGGGATTATTAAAACTGAAACGACATTCAAAAGATATGCGCATAGTTTAGTGCACCGTTTCGCTCGATCAATTTGAATAAAACTGTATCGATCTTCATCAATTTGAATAAAACTGTATTCAAAAGATAAACTGTATCGATCTTCATCTAGACCTTTTTAGTGCACCGTTTCGCTCGATCAATTTGAATAAAACTACACTTTTAACGGTGAAGTGAAATAAAACCCCTAAGCATAAACGCGCAAATAGATATGCGCATAGTTTATCGAGTTTTCAGTTTTCACGTGCATTTGTGCGCATTAGCCTAAATTCTGCATGTCCGTGATTATTTTGAATTTATTTAAACAATCCCGGGATTGATTGAATTTTGTTACATCGGTTCAAATATAGGCACAAGTGAGTGAGGTCTAAAAATCGAGTCTTTAAAAATGGCAATGTCGTTGGAGGACCTTTTGGCTGAAGAAGGTTTCAAGCGAAGAAACGCGAAAATAAATCCCCGTGTCTCGTTTGCTTCAGAAGGGAGAGGTGGTAAACAACACGAACCCGTGAAAAGGACAGAAAGGACGAAATCCGATATACCTCGATATTCCTCGAAACCGGAATTCGCAACGAGTAGCACCTTCAAAAATCGAAAGCCAAGAGATAATTATAACAATAATAACAACAATAATCTTAGTCGGCTGCAGAAAGTAGAATCGGGTTCTCAAAACAGAACTAGTGTCAGATACGAAACGAGAGCCCATCGAGTTTCTGAGATAACCGAGGTGGATCGAAGCGACGAGATTGCTGAGGTGGCAATCAACCGGTCGTATAAGGATGTATACTCGAATAAAGTTTATGCTCAAGAGGGAATTACGAAAAATAGGAACAGCAGCTCGTTCAAGCATGCGCCACCTCAGATATCCGATAACAGATCGGATAGTAAAATATCCGAGAATGAAAATATTTTCGATACTCCTTCTATAGATGAAGCTGCGGTTAAAGCAATAATCTCGATCTTGAGTGGCCATATCAAACGTTTCGTCACGGACGAGGAGTTTCGAACCTCGCTCCATCACAAGACTTTCGCCTCGTTGAATTTTATCGGATTAAACGAAGGCCTGAGCACCGAAAGCAAAGTGGTGGAAAATCTCGAACAAGCTATAGAAATCGTCGAACGAGCCGCAGAGGAGATCGCGACCTTGAAAGAACTGAAACGGGCTTCGTTGCAGCTCAGCGTTATTACGGGACTGAATTCAGACGATTTGAGAGACGGATTCACGTCGGGAATTGCGAATTTCAAACTATCGGCGTGTGCTCATCTCTACTTGAGTGTAGTATTTACGATACAGAATAAAGACAGGATTTCGGCTAAGCATTTACTTCAGGTGTTCTGCGATTCGCCTCTCCAGGCTCGTACATCTTTGCTTCCCGATTTGTGGGACCGTTTGTTTCTACCGCATTTATCGCATTTGAAAATCTGGTACGAGAAAGAAACTCGTTCCGTAACAGACTCGCCCACGAATCTCAAGATTCTTGAAAAAGCGTACAACGAGTGCCTCGATTCGGGTACTTATAGCTTTGCAAAGTACTACAAAGATTGGATAACCGAGGGGGCGGAAACCCCCTCTGCCCCTGTGATAAAAATCCCGTCTTTGTCCTTTCGACTGATGCCGAGAGGTGGCTTGTACGGCCATGCAAGCAGTCCCGCTAGTCACGTCTCGCCTCAGACAATGGTCAGTAAGAAATTGTACGACGAAGTGTTTAGACATTCGCGTAAATCGGGAACTGACTCGGAAGTTTCTAGAAGCTCCGATAGTCCAGCTGCAGAAGACAAACAACTGATATTGTACTCCCTCAAATCTTCTGCTGTAAGTGTTCGAAGACTTTTTTTTTTTTTTTATGTGTCTGCATTTATTCATTCTACTTAATCTAACGACTTCGTTTTTTCTTTAATGTAGGATAATTTGCCCGAGGATCCGGAAAACCCGATGTTTGAACTGAAACAAATCGAACCGGAACCTTCTATCCAAGGTTGGTGAAAAAAATTCGAATGTTACATTCCACCTTCGCATTGTTTTTTTTTTTTTCAACAAGCTAATTTATTGATTTTTTTTACGAATGCAGAAAATCACGAGAATTACGAAAAACCACATTCTGTAAACAGCATGCCCGAAGATTTTTTATGTCCGTTAACGGGGCTTCTTTTCGAAGAACCGGTGACTCTCGAGACCGGTCAAACATTCGAGCGAGAATCCATCATCGACTGGTTTAATAAAGGATTCTTAACTTGTCCAGTCACCCGAAAAACACTACGATCTCGAGCAGCGCCACCTGTCAATCTCATACTGAAGCGCGTTATCGACAAATGGAAGACAGATCATTTCGAGCATCTATTCACTCTACTCTCTCGAGAAGAATCCGACGAAAGTACGACCGTTTGCATTATACAGCAACTTCTCGGTGTTTTTAGTAAAGACGAGAGAATAATCAATGCAAGAAGAATCATATCTTCCGGAGGGCTTCAGTTTCTCATGAGAAGATTCGACTCTGCGAGAAAAGCAGAAGATAAATCGTCTATATTACCGTTACTGTTATTCTGTATCGAAGCTGACGTGGCGTCCAGGAATATAATCGCTCGGAACATAAACCGGTGGAATCTTCTAGAACTACTTCACACCGAGCATATTAAATCTAGAACGAATGCCGTTCTTTTGCTGATGGAACTAATTTGCTTGAACAGGTACTTGATATATTAATTTCTTGGCAAGAAAACAAGATTTTTTTTTTGTTCGTAAAGTTGGCTGCATTGTTAAATTATAGGAGGAACGAGGCGAAATGTTTTTTCGGAGGTCTTTGTGAAGAAGATATTATAAGCGCAATGGATGATTTGCTCGTGTATTTACAGACTTGTCCGTTCGAACAGACACCTCGAGTTGCGGTTGTGCTCCTGCATTTTGATATTCTGGTATGTGTTAGAATTTTTCTTTTTCGAATAAATTTTGCATGTAAGTGACGAATTGAAGGTTACTTGTTTGGTCGGTAAATTCAGTCGGAAATCGAGACGAGCAATGTGTACAGACAGGAGGCTGTTGACTCAATCACAATCGCTATCGAAAGAAGCTTATCGGATGGAAACATCCGGAAGGAATGTTCTAGATCTCTCCTAATACTCGGAGGCTTCTTCTCTTCTTCGGGCAAACTTATGACAGAGGATTGGATTCTTAAACTAGCCGGTTTTCTTAATGGACCCGACTCGGATATAGCTGAAGATGAAGGTAACGATATAACTGTTGATGCAACGGTACGTTTTGTTTTTTTTTTTTTTTTTTAATTATGACAATGTGGTGACAAAAATATATCCGACGGTTTTTTTTTATTTTTTTTTCCGAAGGTGGATTTTTTTTGCGAAGAAGGAGAAGAAGAAAATGAGAGGGAGAAGTGGTTGATGAGTTTATCGGCTTCGCTCGTTGGAGATGGGAAGAAGTCATTTTTGGACACACTTTCGAAGTGTTTGCTTTTAGGGAACTCGGATTTCGCGAGGGTGTGTCTTACAACGGTGGCTTGGTTGAGCTTTTCGTTAAACGAAACGGAGTTCAGGGTTTGCGCGTTTTCGGCGCTCGTTTCTCCGTTGAAACAGTGCTTGGAGTACGGGAGGATGGTCGAGCACAAGATTCTTGCTTCGTTCTCTCTGCTTAATTTCAGTTCTATTCCAGGTCAGCCAAAAACAATTCTCGAAAAATTATATAATTTTTTCGATAATTTTTTTTTCCGAAAATTAATCCGTTTTTTTTTTTTTTTTTTTTTTTACGGACGCAGAATGTAGATTACTGTTGATGAAGATCGGAGACGAGATCGGCCCTTGTCTGAAAAATCTGGCAGAAGTAACATGGACAGCTAAAGAACTGTGCACCGTTATTTCTCGGCAAACCAGGTAGACGATATTGTTACATACAGTTAGCAGTTAGTTACACACGTTTTTTTCCGAAAGTTAGTCGTTTCGACTTCAGACAAAGATTTGACGTTTGTTTATCCGTCGAACAATTGATGTAAATTTAAATCAACCAAACGAAAATTTTATAACAGAAGATTTCAAGCCATAACCATAGCTGAAACCGACGACATTACACGACATAACATACATAAAGACCCCCAAACAGACACGAAACTAAAAAGACGAGTTCAATACACGCAGACAAAACTCCGGGACGCATTTTCATCACAAGAAAAAAACAACATCCGACATAAATTTTTTTTGTCACTAAAACCACGACTCTAACACGGTACTAAACCAAACACTTTATTATGATCCATCTCTCAGAACTTGTTCTTGTACCAATAAACGCCCTTCTCCTGAGAGCTCTCGTCCGGGTCCACGTACAAACACTCCTTCGCCTCCCTCCACATCGCCTTGTAAAACGGGGTTCCGTCGAATTGATAGTACTTGCCTAATATTGGCTTGATTGCCTTAGTTGCCTCCATCGCATGGTAATGCGGCATCGTAGAGAAGAGGTGGTGGGCCACGTGCGTGTCCGTTATATTATGGAACACCTTGTTCAAAACACCGTAATCCCGGTCAACGGTGGCCAACGCCCCCCTCAGCCAGTCCCACTCCGACGAGTCGTAGTGGGGCAGCGAGGGGTGCGTGTGCTGCAAGAAAGTGATCAAGACTAGAAACCCGTTCACGATAAGCAACGGTACGCCGTAGACGCACACGATCCAAGCCAACCCCTTCGCCATTGCGACCTTATAGAGCAGGCACAAAACGGCCAAAACGCCGACGTCGGATACGAAGATTTGGAGGCGCTCGCGGTTGTTGTAGATCGGGCCGTACGGGTCGAAGTGGCAGGCGAAGCGGTCGTAGGGTCGGCCCGATACGTTGAAGGCAAGGTAGAGCGGCCAACCTAGGGTTAGGGTTACGAATAAGGTCATGAACCGTCCCGGAGGGTTGTTTAAGTACTTTGAGTACCACGGGATTTGGAATTTTTGCTTCGGGACGAAGACCTCGTCTCGTTCAAGGGACCCAGTGTTGGAGTGGTGCCTCCTGTGGCTGTACTTCCAGGAGAAGTACGGCACCAGGAGGGCGGAGTGGAGGACGAGGCCCACGGCGTCGTCCACCCACTGGTGGTCGCTGAAGGCGTGGTGGCCGCACTCGTGTGCCACCACCCAGACGCCGGTGCATACACAACCTTGGAGGGTCCAGTAGGCGGCCCACGCGAGGAGGCGGTAGGTGGAGGGGAGGAGGGGGATGTAGGAGGTGGCAATGTAGTAGAGGACGGCGGCGATGGTGAGGTCGTAGACGACGTACGAGAAGGAGCGGAGGAGGGAGCGGTTGAAGCAGTGGGGTGGAATGGCCTTCTTGATTTCGCCTAGTGTGAACGGAGGCTTCGCGTGGGGGACCCTTTGCAGTGGGGTGGCGGTTTTGCCGCCGCCACCACCTTTGGTTGTCGGAGAAGACATTCGGCCCCCGGCTCCCATTTTTTCGGACCACCCCTAGCTTCTACCTACCTACCACCTGAAGGAAAAAAAAAAAAAAAACCAATTTTTTTTTTAAATTAAATGAATTGTAACATAAATATTGATAGAAAATGCAAGAAATTAAGGCAAATGAATTTTTTTTATGTCAAATTATGAAGTTTCAATCAGCAATGATTTGAGATGGTGAGATAATTAATTAAGGCTGTGGGGAGTACATAATTAAGAATTAAGATGGTGATAGTGCCAGCGGGGCACAGCTAAGGGCTTCGTGAGTGTCGCCATCAATTACTATATTTGTGCCCAAAGTTTTTAATGAATTACTATTTTTGTTATTATTTACAGTAAATTTGACGGGATTAATTAAACAAGAAAATCAAGCTTGATTAAGACCCTAAACCTTTAACTTAAGTTTTACTTATTCAAAGCCTAACCACAAGATTAGTGGATCCACAATAATAATGCCGCAATAAAAGGAGGAAAAAAAAAGAAGAAAAATCCTCACTCTCTCTCTCTCTCTCCCCCCCACTTTCTCTCTCTAAAAGTTTCAAGTCCAGAAATACAGCCTAGATCCAGTTCTTGTATGGGCTATTCAGACATAAAAAAATATTCCAAGAAGATTTGACCCACATGTAACACATGAAAACCTTGGACAAATCAATGTAATAATAATAATAATAAAATCATCACATATTCAAAGCCAATGCCAAGAAAAATGTAACCAAGGAAACATAAAAATAAAAATAAAAATGGTTTATTAATCACAGATTTTCCTCCAGATTTCTATACGAGAGGAAAAATAAAAACAAAAAATTACCCCAAAAACACACATTCTACAGATCCATGAATTATCTGGTAATGCTGTTCAACAACTTAGGATGAAACCCTAAAAAACATTAAAAAAAAAAAATAAACAACAAATGAATAATTTATGAGAGAAATATAAGAAGGGTTACCTGAAACTTCTCTCTCTCTTTTTTTTTTTAACCCAAAGATGAGATTGTTTTTAAATATTAATTAAATAATTTTTTTTTATGGTTCTGGTTTGTTGAGTTAAAGAAAGGAAAAAGTGTTTGGGGTTTGTGGTTTATATAGAACTCTCCGAAGATCCGCCCTTTCATGCATGCCTCAACGTTACAAGGTGACGGCCTTCCTACGTGTTGGATAACCATTGGTACACGTGGCACTTCTATCCCCTTTTTTTGCAATTTGCATCCTTTTGTGGGGGGCTGCGTTTGGATGCCCCGGCCTACCACTACTCGTACACCGTATACATACACTAGAACCTCGATAAATTAATACGCAATAAATTCATAATCTCGATTAAGTAATAGTTTCTCTAGGTCCCGACTCGATGAAACAATGTTAAATTATTAATTTAATAATTTATGAAATTAATCGAATTTTTATAGTCTTGACTGTATTAATTTATAGATATTTAACTTTAAAAAGAATCATTTTATGAAGTGTTTGCAATATTTTTTATTTTAATTAAAGATAAAGTTGTAGAACGAGATGAGATATAAAATATTTATACTCAATTAAGTTAAAAATCAAATATTTATATTTATACTCAAATTAAATTATTTAATTTTTTGGTTTTATTTGAGCCAAACACGGTGTTAATGACAAACAAGCGGCTGTGTGGCGGGTGCAGGTGGACTGTGGTTGGTACATCGAAGTTCGGAGAAAGTGGAAATGACGAAAATGGGTCTGCTGCATGTGGGTGTAAGAAGAAGACAAATGGTTCAGTGGAAATGCCACGTAGCAAATAGGGAACCACACGTGACACGCAGACCACCCCCCCTCTTCATCGATTTTCGTGTCAATTTTAAAATATTATATTGAGAATATTTTTGTTAACCATATGCAGTCAGCAGTATCTTTTTCAAGGTGTTGTCCCCCTCCAATTAATTGAATTCTTTATTATTATTATTTCATTCTTTTTTTTTTCTTTTTGGTTTTAATAATTAATGATAATTTAAAGATTTTATGTGGTGCTGTGTTCTAGTGGATGTCGAGATTTTTTCCAACATGAGATACTTTTTCTGTTAAATATAAATGCCATATCATTTTCCAAGACTCGATTTTTAATTAAAAAAAATAGTATGAAACTAAATAAAGAAAGAAAAGAGTACTTATGACATTGACAATTCAACATTAAGTTGGTGTTTACAATAGCTAATTAAAATGCAGGAGGTGGTGGTTGTGATTTAAATAAATTTTAAGGTGGTGTCTGCAAATACTTTAACAAATGGATTATGAGTTTTTTTTTTTCAAATAATCCATTTTTAAGTGTTTGAAAAAAATAAAGTTTTGCTTTTGTTTATCTTAAAATAAGCATCTTTAAGCTATAATTTATTAAGCTTCGTAACCTAACTTTTTCTATTTAAGTTGATTTTCCAGTAACTTTAAAAACACACCCAACTTTTAGAAATAAACACTTAAAATCAATTTAACTCACAATCCACAACTTTTGCTTTTAAATAACTTTTTACAAACACTACCTAAAAATTCTTAAATTGAAAAAGAAGCCACGGGGTGCTTTAAAAGTTACAGATTAAACAAACTAATGTTAAAAGAAGCAAAAGCAAAAGCAAAAGTTAATTTTACAAGCACCTAAAAACAGATTATGAGCAAAAAACTAATAATCTATTTTTACATGCTTATGCAAACACCACCTAAAAGCTCATAACTTATTTCTAAAAGGAGCATTTGATCGAGTGGTCCAACCTCAAACATTAAAAAACCTAAATAAAATTGTCAAATTCAAACAACATTATATCAAATACATACACCGACCAAATTCTCAAATTAAAATCCCAAATTTAATGATTGGTCTATCTGTAAACCTTAACAAGTTCAGTCTAAATTTCATCCATCTTTTTTGTATCATGAATAATTTCATACAGGTTCAATAAGATCACAAAATTGGCTCATTCAATATTGAGAAAAAAAAAAAAAAAAAAAAAAGCTTACTGTGATTTGCCGTTTGCCCTCTTCCTCTTCTTCGATTTTTTATTTCCACCCTTTGCATTCTGCTTAGGGTGTTTCCGTTTCTTGGTGCTCTTTTGTGGGGCCGCTTCCTCAAAATCACTGCCTTCTTCTTCGCCAAGAATATCGTTTATATCTTCGTCTTCGTCGGAGCTCAGAACAAAGTCCTCTATAATATCTTCGTCCATAGCTATTCTCTCTTCCTTGGGTTCGGTATTCTTCTTTTTGCTACTTTTCTGTTGCTTATTCCTAACACCCAACCAATATATGTTAGATACGAGCACAAACGCGCACACACACACATACCATATATATATGTAAATATATTTGAGAGAGAGGGAGTACTTGGAGTCGGGTTCTGGTAGCGTAAAATGAGGAGCCGGCTGTTCATTTTCAGAATCGTCAGATTCATCATCCGATGTTGTCTTATTTCTATATTTTGACGAGCCGTCTCCGATAAGCACACTGGAATTACACAATTCTCATAAAGATCTCGGAGAATAAAATTTTCACTAAGCAGTACAATCGGAAAAAAAAAATTAAATAAACAAATAATACGTGACCAACCTGGATTCTGTCAATGCGTTGTTTCTTTCTTGTGCTTTCTGGCGTAGAGTGGCAACATATTGCGACAGAGGGCTCGTCCCCGAGTTTTTCTCATCCTAGAATAAATTAGACAAAAAATTAGTGAACATAATACAAAAATTAAAACTACTAAACAATCAGATCGGTTAGCAACAAAGAACATAAACATATTTTTCCAGCAAGAAATATGATATAGCTTCGCAACAAGTTTCGACAAAAATGATAATATAGACAAGGAAAAAAAGAACACGGTAGATGTTCAGACCTCGAGAAAAGATGTAGCTGCTGGATCATTTGGCAAGAAAGAAATTGTCGTCCGCTTCTTATTCACAAAATCCGAATTCGCTTCAATCTGCAGCATTTAGACAACATAAACAGTAATTCAATCAGTAATTTTCAAGCTAAATAAACCTTATTTAACAATTAAAATAAAAATCGACAAACCTGACGGATGAAGTGCCTCATTTCTCTGCGAAACCTATCAACCTTGGTGGATTTAACGAAATTCCTTAACCGAACACTAGGAACAAAAGACAACTCCAAGAAAGCAACAGAGTAACTCCACTGAGAGAGATGTTCGGCGAGTTCCTCAACCACAGATGACACACAAGCCTCTTGAAATGCTCGAGTTTTCAGTACAGCTTTGCTAACCTGTTGAATATATTTCCAGATTCAAATTCAATGATGTCTGTATGCATAAATATATGAACTCCAAATATCAACGGCACTGGACATTAAGAATAATACCTTGAGGGTCGAAAATAAGTCGACAGCTTTGCCTATTCCTCCCGTGGGAGGCTTACGGAGTTCTTTTATCTCTAACATGTCCAAGAGAATCAACGAAACCGGTATGAATGTACCGGTTGAAGCACTGATGCGGTTTAGCATTCTCACGCAACGAAATCTGAGTGGGAAATGACATGCAGAGGGGACTAGACGAGCTACTCCAGTAATAATCTGAGTCAACGGATAAGCAAGGGGCCTTAAATCAGCTTCCGAGCTGTAAGCACAAACAACTCTAGTCCACAGCTCCAAGCAGTTTATAAACTTCCACTGATAAACCTTTCTAAACGTTTCCTGCAGTGAAGAATGAAAATATTAAGAAGGGTCTTGATTCTTGTGTTCAATCATCCATTTTAAAATAAAAATTATGCCATAATCGATTTTTTTGTCCTTCTATATACGTGTTTCAATCTACAAAGATGTATCGGACATATATAAAAAAGCAGTAAAGATTTTAGAGACTTTGAAAAAGATCATACCTTTTTCGAAGAATTGGAAGGTGCGGCTTTCCCCTTGTCCTTTTTTGAACCGGAAGATTCGTCCTTCCCTTTGTTTTTAGGATTCTTATTTTTGTTGGGAGAAGAAAGTGTTTCCTTCAATATCATAGCTAATTGGCGGATGTAAACAAATGCATGTTGATATGCAGATGGAACATCCACCCCTAGAAGTTCGGTAAAGCAATTACTGAGGAATTGGATGTGCTGCAGTTTTGTCGAATTAATGAAGTGGCAATTCAACACGTAGGCCTTGTACATGCCTTTGATGCAGTCATCGAGGCAGTCAGAACCGAGTCGTATGCAAGAGTCTCGTATAAATAGAAAAGAGACAACCGGTAATGCACCGCTACCTGTACCCCAGAAGTGAAGAGCAACCTGACAAAAATATAATATCGACATAAATTTGATATTTGCTCGTCTAAAGAAAGCTACTACTTACAAAAATCATGGAAATAAATCTACAAATTTAAAATCCCAGTTGCTTTTATGCCACATGCACTTCTCCTCACTTCAATTGTATGCAAGAGTTAATCAAAATGTTCCGTTGAATTCTATGTATAAGAGCCATATTGAAGAAATTGGAACAGTTTTAATTACGGCAATTTAACCAATTGAAAATAAATAATTTCTAAGAAAAAAGCTTTAAACATGTAAAAAACCGAAAACATATTCCACAAGTCAAGGCATTACCTTAACATACTTCCTTAAGAGAGCCGGAAAAGCAGCCAAAAACACGGTCGAGTATTGCAGGCGCCTTAACATGAACGCAATCATTTCATTGTCCGTCATTTGATTCAGAACATGCAGAGCGTTTCCAAGATACGATTTCACCAGATGGTTGTAATTCTTCCACGGTCTTGTATTCGTCAGATCCATAACCATCTCCTTCTTCCCACCAGAAGGGGGTAGTTTCAACAACCCCCGGAGAATCCCATCCATTTCATTCAAAACAAACACCATAATTTTATTGAAGACAACACTGGACATGGTACTGAACTTAGCCGTCGGGTCACCTTCACTGTCGTCTCCATAATGGCAAGCACTGCGAAAAGCTCTCAATATAGAACGGACCCCACCAATTTTCGCCCCGCTATGGATTGCATCACACCACGAATCGACCATAGCACTGGTTATCACGTGTTTCGATGGCTCTTCTTCCTTTGCAGCTTCACCATCGCTGTGCTCAGCATTATCGACATCAGTTTCTTCTTCTTCTTCTTCTTCTTCTTCTTCTGCTTCTTCCTCCTCCATGTGAGTTGGAACATTATCCTAAAACAGTTGAAACAAAGTCCTAGAGATTAGATATAATTGGAATATTTAATAAAGTACTGCGAAAAATTAAAAAGGGTATTTGAAGAACTTACATCCAAGTCCTCTTCGTCGAATTCCAATAGCTCATTGTCATGTTCTTTCAAGAATTCATAGAACTCCGGATCCTGCATATAAAAAAAATTTCAAATGTATTTATACATACGAGGCCTTATTATTCGTACCATATACCATAGCCAGAACTCAAACACTACTTCAATCATTAGCGAATCACTAAAAATAACCCTACAAAAAATATTTGCAAAGCTAAGACTGAAATTCCTCGAATTAGGACTAACATTTAGCATAAAATGCACATCCATGAATAAAAATGCAAAATGCCGAATTGAATATCTAGAGCATGCTCACACAAAACACACAATGGAAATGGAAAATATATAAATACTAAAAAAAAAAGGATAAATGACCTTCTCTTGAAGTTTTTTTAATGTTCCGATATGTTCTTTAGCTTCTTTCTTCCCCATAGTGGCGCTCTTTTCTACTTGAACTTCCCCTTTCAGTTTCTTATCTGCTTATATCAAATTCAATTCATTAAATTTTTCAAATTGCTGCGAGGGGGGGGGGGGGGGGGGGATTATCGCTACTGAAAAAATTATACAGCAAATCGAATAAAGGAATCGACGGTGAGTACAGGAATGGAAATTAAATATATTTTATAAAAAAAAAATTAGACTGTACCTTTGTTCTTGGCACCCATTGAAGAGACGAGCAGCAGGTGAGAAATTGAACTGAGGCAAAACCCTATGTGAGTTTTGGGGGTTTAATGTTATTCGGGTCGGGTTAAATTTTTTAGATTATGGTATTTGGGGCGGAATCTTTGGGCTATGTTTAAAGTGGGTTGCTTATTGGGCCGATTATAGTTTGTATCGAATACTTTAGTCCAAATAATATATATATTATATATACATATCTTTTCTAATATTGAAATGATTTAGGCGGCAGCAAAATTATGAATGTCGTTCACAATAGTATTCCCTTTCTCTCTCTAAAAATCTTCAAATCCACCCAAACTTCAAAATCCCAAAAGTCCCAAAATTCACAAAGATCCTCGACCTCTCTCACAAATTCTCCCAAATCCGAAAATCTCGTCAATTTGAAACGTAATTAATCATCTAAAGTAGTTATATATATTGAATTTGTGGTTAATCATGCGAAAATCCCATGAAAATTGCGATTTGGGGTTGTTTTTAGTGTTGGGTTTTCGAATTTTCCACGCCCATTTTAATTTGGACGTGAAAAATTACTTCGGGCGTTTCGTCCAGACGCCGGTTTTGGACCGGTCGTCCGGTTCATTTTTTTTTTTTTGGCCCAGTATAACCGAATTGAATGAGTATACTTAAATAAGTATTAGTTAACAAACTCGTTGTAGCCTAGTTGGTCAGGCGTTTCGTCTATTACACTATAGACCCGTGTCCGAGTCTTGGTAGCAACGCGTATTTGTTTATTTTTTGCCCAGTATAATGAAATAGATAATTATAGTTAAATAAGAATTCATTACTAAAACGGTTGTAGCCTAGTTGGTTAGGCAAGTTAGAACTTCAATTGAAGGAACTTGTGTTTGAGTCCTTATATTAGCACAAATATATGATTTTTTTTTTTTTTTTTTTTTTTTGAACTCATTCAGCATGTGTGCCCAAATCGGGCGCGGATAGCTGTGTTGCGCGCCCAAATCGGGTGTGAATCGAGTTTTTTTGCGCCTAGTTTGGTCGTGAAATGTATTTTTCGGCGTCCAAATTGGTCGTAGTCGCGTTTTCGCAATTTACAGAACAAAAACGAACAAATTTTACCTCATTCCGTTCCGTATCTCGATCCTCATACGATGCATTCATTTTTCTTTGCAAATTGCTACAATAACATGGGTTTTAGAACGATTTCTAATATAAAAACTATTAAAAATAAAATTGTAGAAAGAGAAAGATAAGTAGAGAGTGGATTTTTTAAATCCGCATTCGTAATTTTGCTACCACAAATAATCACCTCCCTTTCTAATATTATCTAATAGTACTTCACGCGTGCCATGCACAAAAACATTATTCACGAAGATAAATATTATTCAAAAAGCGAGTACATCGTTAGTCCCATATGTACAACAATAATACCTAATTCTAACATGATTACTAATATAAGTATATTAATGGAAATACTAACACTGAATAATAATTTTAATAGTAATATTCTAATATAATAACATGATTATATGATAATGCTAATACTAAATTACTAATGTGATAACACTAATATGAGTACTAGTATTGATACGAATACTAAAATTGATAATAACATCAATACTACCGAAACCAATAGTAAACAAATCATCTCTAAATATATATCATTCATATGAATTAATTTTTCTAAAAAAGAAAAATCAAATAGCTAAAATTGAATTTGGATGAAAAAATATTAGAAGAAAGGATTTTGCATATATACATAAAATAACATTCAAAAGGACAAAGTAGTCATAATATATCAATATCCAATCAAAAAGCTCATAGAGAAAAGGGTCTCGGTTTTCTCTTTATTCCCAAAATAAGCTACTAATACTTTATTAAGAAAAAAAAAAAAGGAAAATCCATATCTACCCTTCCTCTTCATCGTAATTTCCTTCAAAGCTAATACCTTTATACCACTTAGCAAACGCCACGTACACCACCAGATCCACCGCCGTCAAAACCCCAATCAGAAAATAAAACAGGTCCATCCGCCCCAGATTCAGATCCTCCGGTATCCACCCCATCCGGCCGCCGCTCGCCGTGGCCGCCATCACCACATTCACAATCACGCTGCTCACAAAATTCCCCAGCGAAATCGACGCCATACACAGCGAACTCCCGAAGCTCTTAATCCCGTCCGGCGACTGCCCGTTGAAAAACTCCAGCTGCCCGACGTACATAAAAACCTCCGACGCCCCCACCAGCACGTACTGCGGCACCTGCCAGAATATGCTCATCCTGCTCGCCCGCTCGCCGTCGACCACCATCTTCAGCCGCTCCATCTCCGTCACTCCGGCGGCCACCATCGCCAGCATTGCTAGCACGAGCCCGATCCCCATCCGCTGGAGCTCTGTCAAACCCCTAGGGTTTCCGGTCATTCTCCCGGCGACCGGAACGACTATCCGGCGGTATATTCCGGTGAATGCGAGGACGCTGCAGATGTCGAACGCCGACATGCTGGCGGCGGGGAGGCGGAACTTGCCGATTTTGGTGCTCATTACGTCGCCTTGCTCCACGAACAAAGAGGCCATTTGGGAGAACACGACCGAGTACATGATCGTGCATAGCCAAATCGGTAGCATGCGGAGGATGCATTTCGCTTCCTCCACTTGCGTCACCGTGCACAGCCGCCACGGGTTCGGCGGCCCCCGCTTGTCCTCGTCGGTTATTATCGAAGCCTTGTCGAGACACCTATCAATTTGGAACGTATGGAGTAATTAGTTCAGAACCAATATAATTAACAACAAAGTTACATTTAAATCTCTATAAATTAATATATTAAGAACTACGGAATTCTATTAATTTAGCAAATATTAAATTATCGAACTAATAATTTAATAGGTTTCTACCTAGTTTGAACTAAAGAAAACTATTATTTAAGTGAGGTTATTAATTTATCGAGGTTCTACTGTATTTAACGAGTAATAATTAAGAGATAGATGATGATCTTACGCAAACTCTTCACTATGAAAGATTTTCCGGCTCCCTTTGATAGCAGAATCAGGCCTCTCGACCTCGTACAACTCCTCCCCTTCCTTTAGACTCACGTTCAATTTCTTAAACGCAGCGCAAAAAACCTGCATCACCCTCGGAATAGGGTTCCCGCACGGCTTCACATACCGGTACCCGGAGGAGCCGACGAGGAACGCTACCAGCGCCAAGGCGGCAGAGGCGGTGGACACCCAAAACCCGATCGTCCAATTGCCTCTGTCCTCAAAGTACACCAGTATAGTGTTCGAAAACAACGAGCCGAAGTTGAGCGCAAAGTAGAAATACGAGAAGAAGCTCGATTTCGAGTTCCTCTGCTTCGGGTTTGACTCGTCGAACTGGTCGGATCCGAACGTGGCTAAGGTGGGCTGGTGCCCCCCGTAGCCAAACGCCACCAGATATATGGCCAAATAGAATATAGCCGAGCCGAAGGAAGTCGTAGGCACACATATCTGTTTCCCATCACCACATCCTGTCGGCTTGAGCAATATAAACCAAGAAGACAGAGATAATAACACTAAACCCTGTAAATAATCGAAAACGAGACGAATAATTAGAATATAAAGTTGAAACGTAATACGATCATATGATGATAATGATTTTTTGTATATTTAATTAAATAATTACCACGAGAAATACGACTTGAAAAAGTGCACAAGTGAGGTAGCGGCCCCAGTAAGAATCGCTGAGGAATGCTCCGACGAGCGAGCACAAGTAAACAGTTCCGGTCCATTTGCTGACATTATTTGCTGCGGAAGCATTGTCTTGTCCAAGAACTCGAGTCAAGAATAAAACCAAATTCACTCCGACTCCGAAGAAAGCTAGTGTTGCAAGGCCTTGGTTTGCTGCACAATTAATCGAATTTAATTATAAAAAAAAAAAAAAAAAAAACGAGGTCGAAAAAGCTCGTAATCTTGAACGAGTTAACATGCATGGCAAAGTACCTAGCAAAAGAAATGCCGAACTCCAGCCGCCTAAGGCATTCTCTTTGAGGCAGTACTGCTCGTCATTCGTGTTCTTATTTCCGTTATTTACAGGCTGTAAATCTTCGATTTTGATGGTTACACTTCCCTGAAACGATATGAAAAAATTATTCAAAATTTCATTTAAATTATTTAAATTCTCCCACGAGAAAAACTACGCTAACCTTTGGTGGAGACGACTCCATGATCATGGTAAAGCAGGCAGTTGGAGTGAATCGAAGCTTCCTCTGCAAATATTTAACGTAAAATAATTATTAGATATATTTAAATACGAAATAGAACGAACCAATTGTCGGACGAAATCCCAACATGTCGCCGAACAGAGGAACTAACTACTAAGCATATATACATCGACATATACCAAACCAAGATTACCGAAAATACAGATGATCTACCTTACTTATTAACTCTAGTTAATTAATGATCTTACATTATTACTACATAAATAGAGCTGGTTTATAAAGATGCTCGGCAAAGCAATGTTTCGAAAAAGCCTGAAAATCGGCACGAAGGGTCGTTTTCAAGATATATCGAATTCGATTAATCGTGCAAAATTAAAATTTTGCTAGTACAGAATAAAAAGGTAAAAATTAGTGGCCACAGTGTATAAGTGGGATTGATTGAATATTGTTACTTCTTATCACCTTTTAGGTAAGCTCTAACGTTAGATAAGGATTGTGTCTGGTTTTCTTTGGTTATTTATTTCAAATAAAATCAATAAATGTTACTGATCATAGACAATTATGTACATATTAGATGATTAGAGGACACAAAAAAATTAAAATAATTCAACAAAATAAACAAATAAGGAAATTAGTGGAGCCAAGCAGGTAATTATAAAATTTTCAATTTATGATCAGTTTATTAATTGTTTTAATAAATTGAACATCACTAATTAAATTTGTTCTTGTTCATATATACATACATACATATATATGTATATGTATACGCCCAAAAAAAAAATAATAAAAAAAATAACCTTTTCCTGAACTTGACGAGAGAGAGAAGAAGGAGCTCCGGTACGGTGCCAGATTCCGCCGACGGCGAATTACGGGTAACAACAAAGACAATTGGGAAGGCTGGCCGGAAAATCAGTGGACTCGCCGGGAAGAATTTAAGCCCGGTAAAACCTATTGTCATTTATAGTAGGACAAAACAAATAGTAGATTTATATATATTTGTATATATATATATATATGTATGTATTGTAACTCAAAACAATCTGTGTAGCTATGGAAAAAAGAAAAGATTCGAGAAGGGAAAATCTGAGAGCAGAAAACTATTGAAGAAAACAGGTGTAGAGAAGGTAGAGAATTGGAAGACGGTATATATATATATAGATATATATAGTAATATAATAATATAATAATTTATTTATTAATGTGGAAATAAATATAGATTTAGTGTTAACAGATTCCTGGTAAAACTCCTACTGCTACCCGGTTCATGAGTTCAAGTTTGTGCATGAATCTTCTCGAATCTTTTCTGCCCTTTTATTTATTTATTTATTATTATTATTATTATTATTATTATTATTATTATTATATATTTTCCCTTTTGTGTAATTTTTCTTAAAAAAAAAACAAAGCATATTTAGAGATTCGTGCCATGAGCTACAATTAGTTGAGGGAAAAGGTTGCAAGTTCATTTTAATTTGTTTTGTTGTTTTCCAAATTAATGAATGTAGTTGAGGGAATATACATATATATTCAGAAATATAACTGATTTTGATTATTTATTTGTAAAAATAAAATAAAAAGGGATGAAAAGTGGGTGGAATTGGAAATTGAAAAAGAAAGTAGTGAGGAGGCAATAAGCAGAAGTTGATTTCAAGTGAAAAGTGAGTGAAAAGCGGAAAGCTAAGGGAGATAAGGACTGGTCCATATTACACTGTTTACCAAATGACTTATCAAATCAAAACCTATGCACGAGTGGAATAAGTCAACGCTAGTTTGTCGTTTCTTCCGCTAAATTCGAATTTCAATTCCTTTTTTTTTGCTAAACAATTTACTTTTTATTAGCATGTATAAATTATTTAATTAATATAAACTATAGTCGGTTCTGCAGTCTACTGGGAACTCTTATCTAACTCTGATTGAACCTTTGACCGAGTGACGCTGCAACATAAAAAGTTGACCGAGGTAAGGTTATTTAATGGGCCTATTTTATATATTAATTCTCATTCTTTGCGTTTTGGATTGGGTCCAGGTGTTGACATATAGGAGATAAAAATGTTACCGAAAGCCCAATTGGGTACTCAGCATGAATTAATTGGATAAATTACGGCTACCTTTGACAAATATTATATTACGAAAGCATCCTTGACTAATTACAATTGTCCTACAATTATTGCACAATATCTTTTATGGTGTCTAATTGAATATAATTTTAAATATTTATGTAGAATGTTCTCTAGTTTATACTCGTTTTTGTGAAGAAAATTAAATACAGTTTTTTATGCACCACAATCTTATATTTTCTAGTCAAAAGACACATCATATGTTAATCTTAATTCAGAATGTGGAGCTCGAATGGTGAAAAACGGGTACAAACTGGAGAATATTCCACATAATCTAGAAGATTCTACTAAATTTGACAACACATAGGTGAACGTGTAAGAAAATTCGCAGTTAAGGGGTAGAGTGGTTGTAATTATCCCAAGATGAATTTTTTTTTTCGTAATTTGACCCTATCTCACAGACTGCTGCCGTAATTTGCTCAAATAGAAAACCAAAATAAAAAATAAAAAAAACTAATGGGCCTATTATATATTAAATCTCATTCTTTGCGTTTCGGATTGGGTCCGGTGTAACATATAGATGTAACCAAAAGCCCAATTGGGTACTCACCATGAATTATTGATTGGGTAAATTTCACTTTACCCCCTTGTACTGTGGCTAGATATCACTTTATCCCCTTATACTTTCATAGCATTGATTTGCCCTCTTGTACTTCGGTTCGATATCACTTTACTCCCTTCTACTCTCAATTCATCGATTTGGCTCCTTGTACTTTGGCTCGATATCACTTTACCCCCTTCTACTCTCAATTGCATCGATTCCCCCCCCCCCCCCCCCCTACTTGAATTGTCTCAATATGGCCATCGCCGTTAGTTTTCAGACCTTTGACCTTAACACCGTTTGATTTAAGTATGAAAATTACTAGAATTTCACCCCTCCAGTTTAAATAATTATTAAAAAAATTAAAAAAATAAATAATAAAAAAATCAAGACAGCGAGAAAACATAGTCCAAGACGCCCACAATTTTTTTATTTTATTTTATTTTATTAATACTTATTTAAACTGGGAGGGGTGGCTTTTTTTGTAATTTGCAAACTTAAATCAAACGGTGTTAAGGTCAAATGTCTGAAAACTAACGACGAGGGCCACATTGAGATAATTTTTCAAGTACATGGGGGCAAATCGATGCAATTGAGAGTATGAGGGTTGAAGTGATATCGAGCCAAAGTACAACGGGGCAAATCGATGAATTGAGAGTAGAATGGGGTAAAGTGATACTGAACCAAAGTACAAGGGGGCAAATCGATGCAATTGATAGTACGAGGGGGCAAAGTGATATCCAACCGAAGTAAAGGGGGTAAAGTGGAACTTTACCCTTATTGATTTATTTCTGAATTAAGTTAAAGTATAAATACTATTATAAATACACAAACTTATAATACTCGGTTTTGCAAGCTAAAAATTTCAGGGTTCTGAAACGGCGTCGTACCTGCCAATTAATTTAAAAAAGTTGGCAGAATAATTAATAAACATTAAACACACGCCCAACAGCTATCTATCACTCTACACTACAGTACTCTCTCTCTCTCTCTCTCTCTAGGCTTAACTCTTAAACCCATTCCGCCCTTCATCTTCACCATAAACACTGCTCAAATAAACATCGAGATTTCAAATTGGCGCACCGAATCTCGTTCAGGTATTTACCTAATTACCTCATCTTCTTCCTCTTCCTTTTTATATTCATCAATCGCTCACATAAGAACTTGGGTTTTCTGTTTCTAGAATGAAATGTGCGAAAAAAATGGTGAACTGGTAGTAATTTACATATGCATTTGTGGTTTTCGAGTTTTGTTGGTGCAGATCCATATATTATCGCTGTTTTTTTAGCTTTTTTTTTTCCGTAGCTTATTGATTGAGTTGAAGTATTGCAATGTTGTTGTTATTATTACGCAATAATTACTTTGGACTCGCATAAGTTTTGCTGATTTATAAGTAAGCTTTCTCTTGTGAGTTTTTTTTTTTTTGGGAACAATTGTTTTGTCGTGCTTTTAGTATTGGGGAGTGGAGAAGGGGAAATGAATCTTTGATGAGATGAGAGTTTTGGAGTTGATTTTGAGAGCACACGGTATTATTGTAGAAAGATAGTATGCGGTGCTTTAGATTCTCCGGCATTGCCTTTTTTATTGGGTAGAAATCGTGTTTCTCTGCTTCCGTGCGTTCTTTGAATGTACTTGGATATGAGTTCTGATTGATTGGTTCGTACTGATGACAGAGTTCTTGTTTTTCGATGAACTAATTCTCTTAAGATTTAGGGAAACAAGCAAGACTAGAGAGAATGTTGTTTTACTTTACCTGAATGAAGTCTTAGATTATTCAATTTTGTTCGATTTAACCAAATTTAAATCTAAGAACCAAATGTTGACTTGGCCTTGGGGGCATTATCGTGCCATTATCCTTTATTGGGATTTCGATTTATAGTCCCTGTTTCAGAATTAGTTGTAACTTTCATCTTTTTCGCACAGGTTATCGGTTATCTTCGTAAGAGTTCCACACTTGCAAATGGCAGCTACTGCAGCTTCAACCTTGCAAATTGCAGCAGCAAAACCCTCTATTTTCTCAGCTCAAACAATTTTTAGAGGCGGTGCAGCAAATGTCGGAATCAATTCTCTAGGAGCCTCTTGGGCTAAATTATCCAGTGGTTGCCATATATCATCTGGACGACATTTCAACCGGACCTTCACATCATCTCCTGCAAAATTTAACAAAGCATCCACTAAGGCAATGTCTGAATCTGCTGAAAGCAAGCCTGCAGCGGGATTGCCCATCGATCTGAGAGGTTTCATCTTAATTCTGGAAATTCTTTTCTATTTCTGCTAGCAATTTCGCTAAATATATCTGGAGAAAGTTTAGTGAACCAACATTTAACTCTAGAAAAAGAGTGCTACTGACATGGAACTTGTGGATATAATTCACAATAATTGTAGGAGACAGTAAAACCAGGCCTAATTTGGATGGTTGATACATGTTCTTGATTATTAGAGTTAATTTCTTGGGAATCAAAATTTGTAGAAATTATTGATGTCACTTATCTGTAAATACTGATCATAGGTAAGAGGGCATTTATTGCTGGTGTAGCTGATGACAATGGATATGGTTGGGCTATTGCAAAATCTTTAGCTGCTGCAGGAGCTGAGATTCTCGTCGGCACATGGGTGCCTGTAAGTTAAATAGTTTAAAGTTCAGGCTTCATGTTTTCAACCACGCAGTATACCCAATTTTGAACCGTTTGTTTTATCTATCATACAGGCATTAAACATCTTTGAAACTAGTCTACGCCGTGGGAAGTTTGACGAATCACGCGTGTATGATTTTAAGCTTATATTCCTGTATTTATGTTTCTGTCCCACATGCTAAACTAATCAACTGGAAAAGTTGCCTTTGCTGAAGAATATTTTGATTTCAGGCTGCCTGATGGTTCTTTAATGGAGATCACTAAAGTTTACCCATTAGATGCAGTTTTTGACACTCCAGAAGATGTTCCTGAAGACGTAATTTTCACAAATATGATTCACCAATGGTTTATATTTGTTTTTCTCCAAATGCCGTTGAACTGTTCCGTAATTTTGTTTTCATGCTTTATGCAGATAAAAACAAACAAACGTTATGCTGGATCCAGTAATTGGACCGTTAAGGTACTGTTAGTATTCTGTAATACTTACACCTTGATTGTTATACTGCTCCCATTCACTGACAGTTGTAAGTCGATGGCTCTTTTGGTTTAAATTGAATATGTCAAAGTTTTACGACAATTATTATAACAAAACTGTTGAAATGTCTCAGGAAGCAGCAGAATGTGTAAAACAGGATTTTGGCAGCATTGACATTCTTGTGCATTCACTTGCTAACGGGACAGAGGTATGTCACCTTCACAACTGTAATATTATTTTCTATTAATCACTAGTTTTTTTGACATTTTTTTTCTTTTTTACCGAAACCATTTACGACTAGGTAACCAAACCTCTGCTGGAAACCTCAAGAAAGGGATATCTTGCAGCAATATCTGCATCGAGTTATTCTTACGTGTCCTTACTTCAGCATTTCCTTCCAATTATGAACCCAGGCATGTCTTGTTCAATTACCAGTTTCTATATTTTTTTCTTTATATTTCTGATGGACTACTGCAATTTGCAATCCATACATCGTTTTGTCAAAGCTTGCTATATGAATTTAAAGAATTATTTTTGCTTCAGGTGGATCTACGATCTCTCTAACATATATAGCTTCTGAGAGGATTATCCCTGGGTATTTGTGCTTTATTGTATCTCTTACTACGGTTTTATTTCGAACTTAATCTTCCTATAGAGATTACAGATCACTTAACCGTGAATATGAAACAGATATGGAGGTGGCATGAGCTCTGCAAAAGCAGCGCTAGAGAGTGATACAAAGGTAATTTTACTACTGATCACCGAAGTTTTCTTCATTTTCAAATTTTTTTTTGGGGGATGTTAATTTGTTGATTCAATCAGGTGCTTGCTTTCGAAGCGGGAAGGAAACGTAAAATCAGGGTGAACACTATATCTGCTGGTATTAAGTCTTATCTTATTGCTTCTCTTTTTTGATTGTAATTAATCAAGTATTGGCTGATTTTGGATATCTTCAATTAATTCATTTAGCCTCGGTCTTATTTGTTGTTCGGTAAGTGCAATAACTTTTCGGGGCTATGGGGGTAATTGTGCATTGGACCTACCCTAGTCCAATTATACAACTGAGTTCTCATAAGATTGCGTAATCTTATCATGACCAATCTTATCTTAGAAACCAAACGAGTCCTTACCATATATCAATATATATGCATAAATCATTATTAGTATGTGATAACTTAATAATATTGTTTTTGCTATGGAAATTTGCAGGCCCTTTAAGAAGCCGAGCTGCAAAAGCTATTGGATTTATCGATATGATGATCGATTACTCCATAGAAAATGCACCTCTTCAGAAAGAATTGTCAGCAGGTAAAATCCTAAGCAAAACCATTTGAGCTCTACTCTTTATATAACAAAAAAAAAAAAAACTTATTTTTCCTTCAAATTCATGATTCTCGAAAAACATATCATAAAATTTTGCAGATGAGGTAGGAAACACGGCAGCCTTCTTGGTATCGCCATTGGCTTCTGCAATTACAGGTGCAGTTATATATGTCGATAATGGTCTGAACGCAATGGGAGTGGGAGTCGATAGTCCCATATTCAAGGACCTAAACATTCCTAGATCCAGCTAAATGTGACATTTATGTAAGCGTAAGCAGGTATTATTAAAATGGGATATAGAGAAATTTTTTTTGGTCATTTATTTAACTTGGCCGGCGGCCCCTCGTTTTTTCCTAAAATTTGTCAATTTTTATTAGTATTTATGAAGACTGGAATATATCCCTATTTATAGTTTGTTCAAATTTTGAGATGGGATCTGAAAAGACCGTATGTCATGTGACGATTTGTTGTGATTTATGACGATAATCGCCAACTTGTGAAGTCGTTACGAAGCTAAACACAGCTAAACGTAGCTGTTGTGGTTCTTTCTTGTAGTGATTAAAGATGTTAAACACATAATTAAGGATTAGTGTGATTAAGTAAAGAAAGATGATTAGTGGGATGCTTAGTGGTAAAGGCACATGACAACACATGTTCAATAATAGATAGTCAAAATGGTCTCACATGTGAATGGGACGTACATCACACTAGACTAACAATGTGTAATGTGTGACAAACTCGATCTAGTGATAACTGGCAAATGGATTCGAACATAGATCCATTGACACAGACTTACTTGCTCCACCCATTAATTTATAATAAAAGTTTCTCAATAATACATTCTCAGATTCAACAATTTGACTGGATCTTAGACTTTCAAATATATTAAACTACTTTTACACAAAAATAAATAAAAATAACACATGTATTGTCAGAGTAAAGCACGATCTACAACCAAGAAAAACACGCTTACCCATATTCCATAATACAACCAACACATTATAAACCAATTTCTAGTTCATTTCAGTTTTCTTACACAACCAAACCAACACAACTGAAAAAAATTACTACTACAATGAGAAACAATCATAATAAGACTCTTGTCTTTCTTGTTTCAGTTCTGCTAATCCTCTTCCTCGATTCAACAACATGTTTCGCTACGCATCTCTCTCATAAAGATGCAGTTTTTAGAGAGAAAAACCAGTATTATTCAAGAAAGCTGATGATCGTTTCTGCAAACACGCTTCCTGTAAGTAAAGGGAATCCCGGTGAAGCAATGGTTGAGCCGGAGAAAGCAGTTGTGAATGGGCTGAGGAAAAAACCGCCAACTGCTTCAAACCCTACTCAGAATTAACTATAGTCAGATCAATCTTGCTTCTTCTCAATTACTCCGTTGTATATTATTTAAGGTGAAAAAAGATAGATCAGAATTTGATGCTTTTCTTTTTTCCTTTTCAAAAATTTTGTCAGTTTTTAATTGATTTTTTAAATGTTTTTTTTTTTTAATTTAGTTTTAGTTTACAGGAATTCTAAGGAAGTTGTGAGGTTAGATCCATTAGAATAATTTTTTTTTTTGGGATTTATTTTATTTTTTCATGCAACAATTCTTTTCTTTGTGGAGTAGTTTGTAACTGTGTACAAATAATAGGTGAAGATCAGTACTGAAGAGGTTTGTCTGATGCATTTTTATTAGTTGTGATTTCTTTTAAGAAATTGTTACACACACACACACACGTAAAACATGCGTCTCGTCTGCACCACTGATTGATCAAGTTTCGAGTTCGAGATCCTAGAAAAAATCGAGGATTAAAGAAAAAATGAAATACTATAACTTTAACTCCAAGATTCATGTAATGAATGAAAGGAATTAAATATTTCAGCTGCTGCCAACTTGCCATCCAGCTATTGTAAGTTTTATAAAAGTCTTGAGTGCTAAAATTCTGTAAAGCATATGCTAAATATGCTGAATTGCTGATGCATGTAAAGAACAATAGCAACTTTGTTTGTGACATGTTGTAATGAATCCAGGCCCATTTATTATATTTGAGCCCATTAATATGATTAGGACCAACTCCAATTTACAGATTTCAGTTTGTGTCACATATGGCAATATTTCGATTTTTTTTAGGGGAACCGAATTCTCGAACTTCTTATTTTTAGTGACGGTATGAACTATATATATCGTCTATACGGACTTCATCCACACAAGTAAGTAGTAAACTACACATATAAAGAGCGACGTGTGCTGACACGAGGTAAGATATGACGACACCTCGAAACATAATATACTCTTGAAATCCGACCAAGCGAAATCGAAAAAAAATCTTGACAAACATGAAATGAAACAAGTTTTTGGGGTTTGTAGGCTAAGTCAAGAGTCTTTAGTCAATCCCATCAAACAAGTTTTAAGAAAGAAAAACCAGCCACATATCAAATTGCAATATAATTCCACAAAGATATATGATTTTGAAAGTTCAATATGTTTGAAGAAAAATCTTCCCACTTAAAAAACACAAGAACCACTCAAATCTCTTTACCACTAGAAGAATTATAAGTCTGAGTTGACTCATGAAGTCACTGCCGTTGACTTCTCAAACAACCAATCAATGGTCTCTTTATTTAATAGTGTAAATTACAACCAACCCTGAGGTATGGTTAAATTATAAAAATCTCCCTCTTGTTTGGGTAATTACAAAAGCCCCCCTCAACTATAAATCTTCTTACACGTCCACCCTTGCGGTTTCAAATTTAGTGAAATCTTCGAGATTATATGGAATATTATCACTTTGTACCCGTTTTATCCCATTCGAACTCCACATTTGAAGCAAGATAATCATAATATGTGTTTTTTGGCTTGTATATATATATATATATATATATATATATATATATATATATATATATATTAGATTGTAGTGCATTAGAAATTGTATTTTTACACAAAACAAGTACAAACTAGAGCACATTCCACGAAATCTAAATGATTATGTTGAATTTAACAACATAAGTGTGAAGATGTAAGAAAAAATCATAGTCGAGGAGTAGGTGTAATTATCCAAACATGAGGGGTTTTTCGTAAATAAATCATATCTCTGTGTCGTTGAAATTTACCCTTTAATATATGTTGTCTTTCCTTTAATTATATATTACTCATGAAATTTTACATTTTTTTTTGTGCTTAGCAAAATTAAATTAATGGCTTCTGTGCGCAGCTATCTTTTCCTTCTCCTCACTATTTCTCTCTCCCCACTTCCTACTCTGTCGCAGACCGCCGGAAACATAACCGTCGGAGCTTCTCTGTCGGCGACGGAAGCCTCCGATCCATGGCGCTCACCTTCCGGCGACTTCGCCTTCGGATTTCAACAGCTTCAAGACGATAAAAATCTGTTCTTGTTGTCCATATGGTTCGACAAAATCCCGGATAAAACCGTCGTCTGGTTCAGCAACAGGAACGCCAGCAATCCAGTGCCACGTGGCTCCACTGTCCAGCTCACCGCCGCCGATGGGCTCGTCGTCAGGGATCCTCAGGGAAGGCTGATGTTCAGCCCCAACGGCGGGCTTGCCGATGAAGTGGGCTACGGGTACTTGAACGACACCGGAAACCTGGTTCTCCGGCGGGGGCGAAGCGATTCGGAGCCGCTCTGGGAGAGCTTCAAGAACCCTTCCGACACTATACTGCCGACCCAGATCATCGAAATCGACACCGCGCTCGTTTCGAAGAAATCGGAAGGGAACTTCTCTCTGGGGAGATTCTCCGCCCGGATGAACGGCGACGGCGACTTCGTGTTCAGCTCGAAAAGCGCGCCCACGAACACCGACTACGGCGACGAGTATTACAACAGCGGCACTTCCGATCAGAACGCGTCGGCTTCCGGTTTTCAGGTGGTGTTCGACGAGAGAGCCTCCATTTATATCCTCAGGAGAAACGGCGGGCAGGTGGTGCTCAGCCCGCGTTGGGTTCCATCGCCGGCGGAGTTCTACCACAGAGCCACCATCGATTTCGACGGAGTTTTCACGCAGTACTATCACCCGAGAACCTCCGGCGGCGCCGGAAACCAGGGCTGGACCGCCGCCAGCTCTTGGCCGGAGAACATCTGCTTCACCCGCAGCCGCCCTTGCGGCTACAACAGCGTCTGCCGGCTCGAGAATCAGAGGCCTGTCTGCCAATGCCCGCTAGGGTTTTCCTTGTCCGATCCGAACAATCCGTACGGCGATTGCAGACCTAATTCCGCGCAGAGCTGTGTTCAATCAGACGATAAGGAAGACGATTACGATGTTTCGGAGATTTCCGACACCGATTGGCCCTTCAATAGTTACCAACAGATAAATCCTAGTACCGCCGATCAATGCAAAAGTGCTTGCCTGAATGATTGTTTCTGCGGCGTCGCCATTTACAGAAGCGATACCTGTTGGAAGAAGACGCTTCCCCTCTCCAATGGCAGAGTCGACGTCACTTTGGGCGTCACCGCCTTTCTCAAGTTCCGAAAAACCGATCTAATCAATCCCAACCCTAATCCCACCACTCCGGATAAGAACCGTAATACATTACTCGTCGTGGGGTCCGCTCTCCTCGGCAGCTCGGTGTTCATCAACCTGTTATTCATCGGCCTAGCTTGCCTCGGTTTCTTCCTCATCTACAAGAAAAAGAACCTGATTTTCGATCACAATTCAGGAGCGAATCTACGATGCTTCACTTACAAGGAACTCGTACAAGCAACGAACGGGTTCAAAGAAGAAGTGGGGAGAGGCGCATTTGGGATTGTCTACAAAGGGTTAATAACGAATAGTTCGAAAACCGTAGTTGCGGTGAAGAAACTCGACAGAGTGGCTCAAGATTCTGAAAAGGAATTCCGAGCAGAAGTCAACGCAATCGGTCAGACGCACCACAAGAATCTGGTGCGTTTGATCGGTTTCTGCGACGAGGGAGCCCACCGTATGCTCGTGTACGAGTACATGAGCAACGGGACCCTATCTGGCTTCCTCTTCGGCAACAGTACAAAGCCGGGGTGGAGCCAGAGGAGCCAGATAGCAGTGGGGGTCGCGAGGGGGCTAACATATCTGCACGAAGAATGCGTCGCCCAAATCATACACTGCGATATAAAGCCGCAGAACATACTCCTCGACGAGTACTACAATGCCCGGATTTGCGATTTCGGATTGGCTAAACTACTAGCGATGGACCAGAGCAAAACGACGACGAATATTAGGGGTACGAAGGGGTATGTTGCTCCGGAGTGGTTTAGGAACCGACAAATTACGGCGAAGGTGGATGTGTATAGCTTTGGGGTTTTGTTGTTGGAGATTGTTTCGTGTAGGAAGAGTGTGGATGTGGAAGAGGGGGAGAATCCGATCCTGACGGATTGGGCGTGGGATTGCTTTGCCGAAGGGAGGATCGATTGTTTGGTGGGTAACGACGATGACGTGGAGGCATCGAGCGTCGGAAGGAAGGTGGAGCGGTTTGTGCTGGTCGGATTGTGGTGCGTTCAAGAAGATGCGAATTTGAGGCCGACTATGAGAAAAGCATGCCAAATGCTCGAAGGAGAAGTTGAGGTTGAACGGCCACCGAACCCGTACCCGTTCACCTCAACTACTGCTCGACAGCCTTGATCAACTCCACTTCAAAAAAAAAAAAAACATCTGGCACTTGAAATATGTATATTAGATGAAGCAATAAAAGACCATTCTATTTAAATTGTATTTTGGCTCCAAAATTTTAGATAAAAACTTTGTTAGAAGTTTGTAATTTTAATATTATAATAGTAGATATTAATATAGTATTATTACTTTGTTATATAGTAATAATATTGTGCTGATCGGAAAAAAGTTAAAAAAAAATCAAGAAAAATAAAAAAAATCAACATTGTCAACCCGACAATCCAATGTCGGTGAACGACGTCCAAAACAATATTAAAAAAAAAAAGTAAAATAAAATAAAATCAATGGCGATAAGCGGTCAGCGGTGATTGTAGTAAAAATCGGGGTCATTTGTCAAAAATTGATTAAATGATGAAATTGAAGTTACATTAAACTTCAATAAAATTTTAGAGATTTTTAGAATATTTTATAAAAAATGCCAAATTCACCCCTAATTCACTTAATTCAACAGTTGACCGTTATGTGTACTAGATGAAGCAATAAAAGACCATTATATATATATATATATATATATATATATATATATATATATATATATATATATTTTGCCAATAAACAGAAAATGAAAAGATCGTTCTTTTCATCATCCATTTCTGCTGCGCGCTACTGCAGCTTGTTGCTGCATAGATGCATGAAACCGAAAGCACTGAAACCCTGCAAACAAATACATGGCTTAATGCTGACTCAGCATATCGACACGAATGTTTTGTCGCTGAGTTCAAAGCTCATCGGCGCATACGCATGCTGTCAGGATCTGACGTCAGCCAGGCTTCTCTTCCGACAAACTCCGAGCGCCAACGTTTTCGCTTTCAATTGGATGATTCTGACATTGACCTTTTTAGGGTTCCACGAAGAAGCTATTGGGTACTTTTCGTTGTTCCGAAAATCAAGAACCAACAGCGCTTGTCCGAACGAGTACACTTTTCCTGTAATCTTGAGAGCTTCTGTTGGCTTGCTGAATGTGGAATTAGGGAAGCAGGTCCACGGCCTGATTCACAAAACAGGTTTCGAGGAGGATCTATCAGTGTGCAACGCGTTGATCGATATGTATGGGAAGTGTCGGAAGATGCACCACGCACGCGAAGTGTTTGATGAAATGTCTGAAAGAGATGTTGCATCCTGGACTACAATGATCTGTAGGTATGCCGACAGGGGCAACACCGAGGAGTCTGTTGTTCTGTTCGAAACAATGATGTCACAAGGTGTGAAACCGAATGATTATACATGGAACGCAATTATAGTGGCACACGCCAGAACCGGAGACTGCAACACTGCTTTCGAATTTTTTTCTCGGATGAGTAAAGAAGGATTAGTCACCGATTTGGCTACTTGCAATGCCATGATTTCAGGTTTCGTTCAAAGCCAAAGGGCAATCGAAGCTCTAGACTTGTTTCGAGATATGTTAGTCTCCGGCTTTATCAAGCCTAATCAAGTGACACTAACGGGGCTTCTCCCTGCATGTGGAATGATCGGTTCAATTCGTAGTGGCAAAGAAATTCATTGCTTCATATACAGGACGAATCTTGATATCAATGTATTTATCGCTAGCGCTCTTATCGACATGTACTCAAAATGCGGGAGTATAGAAGAGGCTCGGTGTATATTCAACACCATCCCCAGAAAGAACACAGCATCATGGAATGCTATGATCGGATGTTACGGTAAGAACGGAATGGTCGACTCCGCAATCGAACTTTTCGAAAAGATGAAAACCGAAAAAGTAGAACCGAACGAAGTCACTCTGACCACCATTCTCTGTGCTTGTAGCCATGGCGGTTTGGTGGAGAAAGGGTTGGAGATATTTACGTCAATGGGCTCGTTATACGGTGTTGAAGCGAATAACGAGCATTGCTCGTGTCTTGTCGATCTCCTTTGTCGGCACGGGAGAATGGACGAGGCTTGTGAAATTGTGAAACGGGTTGAATTTGCGACAGATTCGATTGTTGGAGCTTTCCTTAACGGCTGCAAGATCCATGAAAGGAGAGATCTTGCTCTAGAGATGCGCGAGTGGCTAAGAATCGAGATGAAAAAGGGCGGCGATTTTGTGACGCTTTCGAATATATATGCTCGTGATGGTGAGTGGGAAGGTGTCGAGGAAGTGAGGGAAGTGATGAAGGGTAAAAGAGTCTATAAGGAGCCTGGTTTTAGTTCCATTTAGGAAGAGTAAAATTCGAAGGTAAGTAAGTAATATTAATCTATAATTGATTAATTTTTATTATGAATTAGTTTTGTAGAGGGATTATATTAAATTGAATTGAAGAGTAAGGGGGGTGAATATGAAGTCATAATCAAAAGTTAGGGACGAATCTCAATTAAACCTAGACTTGGTGGGGTACCCGAGTAATTCTTGTAAGTATATGAAAAACACCATAATCTCATTACCATTATTATTAGGGTAAATTGTGAAAACCCCCTAAACTTAGATTGAATTACAAAAACTACCTCCACCTATTCGTAATTACCAAAAACCCCCTGAGGTTTGTTTCCGTTTTACACCAACCCCTTACAATGTGACTTTTCATGGTTTTTTTATTTTATTCCAGGGGAATAGATATAATAGACTGTACACATTTTCTGTTAAAAAACTCGATCAACAGTTAATCAGACGGGGATTTTGGTTATTACGGATAGGTGGGGGCGTTTTTATTTATTTAGCATAAGTTCAGAAGGGGGTTTTTGTAAATTACCCTTATTATTATTACTCACCAAATCATAAAAGTTTCAACCAATCTCATTTAAGTCGTAATTGAAATATTAACTCTGCAACAGATGGTTGGTGAATGGTGATCTAGTTTTACATTTCTAAGCAAAAGCCACCACCATTTGTAGTTTCTTTACATCTTCGTTTTTGATTTAGAAATGGTCAAACAAAACCCAGCAGTATCTGCCAGCTATAATTATTAAATATTTCACTTTTACCCCCACTCTCCGTTCACACTCAATCACAGTTGCTACTATAGATTTTACACACTTAACATTGCTCCCACATTCAGATTCTCAAATTCATTCATCCCAAATCTCTCTCTCTCTCTCTCTCTCTCTCTCTCTTGCTAGCTACCATCTCTGTGTGTGTTTTTTTTCCGCTTATTCCTTCAGCCAAAAGTTGAATCTTTCTGAAATCACTTTCTTCTCGTTTTCAGATTTCTTGATCTGTTTTTGTTTGTGGGCCCTTCAAAGATCCTATCTTTTTCAGCTTCTTATCCAAGTATTGGGATTCAATTACATTAATCTGGGATTCGGTGGTTTTGCTGATGTTCTTCTGGTTAGTACAATTTCTTCCGTCTTGTAATAAGTTTTTGTTTCTCTTATGTAGTTGTCTGAATGGGAATATGTAAGAAATCTTGAATCTTTATTGCTATACTTAGTTACAGTTGTCTATGGATCTGTGTTCTTCAATTTGTTTGATTGGTTCAAAACATATGGTTTTAACCTTGTAAAGATTGTTCTTTCTGCTTTGCATGTTGTATTATTCCTTGACAATTGAAAAAATAAATAATAACAATTGTATTATTTCTTGAAAATAATAAGTTTTTTTAGCTTCAGTTAAAGCATCTGATGTTTGGATTTTCTTCTTGTGTGAGTGGACTATGTTGAAATTCGTTATTAGATGCAACTTGTTCTAATACGGAAGGGTGTTTTAGATCGAATTAGGATACGTAAGAACTTGATTTCGGTGTGTCTATGCATAGATGAGTATGAATCTTTACAATCGGCGACATGTTTCGCAGTTTGTTTGCTAAGCAATTGTCGATGCGTAAAACTGATTTTTGCCAGTAGTTCGATGAATTTTCATTTGTTTAAATTTTTTTCCGAAGTATTTGAATACGATATTTTATTTTAAATATGCATTAAGGTGTGATTTTGTTACTTCCCCTACTAGCTGAGAATGAAAAAGATTTTTCAGGCGTTTACCGATACGATAAGATCAGGGTTCTACGAATACTATGTATAAACATCCGATTCTGAACGGAAACACCAGCCTTTCTTTTTTCACGACTTCTGGTGATTATTCGTTTATGTATATGTATATTATTTTATTTGACAGAATCAAGAAGTTGTGTGCATCTACGGGACTGAAATAATGGGCAGGGTTCGAGCAAAGGGTAAAAAGCTTTCGGTGACTAACGAAGATGAAAATGGGAGCAGCGAGGAAGTAAAAGTTCTTGCACGAAAGAGGAGAGGGAGACCACAGAAATCACTTAAAGACGAATTCGACGAAAACGAAGCTCAGAAAATCGAAGATGATAACAGCGAGGACATGGCAATAGTTAAAGACGCGGAAAATAAGAGCGGCCCCCAAAATGGGAAACGGCAGAAAAGAAATATCCAGGTGGCGAAGGAGAAACTAGTTGATTCGGTGAAGGACGAAAATGAAGACTTAACCAAATCGAGCGGTGAGGAGTCGAAGAAATCGAATGGCTTCCGCCAGAGTAGGAATAGGCGAAAGAGTAAACCTTGTCGAGCAGCTGAGGCCGTTGTTGAGTGCAACTGAAACAACATAAAGCACTCTTTTTTTTTTTTTTTTTTTTTTTTCCGTATCGCATTTCTTTATTTTGCGTATGTTTTATTCGGAATTAATTTCCTATTTCGGAAAGATTTTTTGGCTGATCAAATTTTGTAGTGATTTTCATATTCACTCTTCTTCATTGTTTGTTCTCTGCTTGAATGATTATCATATTTCTTCAAAATCATTTCTCTCCCTCCAAAAACCAACTGTAATTGAAAGCCCTTTTTACAAGGCCCAATTGCACTTTTGTTTGGGCCGTTATCCATCTTTCTTAAAATTATCCTTCTTTTTTGGTCTATTTTTTTTTTGGCGAATTACGTCCAGCCCAGGTTAGTTCAAATTATGAAAAAAAAACTCTTTCTATTTGGGTAATTACAATCACCTATCTACTATGTATATTTTTAAGAAAACACACTGCATTTAGTAGTTTAATTTTACACCGTGAGGGTGAACGTGTAAAACAATACATAATCAAGGGAGTAGTTGTAATTATCCAAACCGAAGATGGGTTTTCGTAATTTGGCCTTGCCTCAGGGGTTTTTGCCGTAATTTACCCTTTTTTGTAGTTTAGGTAAAACATGCTGAACAAGTTGAGGGCAAAATAAGCATGGGATTTCTTCTACTGATTGCTCTCTCTCTCTATATATATGAAATCTATTTGGTAAGAGTGTTTTTTTTTTTATTATTATTATATTTCTACGTGACAGTTCAAATTAGATATGAAAAATATTAGTTATTTAATTTTAAATATCTTCATATTTACAATTTCAATTTCTGGGATTTTTTATTATAGTGATGCTCTAAAAGCTAATTACCAAATAAGCTCATTAAACCGGTCTAGTTTTCCAGCTGGATTTGTGTTTGGTGCTGCATCATCAGCCTATCAGGTAATTATATTATTTATTTCTTTATTTATTTTTACTATTTTATTTTATTAATTAATTAATTTAATTATTTATTAATTTCACAGATTGAAGGTGCAGCTAGTGAAGATGGAAAAGGGCCCAGTATTTGGGACACTTTTACACTAAAAAACCCTGGTATGTCTTTACCAAATTTACTTTATTTTTTTATTAATATGATAAATAAATAAATAGTATAGTAAATAAAGGAATTAATTATTTGCCCAATTGCAGAAAAGATAAGGGACCATAGCAATGGAAACATAGCCACTGACAGCTATCACCATTACAAGGTGCACATTATTTTATTTTTTAATTAATTTAATTTAATTTAATTATTCCTTTCTGTAATAAGTTTTTATATTAGGGTAAAATTCATTTTGCACCCCTGTACTATGTGAAAGGTATTATTTACCCCCTGAAGTGTAGAAAACATAAAACACCCCCCTATTTTTAACGGTCAATAGTCAAATTTTTAACGGTGTTAAATTTTGAGTGTGCAAGGACTCTTTTACCCTGTTTTTATGTTTGATATAATTCCTAACTTTTTCTAGGCATATTTTTTGTGGATTATTGACGATTTCTAGCGTTCGTTCAAATTAGGGCTTTTTGTCGATTTTAGAATATGATTTTATTTTTGGTTTTCTTTTTCGAGGATTTTCCATTATAATATGAAAAGTTTTGTTTTTAATTTACAATTCTTTCATATGGTTTTATACTTTTATTCCTATTTTAGGATTTCTTTTAGATTTCAGGGCTTTTAGTTTTCCTTTTTGTGGGTTTTACATTCATAATCTGCAAAGCTTCATTCTTATTTATTCGACTATTCAGTTTTTTTATAAGAAAAAATGGCTGGAATGTTAAAAAAATGACTGAATAAAGTGAAAAAAAAAGCTGAAAAAAGGTGAAAAATCCGGTGAACATTTGTCAAAACGAAACATCCTATATGCATAATTTTTTTGGGGTATTTCTGTTAATAAAAAAAAAAGCCAACATTTCTTTGCAATAGTCGGTCAAAGGGTTTGACTAACGGAATTAGAAAAAAAAACTAACGGCAGGGGGCTGTTTGATGTTTTCTATACTTCAGAGGGGTAAATGATACATTTCGCATAGTATAGGGGTGCAAAATGAATTTTAGCCTTTATATTATGTTTGCAGGAAGATGTTAAAATCATGAAGCAAATGGGCTTAGATGCTTATCGCTTCTCCATTTCATGGCCCAGATTATTGCCACGTAAGCATTAAAATAAATAAAATATAATCTTTTAATTTTTTCCATTAATAGATATTGAGAAATAAATATTCGATATTTATTTATATTTTTTCAGGTGGAAGGATAAGTGGAGGAGTGAACGAACAAGGAATAAAGTATTATAATCTCCTAATTAATAAACTCATAAGAAAAGGTGTAATTACTAATTAATCATCCCAATTAATTAATTTATTTAAGTAAAATTAATTAAGGCTTAATTAATTAAATAATTACTAAAAGTGCAGGTCTTGAGCCATATGTGACACTTTTCCATTGGGATCTTCCCCAAACACTTGAGGATGACTATGGTGGCTTTTTGAGCCCTCAAATTGTGTATGCTATTTTTTTTTAATATATTATTATTATAATTGAAAAATTAATTAAATCGATTGTAATTAATTAATTAATTAATTTTTGGGTTAGGGATGATTTTTGGGATTATGCAGAGCTATGCTTTAGGAGATTTGGTGATAGAGTGAAATATTGGATAACTTTCAATGAGCCGTACACCTATGCCGTCGGCGGCTATGTTACCGGAGAATATGCTCCGGGAAGATGCTCCGGTTGGCAAAGATTAAACTGCAGCGGCGGAGATTCGGGTGTGGAGCCGTATCTGGTGGCGCACCACCAGCTTCTTGCTCATGCAACCGCAGTCAATATATACAAACAATATTATCAAGTAAGTTATATTTTTGGTTTCTTTTTTAATAAATTAAAAAAAATAATATCAAAGAAATGATTTAATGATTTATAATATATGTGGGATGAAGGAATCACAAAAGGGCAAAATTGGAATTACAATAGTGGCTGGATGGATGATACCTTTCTCCAATGAGAGCATCCACCGCGAGGCTACAAATCGGGCACTCGACTTCACTTTTGGATGGTTTGTTCGAATTTCCGATTTTCGATTATTTTTTGTTTTTTGCATTCAATTGGAAATAATTATTTTACTTGCGAAAAATAGACGTTTTTATAAAAAAAATGCTAATTTCGATCTGATTTACTTTTCATCAGGTACATAGAACCACTGACGAAGGGCGATTATCCCAAGTCAATGAAACGCGGCGCAACCGGCAGAATTCCAAAATTCACAAAGGAAGAAAGTGAGATGGTGAAGGGTTCATTTGATTTCTTGGGTTTGAATTATTACACAACTTACTATGTCAAACATTTCCCACGTGCCAATAATTCTTCTATTACCTCCTACTTGACAGATTCTCAAGCACATATTTCTCGTAAGTTGATCTTCCCATTTTACCCCTATACATTCCTTTTAATATCCATCATATTTATTTTATTTTATTTGACTGCTTCAGCTGAAAGAAATGGTGTCCCAATAGGCCCAAAGGTATGGTTAGTTCCTATTTTTTTTCAATTAATTATTATTTCTTATTTTGTTATATTTTTTTTAATATTTTAAATAAAAGAAACTTATATAATATGATTGACAGGGTGCATCAGATTGGCTTTATGTATACCCAAGAGGGATACGAGATGTATTACTATATGTCAAAACAACTTACAACAATCCTACAATATACATCACTGAGAATGGTAACATTTTCTATATATATACAAAACTCGATTTTATTTGAGTCGAGTCAAGTTAATTATACGCGTGTACGTATATGATGGTAGGTATTGATGAGATAAACAACTCGACGTTATCTGTCGAGGAAGCACTTGTTGACAACATGAGAGTAGACTATTTCTACAGACATCTTTCTTATGTTCAGAAAGCAATTCAGTAAGTTATGAATCTTGAAACTATTCGTCATTTTATTCGACTTCGAAGAATATTTTATGAATTCAATAAAGTTGAAGACTTTGTCATTCATTTCAAATCCAGGAGAGGGGTCGATGTCAGAGGATTCTTCGCGTGGTCGTTGATAGACAACTTTGAGTGGAATTCTGGTTATACGCTTCGTTTTGGATTGAACTACGTCGACTATAAAGACGGGCTAAAGAGATACCCGAAACTATCAGCCAAATGGTTTAAAAACTTTCTGCAGAACTAGAGATATACCCATTTCGAATACGACGTTTTTCTTGTTAAATCTGTTCGATCAATTTGAACAACATATCTACACAACAAAAAGGAAAAAAAAATCAAGAATCACTTTTCAATCAAGAAAACATCTGTTTTTTATTCGGAAAAAAATCGCAAAAAATATTGCATCAAACATACACGATCAGCCCATGTTCTTATAATTAAACTTGCACACATCAGTTTTGGATAAATAAAAAAATGATAATTAAATGGAAACACTATTCGGGACACCCTTTCCGGTCACACCAGGTTCGGAAAACGGCTTCAGAAGCTGGTACGGCACCACTCCAGCCCCTGCCCTGTTCCTCAAATTCGTGTCAGCATTTCTACCATCAATAATTCCTTCAATCTCCTTCATTTTGCCATTAAACTGTTCAAATGCAGCGGTAATAACTCTATCATCTGCCCAATAAGGCTGAATTTTCTCTCCAATATACTCCTCATCGGGCGAATGAGTGGACAGTACATCAATAATGGCCATAATTGTTGTAGCTTGAATTTGTGAAGGGAAGCTCTTTAGCAGGAACTCCTCAGGCCTCTCCATGAATTGTTTTGTTGCTTCATCGTTCGGGTCTTCAGTTGGCATTTGTGTTCGAGCAATGGTAGGCCTGTTCGGAAAGTATGCACCGAAATCGAACTGACCAAAGTTTACAGCAGCGTGATGACCCGAAGCTACCCATATGACAGTCGTCAAAATTCCAACCAAATCTTCCGGAGTTTTGAGCTCTGGCCACCATGTTGCATCCTTCTTATCCGCATGGCCCACAGTTCGAATCTCTGTCCACCACGCTTGGAGCTCGTCATCTGATTGTACGAGGCTCGGTTCTTGATAGTAACAAGCAACATAGTCTGCAATCCATTTTTTAATAGCATCCCACATAAGCAAACCATCATTGGCATAAGGGTAGTCTTCGATTGTTAGTTTCAGACCATGAGGTGCAGTTGGATCCTCCACAGCCATTCCCCTGCAAACACAAACCCCATTATTATTATTATTATTATTATTATTATTATTATTATTTTTTTAAATGTAAGTTCCTAATTCCTACTGCAACAATGTATGTGTTTTCAACACCTTTATTAATTGATTTACCTGCTGATTAAATCTGCTGGTAGTCCCTCAAGGTTGAATTGCCATAGTTTGTCATAGGCAACAGAGCTCAATTCCATGGAGTACTTTCCAGGTGAGAATGCGCGCTCAATGATGCCACCAGCATTAATAAGGCCCCCGCGAGCCAAAGCGTTAATTTTCATCGTGTAACGCAAATGAGGATGCAACAGTCGGTAAATCGGGTGCATTGCACTTAGTTGCCTGTTTGTTGCGATTATGTAAGGCTCTGTGCAAGCATGACTACGCAACCTGCAAATATCCAAAAATGAGTTCGAGATTGTAAGAGTGAATTTATTGAACAATCTCAAGGTAATCTTTAAGTTTCGATGAGCCATCCTACAGTAAAGATGTTTTAACAACTTCGGCATCCGACTTCATTAATTGAGGCTCAGAAATATGGCCATTCAATTCTACTTGCAAAATTGTTGAACATATAATCAGACTTGCTGGAACTACGGTTTAGAGTTCTTTTCTCTTTTGTATTATTTAACTTCAAGATGATAAACCAACTTTTAGTTGTACAATAATATAAATGTTAGGATAAAAAGTGCTTTTAGAGAAAAGTTGGAAAAACGAAAAACAGAAACTTACCAGTGAGTGACTAACTCATGATAACCAGAGTCATGAGCCAGGACATGAGATTTAGCAAGCCTCCACAACCAGACACCAGTGGCATCCCAAGTTGGCTTGAATACTTGCTTCCACTGGGGCTTCCCATCCACTGGTGGTCGAGTTAACTCGATTGCAACAGGCCTCAGTGTGCCGTCAGAGGTTAAGTAAAACAATGTCCTGGATCCATAAAAAGTTGTCCCCTCGAGCTCTCTTACCTTGTTCACATATGGCAAGAACACATCATGATAATCTATAATGAAAAGCTTCTTTTCTTCCAATGCCTTTTGGACTGTCGTGCAGCCTCCAATTTCTAGTTCTACGAGCTCTGTTGTGATTGCTGATTCAGCTGGCCCGTACACCTCAGGGTCGAGGTTACTCTTCAATGGCCATTCCTGTGATTACGTTGCCATATTTAGAAGAATGTTTCTACCAAGTATTTACTAAGTATGTTACTACCAAGTACTCTAATAATAGAAAAGGAAAAAAACGAGATGATGTTCCGCATCAGTTTTACCAATCCAGTCATTTGTCACATAAAAAAGAAAGTGAAAATTACCAAGATTACGTATGAGATGTAGTTGGAGAGCATACCGTGACCAATTTGATGACGCATGGATTAATTCCTGCTAGAGTTTGTCTTGCAAATTCAGCATCCCTAAACCAGGCAAACTTATCTCCTGCAATAACAAGAAGAAGCAGTTCAACGCAAAGCACCATTTCCAGCAAAAGATTTCAGTTTGCAAATGTAGAAACACAGAAAAACGAGGCAGGGATATGTGAATTACTGTCGATGAATTCAGGGGTCTCGAAGCGAAGGAGACTTTTTCCCGAGTTGGAGATAGCCTTCACAATTCTAGGTATAATACTTCTTACCACCCCTACTTTTGAATCATTCGGAAGCTCAATTCCTTCATTGAATAGAGCGTCTATAGCTGCGAAGTGTGGGAATTCATTACTGCTTAAGATCGTACTCTCCAGCGATGGAAGTAGTGCACGAAGGACTGAGAATACAGTGTCTGCTGAGAATTGCAGATTCTTTATTTCTGAAAATTCTTCATCTCTCGGCACGTACATATTGGATCCCGGTGACTCAGACAATGGATCTGCCGGTTTACATAATACGAAATTGAGATGAATCCAAACATTTTTGAAATTACATCAAAAAACTACGTCAAAACTTAGCTCGGCAATTTAACAAACACATGGTGTGCATGGCAAGAATCGAAAACAATCTCTAACCTTTCTTAGTTTTAGGGCGGCCAGTTCTGATGCGGCGAGGATAGGGATGGACGGGGCCTCCGAGAACGGGTCGGGCCAAATCAGCGTCGGAATCTGGGTCGCCGAGATCGTTGTAAACATCGTAATCGTAGATTCTTTCGGCGGATTTGCGCTCCCCTTGGCCGTCACCACGGACAACCTCGAGCTCATTCTGTCTGTACCTTTCCAGCCCATTTGGAGTTTCGCGCGGCAAATATGACTAATTAACAAATTTGTCGATTATTATTTTTAATTAATTTTTTTTCGAAAATAACATAAATTTATTCCACACAAAAATCGAAAATAAAATTTCCCTAGTGTTCCAAGTCAACAGCCGTCAAACACAATTAAACTGCACTATTTATTTATGGTCTTTTTTTTTTTTTTTCTTTTAATGGGTAAATTACACTTACACCCCTTAAGTATACTAAAATAATTTTAAGGTCCCTGCAGTATCGGTAATTTTACATAAAATTTATCAATTTTCTTCTATGATATCATTAACGGCCCCGCATGAAACAAATATAGTGCATATCGGTCTCCAGGACATGAAATCTTGGCTCCGGCAATTGTTTCAGAAATGTGACTATAATTATATATAGTACATGGACCTAAAAGTTATTTTAACATACTTTAGAGGTGTATAATGTAATTTAACCATTTTTAATTTACTTCAAGTTTAGTACCATAACATTACAATTTTTAAATAAAGAACATGCAATATAATACTAACCTTGTCTGCGAAAAAGACTCTCTTTTGTAGGCCATCGGATCTGTGATGAACCCACGTGTTACAACTAAATTTGACTGAGTCACTCGTACTCGCACTCGTACTCGATAAGCCACTAAGAACAATGCTCTTTATAAACATTTCATGGTAATGTTTATTCTCAATTAGTATAGCACCAATCTCCCCGAAATTCTCGGGAATCTTGAAACTAGCCTTGTAGTAGATTTCACTGTCTTCGCTTCCCGACCTCCTCCCGTTAGCCTTTACGGTAGGTTTCTCCAATCCCGTTTCTAGAACAAATTAAAAAATATTTAAATCTTGATTAAAAAAAAATAATACTTGTACGATAAATATATAAATAATTATAACAACTAGAGGGACAAGATAATGTTGATTAATTAATTAGTAATTAGATCATAAAATTTGACAAAGTAATTAACCAAGTGGTGAACAATATTAAACTACTACTAGCTATTAAATTGACCCTTCCACATGTCAAGTGGCATATTGCTATACAATAATTAAGGTTCATTAAGTTTTATTAATATTTTCGTGGACTTCCATTGTACTTTTCTTACCCTAGCACGCCAAAGTTGATTAATTATTTATTTATTATTTATTTATTATTTTTTTGAAGTGGTCCATGGCCATAAAGACTAATTAGAAAATGACAACTGTTGATGAAAAAAATATTAATGTGTGGCCATATTCAAAGTAATTAATATTTTAAGGCTTAATTTTGCTTGGCACCCTTGAGATATAGCTTTTTAACAATTTGTACCCTAAAAAATAAAATAATAGCACTTTGCACCCTCGAAATATAATAAATCATGCATAATGCATGGGAAATTATGATTATTTACACTATGTGGATTTGAATCGTAGATCTACACTTAGTCACACAAACACCCATGTGTCATTTAATTTTATTTTGCACTGGGAAAAAAAAATAATTTCAATGTTATACAATGAAAATAAAAAACCAAAAAAAATTAAATTTGCTTCAACAAGTTTTAATATTCAATGAAGGGGTGTATAGTGAACGGTTTATTGTATTTTAATGGTGCAACACGCTATTAATTTTTTTCACGGAAACAAAGTGTCAAAAGGCTATATTTCCAAGGTGCAAAGTGAAATTACATATATATATATATATATATATATATATATATATATATATATATATATATATATATATATATATATATATAACAGTTTGTTTTTTCCCCAAAATCACATGGCATCTTCTATTTTACTTTAATTTAATCCCTGTGTGATAAATAGTAAGATGCGATTACACCTAGATATGTGTATATACTATATGTACATACACGAGAAATATGTGTTATTTGGTGTGCAAATTGCAATTATATTTGTTTTTTATTCATAAAAAACAATCAAAAGTTATATGACTCACGATATTTTTTTAACAATTACATACTTTTAAAGAACAATTTATTTAGTTAGCTTTAAATAAATACTTTAGATGATATATATATATATATATATATATATATATATATAGATATATATATATATACATTAGTACTTTAATTTCATGAATAAAAAATTGTTGACAGAACAGCATATTCCAGTTACAGGTCATGCATGCATGTTATCATATTTCTGGTTTTTGGCTATTTTATATTTAAACAATTACAAGTTGTAATTAACTTATATATTATTAACTTATATATTATTACTTCACTTAATTAATTAAAAGTACAGTCAATTTGCATATAACTGATTAGATGGACGATTATTGAACTACTCTCGATTGAATCAAGAGATCAGGTTAACTATTATACAAAAGTGTAGATTTAACTAATGCACTTATATAGTTAATTACGAGTTTTTTTTTTCATTGCACAAAAAAATAGAGAGATCAATTTGGTCACTGATTTGATTACAAATTAAATAAAAATTTAATTTGAATTAAGTTATAAGTTGTTGACATAATTAACATCATATTCCGATCCAAGCCAAGTCATACAAATACAAAACATTAATTTATAATATATCTTTATAATTATTATCCACTATTATGCAGGCTACCCTACATATTTTTGTGGCACCTATCAACAATATATCTTTTGTAATATAATGCAGCAAAGATGTATTGGTCAATCTTATTTTATTTTAGCAATATATTAATTTCTCTGGAAAAAAGCTATTTACTACTCGATCGTCTATGCACAAATATAATTAATCACTGCAAGTAAACATGGCTTTACCGACGGAATTTTATGTTAATCTATCAAAATCTGCTGCTAAATGCGATTACCGACGGAAATTTAGCAGCATAGAGGCCTGTAAGTTACACTTTTATAAATGTTTAGATCGAAGAAAATATATATATATATATATATAATTTTCATGCAATATATATCAAGCAAGCATTATAACCTACACCTATATATATGTATGTGTATATATGTAAATACTCACCGGGATCGAGTTCTGCAGCAACAAGCTCGATGACAAGGTTTTCACCGAACAGCTGGGTTATAAAATCGAGCACGCCGCTAATTCCGAGGCGGCCGACGGCCCCCGTCACCGTCTGCACCACAGTGACCACCGCTTTAACCGTGGTTGGTGCAGCAGCTTTTACTACTCCGGTCGAGGTGGAGTTGTTCGACATTGTATTTTTTTTTTCTTTTTTTATTGGGATATTTTGAAAATGAAACAATATAATTAAAGGAAAGATGAATATTGTGAGAGATATCAGAGTGGGATTCAGTATTTTGGTGATGTAAGAATAATACTTTTAGCCCTTGCTTTTATATAGACAATGCAAAAGGATATTATTGTCCTAATTTAAAGATAGGTGTAGTTGTCATGATAAGACCAATTACTTACAAAATAGCACGTTTTTATTTTAAATCTAATTTTGAACCAAACGAGGAACTCATAACGTGCAAACAATAGCCAATAAAATCACACAGAGAGACGTAAATCACATTAGACAAACCTTCTGTGATTAATTAACTCGAATTAAAAAAAAAATTAACAAGATCGTTCAACTTCGAGTTGTAAATATTCCACTAATTAGCCTTTTAATTTGTAGACTGTTATTTGGAACTAATTGTATAGATTATAATGTACAGGGGGTCAAATGTATAATTTTCCAATAAAAAAAGGTGTATGAGCGAAAGTTTCAACCCCACTAGAAATTTAAAAGCCGGGAAATTGAAAAAACAGGTATGTGATCAACCAATCACGATCCAGCACGTGTAGATAAGAATAGTAAATTGTAACATGCTAATCACATTCACCAAATGCAGAGGACTTTGTAATAATTTTAATATGTATGCATAGATCGAATATATTATATATGAACATGTATGTATGTATGTATTCGGTTGACCGTTGACAATTGGACAACACCGCGGGGCGGCTCTACTAGTTGTCTTATCTTATGGCTGCTGGATTACGAGTTAGGTGGAAGCTTCATTCTTTATAAATTATAGTTTGCACCCCTAAATTATATTATCTGTAACACTTACCCTTTAAAGTACTATTTGTAACACTTACATCCCTCAGGTATAATTTAATTTGTATTTTAAATACTAATACCTTAAAATTTGCTCTTTTATTTAATGAATAACTAAAAGAATAATTAAACTATACAACTAAAAATATTTGTTTGAGAAATGCAATATTTTAAAATTTAAAAATATTATCTTGCGTGGGGTGCGTATTTAATAAATAATATCTAATTGTTGTTGAACCAATTAATCGAATATATGTATATCGATAAATTTTAAGAAATCAATACTTAACTAATAGTAATCTTTTAAGTTTATTTTAGTTTATTTATTTCTTAAAATATATATTCATTCATTATTATACAATATATATATTTATTTTAATTCTTTTCCAATAATTTAATTTAGTTAATTTTATGATCCAATAATTATTAGATTGTTATGTTTATTATGTTTCAATTTTAAAATATAAAATAGAGCGGCGGATATATGCAAGCCCATTTTTTTATTAGTTCAAGACCTTCAACATAAAAATACTAATTTACCCTTAATGGAATTCAAAACCAAATAAAAACACAAAATATTAAAAAAAAAAAATCGGCACTACAACGCCGCTTTTACTTGTAAAGTCGACGTTGTGACGCCGATTTAGTTAACAAAAATCGGCATTATGACGCCGATTTTTGTGTACAAAATCGGTCTGGGTAAACCGATTTGGGAAACCAACGAAAACACACAAATCTCAAATTTTTTTCCAAAATCGGCTAAAGCATTGCAACCCAACAAGAAATAAGCATAGATTAATATTCATCCACCCATATTTATGAAGAATCGATGCTCGATTAATATTTTAGAATTTACAAACAAAAGTTTAGTAAAAATGACTTACTTTTTGGTGGTGGTGCGGTGGGTAGGTCGCTGGTCGTCGTCAGCGTGGTGGAAGTTTCGCTGGTTGGCGTTGCGGTGGCAGTCTAGAGTGTTTTTTTTTTTTTTTTTTTTTTTTTTGATTTTTGGGTCTTGAACAAATTAAAAATAGAGTTTGTTTGTATTTGGGTATTATTTGTGGATAAGGGTATTTTCGTCCTCTTTGGTCTTGATGTAATAAAATTAAATTAATTTAGAGGCTTGAACTAATAAACCCCTTTATGTGGTTTTGAAACTAATAAAAAAATAGGCTTGTATATATCCGTCGCCATAAAATAATTGATGTTAGGCGGGTAAGCGTTTCAAATGATACTTTAAGGCGTAAGTGTTACAAATGCTATACTTCAGGGGTGCAAAGTGTATTTAATCCAAAAATATTTATCAGGTTGTGGAAAAATAAATAATTTATTTTTTAGAAAAAAATAATATGATAAAGAAAAAGAGTTGCACATAAGCTTCCTAGTAAAACTACTAAGAATGAAGAAAACATTGTTAATACTTTTCAATATGATTTTCTTGAAAATGAAGCATTTAAACAATGCGTTAACGCAGTTCAGAAAAGACAATGCAGGACTTGTACATCACAAAAAATAAGACGAAAAGAGATGATCGAAAACCCGTAATTAAATAGAAACACTATTCGGGACACCCTTTCCGGTGACACCAGCTTCAGAAAACGGCTTGAGAAGCTGGTACGGCACCACTCCAGCACCTACCCTGTTCCTCAAATTCGTGTCTGCATTTCTAGCATCAATAATCCCTTCGATCACCTTCATTCTTCCATTAAACCGTTCAAATGCAGCCGTAATAACTTTATCATCTGCCCAATACGGCTGAATTTTCTCTCCGATATACTCCTCATCGGGCGAATGAGTTGACAGTACATCAATAATGGCCATAATTATTGTAGCTTGAATTTGTGAAGGGAAGCTCTTTAGCAGGAACTCCTCAGGCCTCTCCATGAATTGTTTCGTTGCTTCATCGTTCGGGTCTTCAGTTGGCATTTGTGTTCGAGCAATGGTAGGCCTGTTCGGAAAGTATGCACCGAAATCAAATTGACCAAAGTTTACAGCAGCATGATGACCCGAAGCTACCCATATGATAGTCGTCAAAATTCCAACCAAATCTTCGGGAGTTTTTAGCTCTGGCCACCATGTTGCATCCTTCTTATCCCCATGGCCCACTGTTCGAATCTCTGTCCACCATGCTTGGAGTTCGTCATCTGATTGTACGAGGCTCGGTTCTTGATAGTAGCAAGCAACATAGTCAGCAATCCATTTTTTAATAGCATCCCACATAAGCAAACCATCATTGGCGTAAGGGTAGTCTTCGATTGTTAGTTTCAGACCATGAGGTGCAGTTGGATCCTCCACAGCCATTCCCCTGCAAACAAACCCCATTAATTTTTTTTTAATTTTAAATTGAAGCTCCTAGTTCGTACTGCAACAATATATGCGTTTTCAACACCTTTATTAATTGATTTACCTGCTGATTAAATCTGCTGGTAGTCCCTCGAGGTTGAATTGCCATAGTTTGTCATAGGCAACAGAGCTCAATTCCATGGAATACTTTCCAGGTGAGAATGCACGCTCAATGATCCCACCAGCATTAATAAGGCCCCCACGAGCCAAAGCGTTAATTTCCATCGTGTAACGTAAATGAGGATGCAACAGTCGGTAAATTGGGTGCATTGCACTTAGTTGCCTGTTTGTTGCAATTATGTAAGGCTCTGTGCAAGCATGACTACGCAACCTGCAAATGTCCAAAAATGAGAGTGAATTTATTGACCAATCTCAAGGTAATCTTTAAGTTTCGATGAGCCATCCGACTTCATTAATTGAGAGTCAGAAATATGGCCATTCAATTCTACTCCAAAATTGTTGAACATATAATAAGACTTGTTGGAACTACGGTTTAGAGTTCTTTTCTCTTTAGTATTATTTAACTTCAAGATAAACCAACCTTTAGCTGTACGACAATATAAATTTTGGGATAAAAAGTGCTTTTACCAGTGGGTGACTAACTCATGAAAACCAGAGTCATGAGCCAAGACATGAGACTTTGCAAGCCTCCACAACCAAACACCAGTGGCATCCCAAGTTGGCTTGAACACTTGCTTCCATTGGGGCTTCCCGTCTATTGGTGGTCGAGTTAACTCGATTGCAACAGGCCTCAATGTGCCGTCAGAGGTTAAGTAAAACAATGTCCTGGATCCATAAAGAGTTGTCCCCTCGAGCTCTCTTACCTTGTTCACATATGGCAAGAACACATCATGATAATCTATAATGAAAAGCTTCTTTTCTTCCAATGCCTTTTCCACTGTCGTGCAGCCTCCAATTTCTTTTTCTACGAGCTCTGTTGTGATTGCTGATTCAGCTGGCCCGTACACCTCAGGGTCGAGGTTACTCTTCAATGGCCATTCCTGTGATTACTTTGTCATATTTAGAAGTATGTTTCTACCAAATATTTTCCTTGCTAAATATAGTTAAGAATGAGACTTGATTCTAATAAGAGAGAGAGAAAATTATATGATCCTCCTCATCAGTTTTACCAAAGCAATCGTCAAGTCCAATTATTTGTCACACTAACCAAAAGAAAGTGAAAATTACCAAGATTACGTATTTTATCTAGAGAAGAAAAAAAATGTAGTTGGAGAGCATACCGTGACCAATTTGATGACGCATGGATTAATTCCTGCTAGAGTTTGTCTTGCAAATTCAGCGTCCCTAAACCAGGCAAACTTATCTCCTGCAATAACAAGAAGTAGCAGTTCAACGCAAATATTTCGGTTTGCAAATGTAGAATTACAGAAAAAGGAGCCAGAGATATGTGAATTACTGTCGATAAATTCAGGGGTCTCAAAGCGAAGGACACTTTTTTCGGAATCAGAGATAGCCTTCACAATTCTAGGTATGATACTTCTTAACGCCCCTACTGTTGCATCGTTCGGAAGCTCAATTCCTTCATTGAATAGAGTGTCTATAGCTGTGAAGTGTGGGAATTCATTACTGCTTAAGACCGTACTCTTCAGCGATGGAATCAATGCGTGAATGACTGAGAACACAGTGTTTGCTGAGAATTGCAGATTCTTTATTTCTGAAAATGCTTCATCTCTCGGCACGTACATAATGGAGCTCGGTTTCTCAGATAATGGATCTGCCGGTTTACATAATACGAAATTGAGATGAATGTAAACACTTTCGAGCTAATTGAAAAACAAAATGGACTAACACCAAAAAACTACGTCCAAACTTAGCTCCGCAATTTAACAAACACATGGTGTGCATGGCAAGAATTGAGAACAATCACTAACCTTTCTTAGTTCTAGGGCGGCCAGTTCTGATGCGGCGAGGATAGGGATGGACGGAGCCCCCGAGAACGGGTCGGGCCAAATCGTCGTCGGAATCTGGATCGCCGATATCGTTGTAAACATCGTAATCGTATATTCTGTCGGCGGTTTTGCGCTCCCCTTGGCCATCGCCACGTAGAATCTCGAGCTCTTTCTCTCTGTACCTTTCCAGACCATTTGGAGTTTCACGTGGCAAATATGACTGCAACCAATCATTGCATAATCTAATGTTAATTTACTAATTTGCCCATGGTGATTTCTAATTACTTTTTTTCCTTTCTAAAATTCATTAAATCGAAAATAAAATCACCCGATACTTTTTACCAGGTGTAATGTTAAACTAACCTTGTTAGAGAAAAAGACTCTCTTATGAAGGTCGTCGGATGTGTGATGAACCCACGAGTTACAAGTAACTTCGAGTGAGTCACTCGTACTCGAGAAGCCAGTAAAGACAATATTCTTCACAAACATTTCATGGTGATGTTTATTCTCAATTAGTACCGCACCAATCTCCCCGAAATTCTTTGGAATCTTGAAACTAGCCTCGTAGTAGATTTCATTGTCTTCACTTCCTGATCTTCTTGCGGAAAATTTTACGGTAGGTTTCTCCGTTTCCGTTTCTTGAACAAAATAAAAAAATAATCAATATTTAAATCTTGATAAATTAAAAAAAAAATACTTGTACAATAAATATTTTTATAATTATAACAACTAGAGCTACAAGATAATATTAATTAAGTAATTAGATCATAAAATTTGACCAAGAAATTAATCAAGTGGTAACAATACTCCAACTAATTCATATATTTATATACTTTACAATTATATTGTAATTGTCACATAAGTACATACTTTACATGATATATTAATTAAAAATGTAATAAATTTTCGTTGAAATGGTCAGATTTAGATAATATAAGTTTGAAAACATGGTTTAATAAATTAGTATTTTAATTTAATAAGTTGTTGACAGAACATGATATTCCAAGACAGGTCATGCATGCATGTTATCATATTTCTGGTTTTAATTTTAATTAACTTAAATAGTACTTCACTTAATATAATATATTAAAGCTGTAGTCTATTTGCATTTAAGATCACATGGAAAATTATTGAACTACCCTAGATCGATCAGAGTCAATTATAGTAGATTAATTATTATCGGTCAATACATTTATATCGTTAATTGCGGGTTCTTTAATTAATAAAAATAACAGCAGATTAATTTGGTCACTTTTATAAATGTTTAGATATATCAAAAAAAATATATATATTTGATTTGCATGCAATATCAAGCAAGCCTTATAACCTACACCTATATATATATATATATATATATATATATATATATATATATATATATATATATATATGTGTGTGTGTGTGTGTGTATATACATATATACTCACCGGAATCGAGTTCTGCAGCGACAAGCTCGATGAGAAGAGTTTCACCGAACAGCTGGGTTATAAAATCGAGCACGCCGCTAATTCCGAGGTGGGTGACGGCCCCCTTCACCGTCTGCAGGACAGTGACCACCGCTTTAACCGTGGTTGGCTTCTCGTCGGTGATCGGTAAAGCTTTTACTCCTAAGGTGGAGTGGTTCGACATTTTTTTCTTCTTCTTTGTTTCTTTTTCTTTGGATATTTTGAAAATGAAAGAATAAAGAGAGCAACGATGAATATTATTGTGGGACTGAGTGGATTCGGTATTTTGGTGATGTAAGAACAATACTTTTAGCCCTTGCTTTATATAGAGAATGCAAAAGGGTATAATTGTCATTACTTAAAAAATAACATGTTTTTTTAATCATATTTTGAAACGAACGAGGAACTCACGAGTATATAAGTGTACACTGGGTAAAAAAAAATCTCGTGCAATAGTCAATAAATCAGACGAGAGATGTAAAACGCATTAGACAAACCTTGTGGAATTAATTAACTCGACTTAAGAATTATTAACAAGATTAGATCAAATTCGAGTTGTAAAATATTCAACCAATTAGCTTTTTTTTGACTGTTAGTTGGAACTAATTGTATAGATTATAATGTAAAGCGGGTCAAATGTATAATTTTCCAATTAAAGAAGGCGTAAGAGCGAAAATCAAGTCCCCTTGTAATTTTTTATAAACTGGCGGGGTAATTAAAAAAGATATTTTGAATAATTGAAAAATGGGATTAACCAATCACGACCCCCCACGTGTAGAAAAGAAAATTTAAAATGTTTTTTTTTTTTTTTTTTTTTTTTTTTTTTTTTTTTTTTTTGGTAATGCAGGAACCCGCAGCCAACCATATAGGTGCACTGGGTAAACCTACACTCTCGTAAAAAAAAAAAAAAAAAAAAAAAAAAAAAAATATTTAAATTGTTACATGCTAATCACATTCACGAAATGTAGATAATAATTTTGTATGTATGTATTTAGTTGACCGTTGACAATTAGATAGCACCGCCGGCGGCTCTACTAGTTGTCTTATGGGGGAGTTCGGTGGAAGCTTCATGCTTTATAAATTGTAATTTAAATAATGTATATCAATTATATATAAATCTTGAATTGGTTTTCTTATTTTTATTTTTTTTACTCCTTTGATGTATCTCCTTATTATACACATTCACTAATATTTTTTATTTATTTATTATGTCGAGTGGTAGAAAATATTTATCGGGTTGTGGAAAAATAAATATCTTGTTAATACATTTCACTACGATTTTCTTGAAAACGAAGCATTTAAAAAATACGTTACGGCACAAAAAATACCACGAAAAGAGATCGAAAACCCGTAACACGAAATAACTTATTAACAAAGCAGAAAACTACATTATTGCATGAAAGATACATAGATGATCATAAACCCCATTTTTTGATTTATTGTTGCAGACAAACGGTTTATACAACTAGATGGAGACGCTATTTGGGATACCGGTTCCAGTGACACCAGGTTCGGAAAACGGCTTGAGAAGCTCGTACGGCACCACTCCAGCCCCTGACCTATTACTCAAATTCGTGTCTGCGTTTCTAGCATCGATGATCCCTTCAATCTCCTTCAATTGTTCATTAAACCGTTCAAATGCAGCGTTAATAACCTTATTATCAGCCCAATAAGGCTGAATTTGCTCTCCGATATACTCCTCATCGGGCGAATGGGTGGACAGTACATCAATAGTGGCCATAACTATCACTGCTTGAATTTGTGAAGGGAAGCAGTTCAGCAGGAATTCTACGGGATTCTTCAAAAATTGTTTTCTTTCTTCTTCCTTTGGTTCTTCGGTAGGCATTTTTGTTCGAGCAATTGTAGGCCTGTTTGGAAAGTATGCTCCGAAATCAAATTGACCGAAGTTTACAGCAGCATGATGACCTGAAGCTACCCATATAATAGTCGTCAATATTCCAATCAAATCATCCGGTGTTTTTAGCTCTGGCCACCACAGTTCGTCCTTCTTATCCCCATGGCCCACTGTTCGAATTTCTTTCCACCATGCTTGCAGCTCGTTATCTGATCGAACGATGCACGGTTCTTGATAGTAGTAAGCCACGTAATCTGTGACCCACTGTTTGATAGCATCCCATAGAAGCAAACCATCACTGGCATAAGGGTAGTCGTCGATTGTGAGTTTCAAACCGTGTGGTGCAGTTGGATCCTCTACTGCCATTCCCCTGATATTTAAAAAAAAAAAAGCAATATTATTGTAGTTCAGAATATATTGAAAATAATAAGATGTTTCCAACACCTTTGTTAATTTCATTTACCTGTTGATTAAATCTGCGGGTAGTGCCTCCAAGTCGAACTGCCATAATTGGTCATATGCAGCAGCGCTCAGTTCGACCGAGTATTTGCCGGGGGAGAATGAGCTTTCAATGACCCCATTTGCACTAATAAGGGACTGACGGGCCAATGCATTAATTTCCATTGTGTAACGCAAATGAGGGTGCAACAGTCGATAAATCGGGTGCATTGCACTTAGTTGCCTGTTTGTCGCGATTACGTAAGGCTCCGTGACACAATGAGTCCGCAGCCTGCAAATATCCAAGACTTACACGAGATCGAGTGTAAAAGTACAATTTATCTGTCTCTTCAAAAGCTTGTTTTTTTTACTTTTTTCCAACGTGTCATTCAAGAAGTAAAGATGTCTTAATAACTTCATTTGCTTCCTTGATTTCATTAATCAAGAATCAGAAATACGGCCATGCATAACTACTATTTAACCTAAAGACAGATTTCGGATATGAAAAAAAACAAAAAAGGGTCTGAAGGAAAAGTCGGGAAATGACAAAACAGAACTTACCAGTGACTAACTAACTGATGATAACCAGAGTCGTGAGCCAAGACATGAGCTTTAGCAAGCCTCCACAGCCACACACCAGTGGCATCCCAAGTTGGCTTGAATACCTGCTTCCACTGTGGCTTCCCATCTATTGGTGGTCGAGTTAACTCGATAGCCAACGGCCTCAATGTGTCGGCAGGTGTTAAGTAAAACAACGTCCTCGATCCATAAAGAGTTCTCCCCTTGAGCTCTCTTACCTTGTTCACAAATGGCAAGAACACATCATGATAATCCAACACGAAAAACTTCTTTTCTTTCAGTGCCTGCACAAACCGAAAAATGGATCAGATAAGAAGAGTAATAAATCTGTATTAGGATAACGCCAAGCTTTAATTGCTCAGGTCTTGCCTCATCGACTGTAGTGAAGCCTCCGATTTCTTGTTCTATGAGCTCCTTTGTGATTGCTGACTCAACTGGCCCGTACACTGCAGGGTCCAGGTTACTCTTCAAGGGCCATTCCTGTGATAATTTAACCATATTTAGAAATTTGCTTCTACCATATGTATTGTTCTTTATTAGCTTCCAAAACTAAGTCAAGCATGAGATTGGAACTAGCATTATATACCGTGACCAATTTGATGACGCATGGATTGACACCCGCTAGAGTTTGTCTTGCAAATTCGGCGTCCCTAAACCAAGCAAACTTATCTCCTGCAGTAAAAACAGGAAGAAGTTAAATGAAGGGGAAAAAAAGGAAAAATCTCATCTTGCACGATAAATTAATTACTTAAAACACATACAAAGGGGAGAGAGAGAGAGCTTTAAATCATACTGTTAACAAATTGAGGGGTCTCAAAACGAAGGAGAATTTTCTCGGAGATAAACTTCACAAGCCTGGGTATAATGCTTGGTAATGACCCCGTTTCTGAATCATCGGGAAGCTCGATTCCTTGGGTGAATAGAGTGTCTATAGCTGTGAAGTATGGGAATCCGAGGTCGGCGTTCGGGATGCTACCGCCACCCATGGATGGAATAAGTATTTGAAGGACAGCTTTAAAAGCTTTCGCAGCGAATGTGTCATTCTTCACTTTTGAAAATGCTTCATCTCTCGGCACGTAAAAACCGGCGTTCCTTGACTCAGACGATGGATCTGCCAATTTACATTGAGATCACAAGGTTTGGCTTCGGCAATTTGACAAACACATAGTGTGCATGAAAAAAAAAAAAGGGAAAAAGATGTCTGGAATATACCATGGTTTAGCTCCGGCAATTTGACAAACAGATAATGTGCATGAAATAAAAAAGAAGAAGAAGGTATTGTACATCTTCTGTTACCTTTAATAGTTGTTGGACGGCCGGTTCTGCAGCGGCGGGGATAAGGATGGTCGGGCCCGCCGAGAACGGGTCGGGCCAAGTCGAGGCTGATATCTGGATTGCCGAGATCGTTGTATACATCGTAATCGTATATTCTGTCGGCGGGTATACGCTGACCATGGCCGTCGCCTCTTAGAATTTGGAGCTCTTTCTGTCTGTATCTTTTCAGGCCACTCGGAGTTTGTGATGGCAAATATGACTGCAAAAAAAAAAATATCATCGATTTAACATTTGGTCCCTCGTATTCACAAAAAATACATTTGGTCCTTTATATTTCAAAATTTCAAGACTTTTAGTGATTTCCGTCAATTTTCCGTTAAAACTAACGTAATCAAGCATGTGTCCATCGATGATTTAACTGACAGACTAACGGTAAATTGACTGAAATGACAAAAAATATGAGGGACAAAATGTGTTTTTTTGTAAATATAGGGGACCAAATATGAAACTAATGCAAACTTGAGGGGCAAAAACTATAATTTTCACAATGTTAACTAATAAATGGTAAAATACAATTTGCACACCTTTACTATGATCATTGTTGCATTTATCCCCTCATACTATTGATAAATACAAAGTTACCCCTACCGTTGGCAACCGTTGAGCATTTTCGACACTTCATTTAAAATTCACTAATGATTTTAATTACCGAAAGAACATGAAAATTAAATAAATAAATGAATGGGGGATCGATGCGAACCGTGTTCCAGAAAAAGATTCTCTTCTCGGGGTTCATGGATTTGGGATGAATCCACGAGTTACAAGTAACTTCGACTAAGCGATGTCTTGCTTCGGAGAAGCCCTTAAAGACAATGTTCTTCACAAACATTTCTTTATCATCTTCATTCTCAATTATCACAGCACCGATCTCACCAAAATCCTCGTCAACATCGAAACTCGTCTCGAAGTAGTACTCGTTGTCGTTGTATCCTGATCTACGCGCGCATGATTTAATCGTAAGCTTCTCTAGTCCCGATTCTTCAAAAGAGAATTAAAAAAAAAAGGATATAAAACTAAATGGTAAATTTAATCATCGACGTTAAATATACAGTTAAACCTCTATAAATCAATACAGTCGGAACCAGCAAATTCTGTTAATTTAGTGAAATATTAAATTATCGAACTAATAATTTAATACATTTTTAACAAGTCGGGACCGAGAAAAACCATTATTTAAGCGAGGTTATTAATTTATTGAGGTTCAACTGTATATTGGTACTTAATTTTTATTCTAAAATTTCCATGCAATATCAAAACAAGCCATGCATGCACTAGTTAATGTGATAAATGAATATGTATATACTCACGAGGATCGAGCTCGGCAGCAACAAGCTCGACTAGAACGGTTTTAGGGAACGAGTTAACTGAATTGTCGATCCCAGGCGATTCTAGTTGGCTGGGTGGTTCCTCCGACACTTCCTGCAGCAACGTCACCTTTGCTTTAATGGTGGTTGTCGACTTAGCGGCGGTGGTGGTGGTTAGTATGGCTTTTATCCCGGTGCCGCCGCGGTGCCGCCGGATTACTCCGTTAGATCTTTTCGAATCTTTTGTTGGTAATGAAAATGCAGGAGCATTAGTTCCTCGACCGGAGAACAACGGCAGCTTGGGCACGGAAACTATGTTTCGGATAGTACTACCGGAGTGGGACATGTTGAAATTGTGCTTCAACATATTGTTTTTTTTTCTTTCTTAAATTTGTTATTGTTTTGGATACTTAATTTTGGTAATGAAATTGTAGGAACCTATAATTAGGACAAGATATGATGTCTTATATAGGCATAAAAACATGTAATCAGACTAACTGATTAATATCTAGAAAATAGGAAAATATTCAACTGACTTGCTAAAGCTAGTGAATGACTTCGTAAAAGCTACGACGGATAATATGACGGTCAACCATCGTTTTCGAAATATTGTGAACTAGCTACGAAGCGGATTACATCCTTTTTAAGACACATTGACTTTTTTCATTTTCAATTTCACATACTCCCTCCAACCATATAGAATCCCGATTATACCCTTTAGCGCAACTCCAATGGAGTTATTAAATGAGTCATCAGATCTCTTAACTGCCATTTTTTGATCAAAAATATTTATCAGGTTGTTGAAAAATAAATAACTTATTTTTTAGAAAAAAAAATAGTATAATAAAGAAAAAGAGCTGCAGATAAGTTTGCTAGTAAAACTAAGAAGAATGAAGATGCTAGAAAATTTGAATATTTGATGCCTCAGTGAAAGCATTGTTAATACATTTCACTACGATTTTCTTGAAAATCAAGCATTTAAACAATGCGTTAACGCGGTTCATAAAAGACAATGCAGGACTTGTACGGCACAAAAGTACGACGAAAAGAGATGAAAACCGTAGCGCGAAATATCTTATTAATAAAGCAGACAACCTCCGTTTTATTGTAGTAATAAATAATACATTATTGCATCAAAGATACATAGATGATAAACCCCATGTTTTATTTATTCTTGCACACAAACGGTTTATAGAACTAGATGGAGACGCTATTTGGGATACCCTTTCCAGTGACACCAGGTTCGGAATACGGCTTGAGAAGCTCGTACGGCATCACTCCAGCCCCTGCTCTGTTCTTCATATTTGTATCTGCGTTTCTAGCATCAATAATCCCTGCTATCACATTCAATTGTCCATGAAACCGTTCAAACGAAGCTTTAATAACCTTATCATCAGCCCAATAAGGCTGAATTTGCTCTCCGATATACTCCTCATCGGGCGAATGATTGGACAGTACATCAATAATGGCCATAACTGTTGCTGCTTGATGTTGTGAAGGGAAGCATTTCAGTAGGAATTCTTCGGGCTTCTCCAAAAATTGTTTCTTTTCTTCGTCCTTCGGTTCCTCGGTAGGCATTTGTGTTCGAGCAATTGTAGGCCTGTTTGGAAAGTACGCTCCGAAATCAAATTGACCGAAGTTTACAGCAGCATGATGACCTGAAGCTACCCATATAATAGTCGTCAAAATTCCAATTAAGTCGTCCGGAGTTTTTAGTTCCGGCCACCCTATCTTCTTGTCACCATGGCCCACTGTTCGTATCTCTGTCCACCATGCTTGGAGCTCGTTATCTGATTGAACAAGGCTCGGTTCTTGATAGTAGTAAGCCACGTAATCTGTTACCCACTGTTTGATAGCATCCCATAGAAGCAAACCATCACTGGCATAAGGGTAGTCTTCAATTGTGAGTTTCAAACCGTGTGGTGCAGTTGGATCCTCCACTGCCATTCCCCTGATATTAGAAAAAAAAAATATATTATTTTAGTTCAGAATATATTGAAAATAATAAGATGTTTCCAACATCTTTATAATTTCATTTACCTGTTGATTAAATCTGCGGGTAGTGCCTCCAAGTTGAATTGCCATAATTGGTCATATGCAACAGAGCTCAGTTCGATCGAGTATTTGCCAGGGGAGAATGAGTTCTCAATTGCCCCATTAGCATTAATAAGGGCCTCACGAGCCAATGCGTTAATTTCCATTGTGTAACGCAAATGAGGATGCAACAGTCGATAAATCGGGTGCATTGCACTTAGTTGCCTGTTTGTCGCGATTACGTAAGGCTCTGTGCAACAATGAGTCCGCAGCCTGCAGATATCCAAGAGTTAAAATGAGAGTGTAAAAGTACAATCTATCTGTCTCTTCGAAAGCTTGTTTTTTTTCTTTTTTTCAATGTGTCATTCAAGAAGTAAAGATGTCTTAATAACTTCATTCGCTTTCTTGATTTCATATCATTAATCAGAAACATGGGAATTCATAACTACTCACTACTTCAAGTGCTTCCTTTTATTTTGTACTTATTTAATCTGAAGACAGATTTCGGATAGGGGAAAAAAGGTCAAGGAAAAGTTGGGAAACGGTAGAATATAACTTACCAGTGACTGACTAACTGATGAAAACCAGAGTCATGAGCCAAGACATGAGCTTTAGCAAGCCTCCACAACCAGACACCAGTGGCATCCCAAGTTGGGTGGAACACCTGCTTCCACTGTGGCTTTCCATCTACTGGTGGTCGAGTTAACTCGATAGCCAACGGCCTCAATGTGTCGGCAGGTGTTAAGTAAAACAATGTCCTCGATCCATAAAGAGTGGTCCCCTGAAGCTCTCTTACCTTGTTCACAAATGGCAAGAGCACATCATGATAATCCAACACGAAAAACTTCTTTTGTTTCAGTGCCTGCACAAACCGAAAAATGGATCAGATAAGAAAAGTAATAACGTGTATTAGTTTAATTGCTCGGTTCTTGCCTCATCTACTGTAGTGAAGCCTCCGATTTCTTGTTCTATGAGCTCCTTTGTGATTGCTGACTCAGCTGGCCCGTACACCGCAGGGTCAAGCTTACTCTTCAAGGGCCATTCCTGAGATAAACTTTGCAATGTTTAGAAAGTATGCTTATTATAACATAAATGTTCCTTCTTAGCTTCCAAAAGTAAGCTAAGCATGAGATTGAAACTAGCATTATATACCGTGACCAGTTTGATGCAGCATGGGTTGACACCTGCTAGAGTTTGTCTTGCGAATTCGGCGTCCCTAAACCAAGCAAACTTATCTCCTGTAGTAACAACAAGAAGGAGAAAAAAAATCTCATCTTGGACTACAAATTCATTACTTAAACACACAGAGAAATGAGAGAGAGATAGAGAGGTCTTGAAATTATACTGTTAACAAATTGAGGGGTCTCAAAGCGAAGGAAGCATTTCTCGGAGATAGTTTTCACAAGTCTGGGCATAATGCTCGCTAACGACCCGGTTGTTGAATCGTTCGGAAGCTCAATTCCTTCGTTGAAAAGAGTGTCTATAGCAGTGAAGTATGGGAACCCGATGTCTGTGTCGGTGTTCATGATCTGAGATTTCATCGATGGAATAAGTGCGTGGAGGACAGAGTAGACGGCTTTTGTTGCGAACGACTCAGTCTTCACTTCTGAAAATGCTTCATCTCTCGGCACGTAAACACTGGAGCTCCTTGACTCAGATGATGGATCTGCCAATTTACATTCACATAATCAGATCTATATTGGAGAAATTGGACTAACATGACTAGAATATCCAAAGTTTTGGCTTCGGCAATTTGACAAACAAATAGTGTGCATGAAAGAAAAAAGAAAAAAAAAAAAACCCTCGAAGGAAATTAGAGATCTACTGTTACCTTTCTTAGTTCTCGGCCGGCCGGTTCTGCAGCGGCGGGGATAGGGTCGGTGGGGCCCGCCGAGAACGGGTCGGGACAAATCGACGTCGGAATCTGGATCGCCGAGATCATTGTAAAAATCGTAATCGTATATTCTGTCGGCGGTTTTGCGCTCCCCTCGGCCGTCGCCACGTAGAATCTCGAGCTCTTTTTGTCTGTACCTTCTCAGGGCAGTCGGAGTTTGGGATGGCAAATATGACTGCATAATCCCATAATCTAATCTTAATTTCAATTTATTTAGGGTTTATTGCATTCAAACCCATGTACTTTAGTCTAATTGCTAATATTTCTCAATATAGTAAATATTAGCAAACTTTTCCCTGCGATCCATTATTTTTTAGCAAATTGCCCCCTAAAACTCCACCATTTAATGGCTAGTGTGCCAAAGAGGTTTTTTAGCAATAAAATTAAATATAGAGGAGGTGTTGAATGTAATAAACTCATTTATTTATCAATAATATTATGAAATATATATACAATTATAAACCTCTATAAATTAATACAGTCGGGACCAGAAAAAATTATTAATTAAGCGAAGTTATTAATTTATTGAGGTTCTATTGTAAATATATATATATATATATATATATATATATATATATATATATATATATATACATAGTCTTATATAAACATTCTTCTTCACACTTTATTTAAAATTCCGGCCTAAAGTAATGATTTAATTACCGAAAAGACCATGAAAAATAAGTAGATGGTGATGCGAACCTTGTTCCAGAAAAATATTCTCTTCTCATCAGGGTTATCGGATTTGGGATGAATCCACGAGTTGCAAGTAACTTCGACCGAGTCGTTTGTCGTTGTGGAGAAGCCACTAAAAACGATGTTCTTCACAAACATTTCTCTGTGATGTTCATTTTCAATTAGCACAGCACCAATCTCTCCAAAATCCTCGTGAACCTCGAAACTCGTCTCGTAGTAGTACTCATTGTTGTTGTGTCCTGAGTTATGCGCGTACGATTTTATGGTAGTTTTCTCTAGTCCCGATTCTTCAAAACAAAAAAACAAAACAAAAAAAGACGATAAAAACTAAAATTACCATGCAATAATACCAAAACAAGCCCTTATAATAAGCTGCATGCATGCATGCTATATGTGATAAATAAAAATAAAAATAAAAATAAATACTCACGAGGATCAAGCTCCGAAGCAACAAGCTCGAGTAGAATGGTTTTACCGAGCAAGTCCATTACATCGTCGATGACGCGCGATCCTAGGTGACTGAGTGCTCCCCCCAATGTTTCTAGCACGGTCACCTTCGCTTTAAGGGTGGTGGTTGACTTAGCGGCAGTGGCGGTGGTTAGTATGGCTTTGACTCTAGTGCCACCGCAGTGCCGCCAGAGTACTCCGTTAGATTTTTTCGATTTTTTTGTGTTAATTGTAGTACTCGTGTTTTTACGAGCAATAGGTAATGAAAATGCAGCAGCAGCAGCACCGGAGAATAAAGGCTTTGGCACGGAGAGTAGGTTTTGGATAGTGGAGTGGGACTTGTTGAAATTGTGCTTCATCATTTTTTTTTTTTTTTTTTTTTTTTTTTAATTTATGGATATTTTGATAATGAAATTATATAGAGGAGAGATGATGAATACTTTGATTGAGCCGTTTATATATATACTAGTAAATGTTTAAAAGGGAAAAGAAATTAAAATACTAAAATTGATTCATTGAATGTATTAATTTTCTATTTTTTTGATAATGTCGACACTTTGATTTTTGACCTATCCTATTGCTTGTATATTATATATATTGGTACATGTAAGTTACTATCACTATAAGGTTTGTAAATGTACCTTTTTGGTGCTTTAAGTATGTTGGCATATAAATGATAATTTTTTTAATTTTTTTTATTTTTGTGCTTGAAAATAAGTTTTTAATTTGACCCTACAAGAAAATAAAAATGTGTGTGTTTGTAAATCTGCAAAAATGGGTAGTACTTAACAATACTCATGTATGGTAAAATCTTATGGAGTAAAAAATATTGGATGTAGCATCAAATAAACCCAATTTTCAACGTGAAAAAATAGGTACGCTTTTGTGAAAAATAAACGTGTGAAACTATCGAATATATTTTACTAGACGTAGGATTGGAAATAGCACGTGTATCTCAAATTAGTACGATGTATGAGAAAATTGAACCCATGCTACACTGAGTGAAAAGCACCATAGATCTACATCGGTTATGTGTATTCACTAGATGTAGCATCTACAAAGCCAACGACACGGCCCTTGACACCTGTAACATAACTACCTATCCGACAATTCATTAAATTGGTCCACATGTATGAGGATAAAAGAAAAAAGATGAAACGTGCAAAAACGCTAGTCGAATTAGGCAGTTGTGATAAGGCTTGATTGATACAAAATCGATATATACATTTCACGTCGTTAATTCCTCAGTATGCTTCCGTCTGTATTTGCTCAAGTGTTGTTTTTTTTATTGTACTTATATAATTCATAAATTTTTGCTTCAATATACTTATTCAATCTGTATACATCACGTAAAACAATTTGATAACTAAATCGAAATACTATTCGGAACACCCTTCCCCGTCACACCAGGTCCAGAAAACGGCTTGAGAAGCTGGTACGGCACCACTCCAGCCCCTGCCCTATTCCGCAAATTCGTGTCTGCGTTTCTAGCATCAATAATCCCTTCGATCACCTTCATTCTGCCATTAAACCGTTCGAACGCAGCATTAATAACTTTATCATCTGCCCAATAAGGCTGTATTTCCTCTCCGATATACTCCTCATCGGGCGAATGAGTTGATAGTACATCAATGATCGCCATAACTACTGTAGCTTGAACCTGTGAAGGGAAGCTTTTCAGCAAAAAATCATCAGGCCTCTCAAGAAACTGTTTCGTTTCTTCGTCATTCGGTTCTTCGGTAGGCATTTGTGTTCGAGCAATGGTGGGCCTGTTTGGAAAGTACGCACCGAAATCGAATTGACCGAAGTTAAGAGCAGCATGTTGACCCGAAGCTACCCATATAATAGTCGTCAATATTCCAATCAAATCGTCCGGAGTTTTTAGCTCTGGCCACCACGGTTCGTCCTACTTGTCGCCGTGGCCCACTGTTCGAATCTCTGTCCACCATGCTTGGAGCTCGCTATCTGAATTTACGAGGCTCGGTTCTTGATAGTAGTAAGTGACGTAATCAGTGACCCACTGTTTAATAGCATCCCATATAAGCAAACCATCATTGGCATAAGGGTAGTCTTCGATTGCTAGTTTCAAACCGTGTGGTGCAGTTGGATCCTCCACAGCAATTCCCCTGGAATCACAAAGCTCGTAAAAGTTAAAAAAAAAAAGAAAAGAAAAGGGCATATTTCGATTCGAATTGTATTACTGCTACATCTTTATTAATTGGTTTACCTGTGGATTAAATCTGCTGGTAGTGCCTCTAGGTTGAACTGCCATAGCTGGTCATAGGCATCAGAGCTCAGTTCCATGGAGTACTTGCCTGGAGAGAATGCACTCTCAATGATCCCGTTAGCATTAATAAGGGCCCCACGAGCCAACGCGTTAATTTCCATTGTGTAACGCAAATGAGGGTGCAAAAATCGGTAAATTGGGTGCATTGCACTCAGTTGCCTGTTTGTCGCGATTATGTAAGGCTCAGTAGAACAATGTGTCCGCATCCTGCAAATATAGTGAACGAGAGTGTCAAACCACAGTTATCCGTCTCTCCACCGTTACTAGTGTAAGAATCGAACAGAACCTTACCAGTGACTGACTAACTGATGATAACCAGAGTCGTGAGCCAAGACATGAGATTTAGCAAGCCTCCATAACCATACACCAGTGGCATCCCATGATGGTGTGAATGCCTGCTTCCACTGTGGCTTTCCATCTATTGGTGGTCGAGTTAACTCGATTGCAACCGGCCTCAGTGTGCCGCAAGATGTTAAGTAAAACAATGTCCTGGATCCATATAGAGTTGTCCCCTTGAGCTGTCTTACCTTGCTCACATATGGCAAGAAAACATCATGATAATCTAACATGAAAAGCGTCTTTTGTTCCAATGCCTTTTCGACTGTCGTGCAGCCTCCAATTTCTAGTTCTACGAGTTCCGTTGTGATTGCTGATTCAGCTGGCCCGTACACCTCAGGGTCGAGATTACTCTTCAATGGCCATTCCTGAGATAATTTAACCATGTTTAGAAGTATGCTTCTATGCCATATGTGTTGTTCTTTATTAGTTTCCAAAACTTGAGTTAGCTTTCTAAGTGTGCTATATAAAATGAGTAAGAGAAATGGAAAAATGAGATGAACTTCCATCAACTTTAGAGTCATTTGTCACATTCACCAAGAGAGTGGAATTTTCCAAGAATTTGTGTCTTTATTTTCAGAATAAAAGTTTACCGTGACTAGTTTTATGCAGCATGGATTGACACCTGCTAGAGTTTCTCTTGCAAATTCAGCGTCCCTAAACCAAGCAAACTTATCTCCTGCAGTAAAAAAACAAGAAGCTGTCAATAAAAACACATACTTAGAAAACACAGACAAACGAGATAGAGACGGGAGAAATTACTGTCGATAAATTCAGGGGTTTCAAAGTGAAGGACATTGTCCGAGTCAGCGATAGCCTTCACGAGCCTGGGTATAATATTTCCTAACAGCCCAGTTGTTGGATTATTCGGAAGCTCAATCCCTTCATTGAACAGAGTGTCTATAGCAGTGAAGTGTGGGAATCCATCACTGCTTAAGACCGTACTCTGCAGCGACGGAACTAGTGCATGAAGGGCCGAGTACACCGTGTTTGCTGAGAATGTCATATTCTTTACTTCCGAAAACGCTTCGTCTCTCGGCACGTAAATTTTGGAGCTCGGCGACTCAGACAATGGATCTGCCAGTTTACATAAAACCAAATCGAGATGAATCCAAACATTTTTGAAGATTACATGAAAAGACTACGATCAAGACTCAGCTAGGCAATTTGACAAACAGTTGGTGTGCATTCAAATAATTGAAAAAAAGTTACCTTTCTTAGTTCTAGGGCGGCCAGTTCTGCAGCGGCGAGGATAGGGGTGGTCGGGCCCTCCAAGAACGGGTCGTGCCAAATCATCATCGGAATCTGGATCGCCGATATCGTTGTAAAAATCGTAATCGTATATTCTGTCGGCGGTTTTGCGCTCCCCTCGGCCGTCGCCACGTAGAGCTTCGAGCTCTTTTTGTCTGTACTTTTCCAGACCACTCGGAGTTTCGGTTGGCAAATATGACTGCCAATTTAAATATTAAATAATGTGATCAAATAATTATATAATAATATAACATCAGTATAATAATGTTTATGAGAGAATAATTAATTAATTAATTATGCTAACCTTGTTAGAGAAAAACACTCTCTTTTCGGGGTTACTAGATTTGGGATGAATCCACGAGTTGCAAGTAATTTCGATTGAGTCATTGAAAACAATGTTCTTTATAAACATTTCTTTGAGGTGTCCATTCTGAATTAGCACCGCACCAATCTCCCCGAACTCGTTTGGAATCTCAAATGTGGTTTCGTAGTAGGTTTCGTTGTCGTCTTTCCCGGTTCTACGGGCGTACGATTGTATGGTAGCTTTCTCCAATCCCGATTCTTGAAACGAAAAATTATTAAAAAAAAAAGTTATAGCTCAAGAAACAAGAATGTAATTCGGGCACGTGCTATCTAATAATGTCAATAAAGATTATAATATTTATAACTAAATATTGAATTAGTGTATTGCAGACATATTTATAATTAAATCGAACTCGAATCAAGATCAATTCACGATCATGGACAACAACATGCACGATTGCTCAAGACATGCGGTACATTTTACTATAATTTTCATATATATATATATATATATATATATATATATATATATATATATATATATATATATATATATATATATATATGATGATTTGGACTTTAAATAAAAGATGATTTGGAATTATTGTTTTAATTAATGTTACAACTAATTAATTACTAGACTTGCGCTTTTAATTATACACTAATAATTTGATTAAAGATATTTATGATAAAACATTATAATATGCTAAATAGTACATGTCATTATCTTTTTAGATTTTCAGTTATCTGCAGTTATATATAGAGACCACACATTCATGTGGGCACTTATCCTCGAAATCTTTATGTAGTACAGCAAATTAATTATAATTTGTTGGGCAATGTTTTTTCTTTATTTTTTGCGAATATATTCAATTTTTTTTTTACCATATATTGATATTAAATTATAATAAAGTGCTGTGATTATGATCTAATTTTCGTGCTTTCTTGAGTATTATGTGTGTAACTCAAAAAAAAGAAAGAGTGTGTGTGTGTGTGTGTGTGTGAGAGAGAGAGAGAGAGAGAGAGAGAGAGAGAGAGATTTGATAATGAAAAATAGTTTATAGAGCATGGATATGAATATACGATCTGCTAATGAATCATATAAATCAGGGAGTTTCATGCAATATGTAATATCAAAGCAAGCCCTAATATGAACATGGTTATAATGTATGTATAGATTATATATATATTTGTGTATAAGTATACTCACTAGGATCGAGCTCGGCAGCAACAAGCTCAACGAGAAGGGTTTTGCCAAACACGTCAACTATATCGTCAATCCCGCGGCTCAATCCGAGGTGGGTGAGGGCCCCGCCCACCGTCTGCAGCACCGTCACCACCGCCTTAACGGTGGTTGTTGACTTCTCATCAGCGGTTAATACGGCTTTTACTCCGGTGGAGGCGGATCGCCGCCTGAGCACCACCCGATTCCTCCTTGTCTTGATATTAATAATAGGGTTTTTACGAGTAATTACGGCTGATGAAGCATTTCCTCCGCCGGAGAAGAAAGGCTTCGGCACCAAAAGTAGATTTCGGACGCTAGTATTAGTATTAGTATAGTAGGAATTGTTTAAATTGTGCTTCAACATATTGTTTGTGGATCTTTTTTTTTTTTAATTGGGTGATGGAAGAAATATACTTTAATTTGAGGCCTTTATATACAAGTGTAAAGAATATATGATTCTTGTATGTATAATATGCGTGTATTTGACTAGTATATGTATATATTTAATATTATAGTGGCATTCTTTACGATCCATATTGACGGCTTGCATGATTAATTTGTATGCATTATATGCAATAATGCACTTGGTACATATGTATAATGTAATATATCTAATTGGCTGGATATTCCAAACAAGGAGTTACCTAATAATGGATTAATGGGCAAGGTTTGCACACCCTTATTTTTTAGGTTAAATTACAGTCACTCCTGAAGTAGTAAGGTTGAATTACGAATAAATTGTTCGTGTTTGGATAATTGCAACCATACCCTTAATTAAGATTATTTTACAAGTTCACACTTGCAGTGTCATAGTATGTGAAATATATATATCTTCTAAATTAAATCGATTTTGTGGAATATTCTCTAGTTTGTATCCGTTTTATCTCATTCGAACTCCACATTTAGAAACAAGATGATCATAAGATGTGTCTCTTGGCTTGTGAACATCAGATTGTGGTGCATCATAAACTGCATTTTTTACGAAACGAGTATATACTAGAGAACATTCTACGGAACCTAGAAGATTCTGTTGAGTTTGACACCGTAAAGGTGGACATGCATGTAAGAAAATTCGTAGTTGAAGGGGTGTGTAATTATTCAAATATGATGGTATTTTCGTAATTTAACTTTATATCATGGGAGTGGCCGTAATTTACCCATTTATCCAACTATAATGCAGCCATGCAAGAGGCAGCTGCATATGCACACGTTGAAAAATCAACACGTTATTTCCAACCAATCAATCCTCTTGCTATATAAGTTAGTAATTAAGATTTATAAAAACACCTTTTTTATGTGCTTTAAAATATGAATGCACGACTTTTTTGTGCTTGAAAAATTGTTTGACCCTTCCTTAAAACCATAAGAAAAAATAAAAATAAAAATTGGACCACCGACAGTTGTGCAATATATGACAAATTTTATTTTTTATATATAGATAATATATAAAACCTCCATAAATAAAAAAATAAAAAATAAATAAAAAAATCAAAACGTAAGAGTCAATAATAGTAAAAAAATAAAGTTTAGAAGGTAAATTACAACCACCCTGAGGTATTAAATTACGAAAAAAATCCCTCTTATTTGGATAATTATATCTACCCATCAACTATCAACTATGAATTTTTTTACACATCCACCCTTATGGTGTCAAATTCAACATAATCATCTAAATTTTGTGGGATGTGCTCTAGTTTGTACTCGTTTTGTGTAAAAATACAGTTTATGATGCACCACAATCTGATATATACAAGTCAAATAAACCACATCTTATGATCATTTTGTTTTAAAATGTGGAGCTCAAATGAGATAAAACGGGTACAAAATTGAGAATATTTCATATAATCTAGAAGATCCCACTAAATTTAAAACCACAAGAGTGGATGTGTATGAAAATTTATAGTCGAAAGGGATTGTTGTAATTACCCAAACAAGAGGTGGATTTTCGTAATTTTACCATACCTCAGGGGTGGTTGTAATTTACCCATTTTAGATATATTATTTAAAATATTTTACTCACAATTTAAAAAAAAATCTCGTAAAGTATGAGAAATTGGGCCCAAAACCTTGGCCCGAGCCTGCGAGAAATATATCTGTGCTGGGCCTGAGCCCGCTTTATTAAATAGCAGTCCACCAGTATTATTTTAAATTAAAACACGACTATTCCTTATTTTTCTCAACTGCAGAAACACGACTTCTGTAGAACTGAAACTGTGTGGCGCGGGAATTAAATAGAGATGCTATTCGGGACACCTTTTCCGGTGACACCAGCTTCCGAATACGGCTTCAGAAGCTCGTACGGCACCACTCCAGCCCCTGCCCTGTTCTTCAAATTCGTATCCGCATTTCTAGCATCAATGATCCCTTCAATCTCCATCAACCGTCCATTAAACCGTTCGAACGCAGCGTTAATAACTCTATCGTCTGCCCAATACGGCTGAATTTGCTCTCCGATATACTCCTCGTCGGGCGAGTGATTGGACAGTACATCGATGATCGCCATAACTACTGTAGCTTGAACTTGTGAAGGGAAGCATTTTAGCAGGAACTCATCAGGCCTCTCCATAAATTGTTTCCTTTCTTCGTCCTTTGGTTCTTCAGTAGGCATCTGTGTTCGAGCAATTGTAGGCCGGTTCGGAAAGTATGCACCGAAATCAAATTGGCCGAAGTTTACGGCAGCATGATGACCCGAAGCTACCCATATAATAGTCGTCAATATTCCAATCAAATCGTCCGGAGTTTTCAGCTCCGGCCACCATGGTTCGTCCTTCTTATCCCCATGGCCTACTGTTCGAATCTCTGTCCACCATGCTTGGAGCTCGGTATCTGACTCTACGAGGCTCGGTTCTTGATAGTAGTAAGCGACGTAATCAGCGACCCACTGTTTAATAGCATCCCATAGAAGCAAACCATCATTGGCATAAGGGTAGTCTTCGATTGTTAGTTTCAGACCGTGTGGTGCAGTTGGATCCTCCACAGCCATGCCCCTGGTATTAAAAAGAATATCTTATATACATTTCCGAAGATGTTTACAACGCCTAATTTTCTAATTGGTTTACCTGCTGATTAAATCTGCTGGCAGTCCCTCTAGGTTGAATTGCCATAGCTTGTCATAGGCAACAGAGCTCAGTTCCATGGAGTATTTGCCGGGGGAGAATGAGCTCTCAATGATCCCATTAGCGTTAATAAGGGCCTCACGAGCCAACGCGTTAATTTCCATGGTGTAGCGCAAATGAGGATGCAACAGTCGGTAAATCGGGTGCATTGCACTTAGTTGCCTGTTTGTTGCGATTATGTAAGGCTCTGTGCAACAATGAGTCCGCAACCTGCAAATAACCAAGAAGTGATTGAGATTGTATAAGTACATTATGGGGTTTCCGTTATTAGTGTAACATTCTACCAGAAATTTATTTTGCTATGTCTTGGCTAATCTCAACGAAACTTGATGCTTTCATGCGCTATCCAAGTAGTAAAGATGTCCTAAATTTTTTCTTCTTTCTGACTTCGTTAATTATGAGTAATAAGTATGATCGTTCATTACTACCAATAAACAATCGTAATATATATAATCGTTAATTTGCTGGAATCGTATGGATAATTACCAGTGACTGACTAACTGATGATAACCAGAGTCATGAGCCAGGACATGAGATTTAGCGAGCCTCCACAGCCACACACCAGTGGCATCCCAAGTTGGCTTGAATACCTGCTTCCACTGTGGCTTCCCATCTATTGGTGGTCGAGTTAGCTCGATAGCCAACGGCCTCAACGTGTCGGCAGGTGTTAAGTAAAACAATGTCCTCGATCCATAAAGAGTTGTCCCCTTGAGCTGTCTTACCTTGTTCACATATGGCAAGAACACATCATGGTAATCTAAGATGAAAAGCTTCTTTTGTTTCAATGCCTGCACAAGGGAAAACAAAACGGGATAAGAAGAGTAATAACACCAAGCTTAAATTAACTGCTCAGTTCTCGCCTCGTCAACTGTCGTGAAGCCTCCGATTTCTTGTTCTACAAGCTCCGTAGTGATGGCTGATTCAGCTGGCCCGTACACTTCAGGGTCGAGATTACTCTTCAAGGGCCATTCCTGAGATAATTCTGTCATATTTAGAAGTATGCTTCCAATGTGTTTTCTTTCTTAGTTTCCGATATTGATTTAAGCATGAGATTTGAAACTAGCATTCTAAGTACACTCTATAAATAAACAGCAAGAGAAACACAATATCGAGATTAACTTCCACACGACATTTACCGAAACGGTCATCAACTCTAGTTGTGTGTCTCATTCGTTAAGAGAGTGGCATTTACCAAGAATTCATGTATTTCATCTAGCGAAAAAATTGAACTTGTGGATTTTGGAGATAATACCGTGACCAATTTGATGCAGCATGGATTAACACCTGCTAGAGTTTGTCTTCCAAATTCAGTGTCCCTAAACCAAGCAAACTTATCTCCTGGAATAACAACAAGAAGCAGTTCAATGCATGCAAAACACCATCTTCGCAAAAAAAATCAGGAAACAATCTCATTTTGCAAAGAGATCTTGAAATTATACTGTCGATAAATTCAGGGGTCTCAAAGCGCAGAGCACTATTCCCAGTGTCGGAGACAGCCTTCACAAGCCTGGGTATAATGTTGCGTAACGACACAACGGTTGAACTATCCGGAAGCTCGTATCCTTCGTTGAATAGCGTGTCTATAGCTGTGAAGTGTGGGAATCCGAGATCGGTGTCAATGATCGAAGTCTGCACCGACGGAACTAGCGCGTGAAGAACAGAGTACACAGTTTTTGCAGAGAATGTCATCTGCTTCACCTCTGAAAATGCTTCATCTCTCGGCACGTAAACGCTGGAGCTCCTTGACTCGGACAATGGATCTGCCAGTTTACATGCACATACATGAAAAAAAAACTCAGCTCAGCAATTTATCAAACAGATGCTGTGCATGAGAAAAAAATAAGCGTCTCTTACCTTTCTCAGTTCTAGGGCGGCCAGTTCTGCAGCGGCGAGGGTAGGGATGGTCGGGCCCACCGAGAACGGGTCGGGCCAAATCAACGTCGGAATCTGGATCGCCGAGATCGTTGTATACATCGTAATCGTATATTCTGTCGGCGGTTTTGCGCTCCCCTTGGCCGTCGCCTCTTAGAATTTCGAGCTCTTTCTCTCTGTATCTTTCCAGAGCAGTCGGAGTTTGTGATGGCAAATATGACTGCACTCATCATTCACCATGATTAACAGACATGCAGTACAGTTGTATTTTTTGAGTAACACTTGAAATTGTGGAAATTGGAACCGAATTTTCGAATTCTTCTGATTTTATTGCCGAAAATATTTCTGTAGTTTTTCGACTAAATTCCGAAAATTACGCTTATAATATCAATATTATCACATATTTTATGTTATTGAGACTAAACATTGGAAATTTCGAATTCAGAGGAGATTCTTATCCGAAAAGTTCTAATTTAGTAATATGTTTTTTCATTCTAAATACTGAAATTCCGGTTTTCGATTATTCCAATTCTTTTTGCTTTAGAACAAATTCGTAATTAGCTTTTCACTTAAAAAAAAAATAGATTTTTCCAAAAGTGCCAATTTGGATTCGATCCAGCCCATTTTCACCCCTATAAATACTTTGTATTATATATAGTGCAAGATGTATCTTTGAGAAACAATTGGAAATTATCACATGCACATGTAAATGTGAGACAAAATATGTAACCATCACCATTTTCCACAATAAATACAATCGTTGTCATTTATATTTTGAAAAAAATATTAAGAACCACCTATATATATATATATATATATATATATAATAAAAAAATAATGAACATAATATAAAAACAATTATGCTAACCTTGTTAGTGAAAAAGACCCTCTTCTCAGGGTTATCAAACTTGGGATGAATCCAGGTGTTACACGTTACTTCGAGTGAGTCGTTTGTCGTCGTCGTCGAGAAGCCATTAAAGACGATGTTCTTCAAGAACATTTCCTTGTGATGTTCGTTCTCAATTAACACCGCACCCACCTCTCCAAAATCCTCGGGAATCTCGAAACTAGCCTCGTAGTAGGTCTCGTTGTCATCCTTTCCCGTTTTACGTGCATACGACTTTATGCTAGCTTTCTCCAGTCCCGATTCTTGATGTTTAGAAGAAAACCAAACCGTGAAATTGGAGGTTTATTTCTTATTTTATTTTATATAGTAATATATGTATACATTCTAATACATATATACTTATATCAATGAAATTAAATACTAAAATGATATTTTATTTTGAATCATATCAGCGAGTTTCATGCAATATACAAAGTTGTATATATAACATATATTATGTATAAAATGTATACTTACTAGGATCGAGCTCCGCAGCGACCAGCTCGACCAGAAGGGTTTTACCGAGCACATCGGCTATATCGTCTAGCCCACGGTTCAATCCGAGATGGGTGAGGGCCCCACCCACCGTCTGCAGCACAGTCACCACCGCCTTAACGGTGGTGGTTGACTTCTCTGATCCGGCGATTAGTACGGCTTTTACTCCAGTGGAGGAGCCGGAGTACTGTCGCCGGATTATTACTCCTCCTCGACTAATTCTTTTCGACTTTTTCGTCGGGATAGTAGTAGTGTTTTTATGAGAAATAGGTAATGAAAGTGCAGCCGCAGCATTTCCTCCACCGGAGAGGAAAGGCTTCGCGATCGGCACCGGAAATACGGTAGTACAGCTGGCAGAGTGGGACTTGTGGAAATTATGCTTCAACATATTTTTTTGTTCTTATTTTAGATATTTTTTTAATTAATTAATGAAATGATATAATGTAGAGGGATGATGAATAGTGTGGAAGAGAGTGTGGGTTTGGTTGCAATAAATAGAAGTTGTGTAGTAGAGAGTTTCTTTTAGGGTTTTGGTTTTTTTGTGAATTGTCAATTGTCACAATTTAACGTAAAAATTGAACGAATTTCGTCTGTGTTAGGTCGTTTTTTGTCCCATATCGTGTTGAAAATTTGTAAGGCTCGTGAATGTGGATTGAGCACCTCTCTCTCTTTGAGCTAGTTTTATATAACCGTCAATTTTAGTTACAATTTCTTTTTCTTTCGAAACAGTGTATTTGCTGATTTATATGCCTATAGAAATTAATTTTATTTATTTAATTTATCACAGTTTACAAGTAGTATGTTGCAACTATAATTTTTGTGTAGACACATATTTAATTGCTACAATCAAAATTAATAACACAAGAAATTAAGAAGCGATGCATGTTTTTTTTATGGTATATTTCTCGGAATGTGGTCCAAGATGGGCCAGTAGAGAAGCAGTAATGAACAAATAGCAATCAAATTTCATTACGAAATTATGAGTTTCTATTTTTATTCTTTTGGGGTCTATAAATCACTCGATTCTTATCACAAGTCACAACTATTGCCCAAGTGTTTTGCACGTTTTATTTTTTCCTCATAGAGAAAGACAAATCTAAGGAAGATCCCCAACAAATCGAGGGAGAGTGCGATGGTTATTTCTATGCTACACTCGATGAGCGTTACATCAGGTGATTTTTTACCATTGAACAACACACACCAATTTAGATGTGTGTGTGTTTGTATGTATACAAATGATAAATATTTACCCGGTGTATTTCACCCGGTGCAGCATAGTATAAACCGGTTGCGAGCGAGTGGATTTTCCAAATCTCAAAGGGTATATAGTTATTTTTATTTATTTTCATCAAAAATTTTAGTTTAAGAAATAGTTCATGCATTATTTTGAATATTTCAAATACTTAGTTCATGCATTATATAGATTAAATAGTTCATGCTTTATTTTGAATAATTCAAATAATTAGAATATAGTTCATTCAATGTTCATGTATATGCAGTATACTTGTTTGTTTTAGAATTTCAACTACTAATTACTTTATTTCTAAATATAAATCTAAAAACATATAATTAAAATTAATTTTGAGATTTAGTCTTAGATGAAAATAGTGAAATTGACTATGAAGCATTTAAATTCATTGCATTAAAAAAATTATTTCAAGAGTTTTTTACCTAATTTTGCTATTTGTAACATTTTTTTGGTGAAGTATGAGAGGTTGGGCCGGAAAAAACCATGGCCCAGATCCGGAGAGAAACGGATATGGGCTTGCCCATACCCGTTTCATTAATAACAGTCCACCCGTATTATTTCAAAGGACAACACGATTAATGTTTTCAAAACGCGACTTTTGTAGAGTTAAAAGCGGGTTTTGCGCGGGACTGCGGAAAAAAATAGCCTCCGAGAAAGCGCCACCAACAAAACCCCCATAATTGGGTTTTTAACAGTGAAGAGCTGTGTGTGTGTGTTTTCCGGCGAAAATGGAAGTAGGAGGAAGCAGTGAGAGCCCATCGGAGACGAAGAAGTCAAAATCGAAAACACCCAGGAAGACTAAAGATGCTGCACAAACTCTCAAACAGAGTACGCTTTCTAAAATCGTTGAATTTCTGTGTGTGTTTTTTATGTTATGTGGTTTCGATTTTTGTTACGGGATTGAGATTCCTTGTTGTAATTTGGGCAGAATCTCCGGCGGAGTTCTTCGCGGATAACAAGAATATTGCTGGTTTTGACAATGTGAGCTTTATTTATTACTATCGCGTCTTCGATTTCTACGAATTTTTCTTTTGCTTGTGTAGAATTGGATTCTGCGTTGTGATTAGAAATCTCGATACGGAAACTGTAGACTTATATAGCATAAGGTTTAGACACGTTTATGCAAACAAAATCAGTTCCCCATGGTTGATTGCTGCAATAATTGTACCCAATTGATGTTGGCTGTTGATTGTTGTATTAATTGTTTTCCATGAACGATCTACTTAGTGAGAAGCTAAAATTAAATCGGATGCTGATTGTTTACCGTAAACGACCTGCTCTCGGAGAAGATTGCACGTCACTGAGAAGGAATAAAAAAAGCTGCAAATTACTTTGATTAATTTTTTATTCAAACAAAATATTGTGTAAAATGCCGTTTCCATGAACTATGGAGGTTGAGTTGACGTTGAATGTGCCGTATTTGGGCCCTTTGACCTTTTCTTATAGCAGAAATGTTGGTTTTAAAGTTCCTAATCGTTATCTATCTTTCGTGTCTTTTTAGCCAGGAAAATGTTTGTACACTACTGTCAGAGAACTTGTTGAAAATGCGCTCGATTCAGCTGAGTCAATCGCCGAACTTCCCATAATAGAGATAACAATGTAAGAGTCATTATGTTTGTCTCTCAGTTAGATCTGGATTAGCCCTTTATTGCTATTGATGCTATACTGTTTGACCGCTTTAGTGAAGAGATTGGGAAAAATCAGTACAACTCCATGATTGGTCTTGCTGACCATGGGCGCGTTGATGAAGCGCTATACGATGATTTCGAGACAGTCAAAGCTCGCGAGGTGCATTTAAATCTTAGTTCTAGCTATCGTAATCTACCTGTTTAGAGTCCATAATCTTAATCTTAGTTCTGTTAAATTCTTATATTATAGAAAAGACTTGCAAAAGAAGCTCGTATTCAAGAGAATCAGGCGAAAAGTGCCGCTCTCGGAAAGAAAGGGAAAGCAGCCACAGCTGTTAAGCCCATAAAGAGTCGCGAGACCTCGTATTACAGGGTCTCTTGCAAGGTGCAATCACTTCATTCCATTTGCTCATTTGGGATTTGCTTTCCAATTATAAAATCATTAGTCCTTGGCATTTATATTTCCTGGACGCAGAAGTGTAGTAGGCAGTTTTCTTCATTAATACTCTTCTGATTGGATTAGGTTCTTAATGTAGGATAATGGAAGAGGAATGCCGCATGATGATATCCCAAATATGTTTGGACGAGGTTCTCTATTTGATTCCGAGAATTTTTTTAATTTCCTGAAATGATTCTAAACTGGTCATATTTTCAGCGTGGTATAAAAAATTGTAAATGTTCTATTTGTAATATTTCGGTATTGTTTTTTGGTTGTCCTTCTAAGAGTGGCATGTATGCAGTTCTCTCTGGAACAAAGTATGGCTTAAAACAGACACGTGGAAAATACGGGCTAGGTGCAAAGATGGTACGTTTCGGCCAAATTTTCAGTGTTATAACTTCTATGGTCATTTTGTCGATTGGCAGCTTTATGCCAATTTACAACGTGATCGTTTAATTTATGGAATTTACTTATCTTTCTCTTGTGCAGGCACTTATTTGGTCCAAGATGAGTACGGGTCTACCCATTGAGATCCTTTCTTCAATGAAGGGCCAAAGTTATTCATCGTTTTGCAGACTAGATATAGATATTAACAAGTATGGCAAATATATCTTGCAGAATGTTTAACTGGAATTTGTTGGATCTTAATAGACATTGATACAAATTCATTGATTTCCAGGAATATTCCTCACATTCACGTACACGAGAAAAGAAAAAATGAGGAACGATGGCATGGAGCTGAAATCCAGATAGTAATTGAGGGCAATTGGACAACCTATCGTGTCTGACTCCGCAAATTAACTCTTGCTTAAGGCTCAATTCTTATATTTGGATTACTTTCGTCTCTTACGATTAATTTTCTTTGAATCCACAGTCTAAAATACTACACTATATGCGTCAAATGGCTGTCATCACTCCATATTCACAATTTCTTTTCAAGTTTCTGTCCGGATCTCCAGAGTACATCTCTCTCTCTGAAGCCCCTTGAAAATTATAGTTTAGCTATCTTAGTGAGATAAAGTACAAAATCTCATTTGTATATTCTGCAGTAAAAATGTGACGGTGAGATTTGCGAGGAGGACGGATATCATGCCTCCAGCTCCACTTGAGACAAAGTACCATCCATCAGCAGTTGATTTGCTTTTGATAAAAAGACTCATTACCGAAACTTCAAAGCAAAATCTTTTACAGTTTCTTCAACATGAGTTCGTGAATGTTGGGAAGTCACATGCCGAGCGCTTAATTGGTACGCTTGCAATAGTTGTTATTGTTTGAGTAGTAGAATGGCAGAACACTTTTCAATATTGTTTTGTGAAAACTAGTGTTCATGTTGCATTGAATAAAGTAATTTTGATTTAAGGACAAGGAGATCGAGTGTATGTGTATAGCTTTCAGTTAACCAGATGCAAGAGCATCACGTTGTATGATATATTATCTGTATTTTTTACAGTTTCGTATTGACTGGGTGGTGGTCCATGTTTTTACATTATAGGGGAAATGGGTACAGATTTTAGCCCGAAAATGGCTGTTAAGTCTCTAACCTCTCAGCAAATTGTCCGCATCCATCAGTTGTTCCGTCAAGCAAAGTTTGATGATCCTAGTGGTGATGTAAGCTCTACTGTTTTCGCTTCATCCCCCCTACTCTTCTTTGCTTTCGGTGTTTTTTATTTTGCCATTTTTTTTTTCGTTTCATCCTTATTTGGTTCTACTCAATTTATACTTAACTGACTGCATTAAGTTCGAAAAAATTAACAGTGTCTTAGCCCAGCTGGAGAATACAATCTACGGTTAGGGATTATAAAGGAGCTGCATCCAGATATGGTTGCTACTTATTCTGGAAGGTAATGTCAATCACTAAGCCTTCTGGACGTATACTTTTATACTTGATCAAATGGGATTTTATTTTAGTTAGAAAAGAGAAAATTAAGAGTTTTATTTGTCTCGAGCAGCGCTCAAGTGTTTGAAGGCCACCCTTTCATTGTGGAAGCAGGACTTAGTTTGGGTGGAAAAGATGTTAAACAAGTGAGTTCCCCACTATTTTGTATTACAGATTGATATCTCTCGAGTTAACTCTCCGGTATCTGACTTTGGGTTTTTATATGCATTGGTCGAATATTAGGGCCTGAATATTTTCAGATTTGCCAACCGTATTCCACTTCTATTCGAGCAAGGTGCTGATGTCGTCACCCGAACGGCTGCGAAGAGAATCAAGTAAGACACATTCACATGTTCTACCTCATCTATTTGTTAACAAATTGGAATCGGATTAATATTGGTTTGTAGTTCCTTAATGAAACAGTCTCTGTAACTGAATAAAATTTCTCACAAGTTCCGAGACTACGTAATTTGGTAATTTCTTGTTGCACATATCTTGAGAAAGAAAATAAAAGAAGAACTGAAAATCAAGAATAATCAGGACAAATTAAATGTCATATTTCAGTTGGAATAATTACAAGATCAACCAAACACAAGACAAGATAGGTGTCTTTGTGAGCATTGTAAGCACCAAAATCCCTTTCAAAGGCACCGGAAAGGAGTATATCGGTGATGACATCAGCGAAATTGCTTCTGCGGTCAAGGTACGATGAATATGCAGAAAACTTACTTTCTTTTACATGACAAGTTTTCGTAACCTAAGAGAAATTATTATGCTCTCCAGACAGCTATTCAGCAGTGCTGCTCCCAGCTAAAATCTAAAATAGTAAAAAGAATACAGGCTCGTGAACAGCAAGAGAGAAAACGGAGTTTAAACAAGTAAGTCTTTCTTTATAGCATTGTATGTGATATTATTACCGACATGCAGATGAACTTGCATTGAGATTTTATTTAATTCACAGGTACATTCCTAATGCGACAACTGCTATATACGATATATTAAAAGAGATGTCACGCGCTCATGCTTCAAAGAAAAGACGTTACGATGGTAAGGATGCGGAATTGCTAAAACAAGTTTCGGCTCAGTTAGTCACACAAGAAACATTGCGCGAAAAGCTTGCTCAACATGTAGAACAGGTGACAAGCACCCCCCTTTCCTCTTTCACCCCCGATTTTTTTTAAAAATATTTTTAGTAATGATTTAATGAATTCGGGTATGTAAAATTGAAATGCAGGTTGACTATGAGATGGCAATGGAATACGCTACACAAACTGGTGTAAATGAGGAACCCAGGGAAGAGATATACATTCCACCCCTGGAAGCTCAATGCAGTTTCACTGAGTTTCATAGCCCTATATTTGTCTTCAGACTCTTCAATTAGGTATTTTCACCTATTTTTTTTACCGAATTAATTCGGTGAAAACCGTACCGAACCGAATAGTTCGGTTTGGTAAAAGGTACAAATTTTTGAAGTACCGAAATTTCGCAGTATTTGAGCATTACCTGAGATCGAAGAATGTAATTCCCCAATTTGTTTTCTTTTAATTTAGGCAGTTAAAATATATGCATTTGATATGGAATATTTTATTGGCGCTTGTTTCTCTTCTGCAAATGTAAAACTGAATGAACTAAGGAATTAATTCAGGATTTAGTATTCAATTATTTTTACAAAGTATATAATTAAGGAAATTCAAATAAGAAATAATATAAGATTATTTTGGGGAAAATAAAGAAGAACAAATGAACATACCGTGATATACATTAATACAATTTTCGTCCTTCAAATTTGCACTAATTTCACATTTGGTTCCCACATTCACAAAAAATATATTTGGTCGATCATGTTTCAAACATTTAATAGTTTTAGTCATTCACTAACGGAATACAGCATATGTCCATCACTACCTTAACTAACGGACTAACGGTTAATTGACAAAAAGGACAAAAAATATTAAATTATTGAAATATGAGGGACCAAATATATTTTTTGTAAACACGAGGGACTAAATGTGAAATCAGTACAAACATGAGGGGTGAAAACTGTGATTTTCCCCTTTTTTCTATAAACAGTTCACTCTCTCTCTAAATGTAATATATAAGATTTTGTTAAAATGAAACGTTTCTAGTCTGAGAATAAGATCCAAAGCTCGTACTTTATTCATCAAAATCAATCACTGATAATCCTGTAAAAAAAAAAAAAAAAAAAAAAAAAGAAGAAGAAGAAGTGGTCGATCGATCGATCGAAGTACTAGCAGTAGTGATCAATGGCGGAGCAGCGACCACCGCAGATAGCAATTCTCGGGGCAGGGATATTTGTCAGAAATACATACATTCCCAGATTAGCCGAAATCTCCAATTTATTAGTCCTTAGAGCTATTTGGAGCCGCACCCAGGCAAATCATTCTCTATCCCCATCACTAATCACACGTTTCCTGCATTTTACTCACTAAACCAATTTGCTGTCACCCGAAATTACTCTTCTGTTCTCGAAGTAATACGAATTTTAATTTATTTTCATGTTTAGGAATCAGCGAGAGGTGCTGTTGAGATTGCTAAACAGTATTTCCCAGATGTGGAGTGCAAGTGGGGAGAGGCTGGACTCAACGACATCATTCTAGATGCTTCCATTGTCGGTGTGGCCGTCGTTCTCGCCGGACAGACTCAGGCAATTCTATTTCTCCTCCTCCGTGTGTGTTTCTGTGTGTGTGTGTGTGTGTGTGTGTGTGTGAGTGTGTCGAACATGATGATATCACCTATGTATAAATAATGCCCTTGATTGCCATGTCATTTAGCATCTGCTTACCAATTTTTAGTTTTATTTATGAATTGATAGTTGGAGGATTACATTACTTCAATACTATGGTTGGTTTGTGATTTGTGAATGAAAGGTTTTGCTATGGTTCGATCGAGCCGATCACTTCCGTAAATAAATAACACCTGAAATTGTTGATGTTACTCATTTTTCCATTTTGATGCTTACTTACTTACTATCAGGGTAGCTGAGTTTTGCGGAAACCTGAAAAATCATAACATGTCATTGTGGAAAACCGGAAAACCGAAAAACCGAAAAGTAAACCATCTTTTTTTTTTTTTTTGCAGGTGGATATGTCACTGAGGTTTCTGAAGGCCGGAAAACATGTTCTGCAAGGTTATGATTATTAAATGATAAATAAAGTGCATATTCACTCTATCGTGATATTCCTACCCTAACTCTGTGTCATCACCTCTAAGATATGCTTCTATTTGTTTTATATAATGTTAACTCATAAGTATCTTTTCATGCATGTTATTACGTGTATTGCGAATTTCTGGTTCTGAAGAGAAACCGGCTGCAGCTTGTAAGTACGACACTGCTTCCTATTTAAATACAAACACTTGTTTTATTGCTATATATGTTGAACCATGCCATGATATCTATATGGATATCGGGAATAAAGAATAATCCAATTTTGGTAATAATTAAAACAAAATTGATTGCTGGTCTATCAATTCAGCTGTTAACGAGCTCGAAACAGCGATATCGTCCTACAACTCTTTCAACCCAGCACCAATTTGGGCAGTTGCTGAAAATTATCGTTTTGAACCTGCCTTTGTGGAGGTACCTCACACTTGTTTATATATATATATATATATATATATATATATATATATATATATATATATATATATATATACCTGGGCGTGGGGAA